CACCCCTGTCCGATTAATTTCGGCCGCCGACGGTGTTTGCGCACCCGGGCTGGTGGTGCTTGGGTGTGGTGGTTCGCGTCGGCGTTCGCGCCCCATATCGAAACGCCTGGGGCGTCCGGTGCTGACCGGAATGGCAGGGGGGACGCTGCCATCGCGCAGAGCTAGCGCGTAGTTGGGGTAGTGTCGGCACTGTCACCTTTTCCCGGTCCGGTCACAAAGGCGGCGGCCCGTTGCGGGCGGGTAACCGCAATATTGGGCCCTGCAAGGGGTGTGGTTCGCGGCGACCGCCCATTCCGCTGAGCGTTGCGAGATTGTCACAGGTTCGCATGGCTCTAAGGTCCGACTGGATAGCCGCACCAGGAGGTGGCGGCTATCCCTTCATGGCTCAGGGCTGTGCTGGCGCTTGGCGTACTGAGAATGTGAAACTGGATATGGTGTCCACGAGACACGGCTGAACACGCGGCGAAACCCATGGGCATTTTGCTCTCCAACGATCATCGCTGGCTATATGTCGTTGCGTTGACTTAAGTTCCCCAGGCGTGGCCTCATAGCACGTGTTGGTTCAGCGGTGAGGACCGCAACGGGATCGCTTTTGGGCGACGATGAAGCTTTTTCCCGGCGCTACCGGATACTCAGATACGAGAGCGTGAAGCGTCGTGATTCGTGGCCCTGCCGCGGGTGAAACAGCGTAGGGCAGGGTGATCGGATCAGCTATTCCGCGTAGCTTGCGTGACAAAGCAGAGGGTGTAAGACCGCTGCACAGTGGCCCTGGTCGCGAGCACTTCGCGCAGGGCGGGGGTTGGTCTGCGGATTCATGCTGTTCTCTGGGTACGTCGGAAATCTGTGTTGTCTCGGTGGCGGGCCAGGTGGCCACGGGTCTGTTGAGCAGTTGGCCATATGGTGCCCGTCGTGGTGTCACCGGCCAGCAACCGAAAGTATTGGGGTGGAATCCAAGGCAAGAGGGGGCCAGTGTTCTGATGGGCCTGAGGCAAACCAGACGGGGGGGTAGGAGCACTGGGGGCCGCGTCGCGAGGGCGCCGACTGTTGCGCGACGCGACGGAAGACTACCTGGGGAATGGGTTCCTATACACGGTTTGTGACGATCGCAGGCGCACTTTACGAGCATGTTCGGCAAGCAGTTCGGAGAGGCCTCGAGAGAGCGGGCCAGGGTTGACCCGGTATTGATGTGCGGGACCGCCCGCGGTCGTGACGACGAGGATAATGGCCGCGTCGCTCGCAATGACGATGGAACGGTACCGCAGGGTGCATCCCGACTCATTCCTGGTCGATTCAGGCGGGCAATCTATCGTGAGACAGGACCAAATTCGCGCGAACTCGCCGCCCCAGGTGCGCGGCGCAATCGAGTACGGCCACGGTCCCTACAGCAGCGGCCGGATGGCGACCTCGTCCTCAAATGTAATCGTGAACGGTGGGCGGCCCGGGTAATCAGGGCGGCGGACGAAACCCAGGCCGCGGCCCAAATGTCGGTGAAAACCGGTCGGAGTCTCCAAAGATGACGGCGCGGGCTTTTTCCACGACGCAAGGGCGTCGTACGCGGCGGCTGGCACGTCGGGCGTGTCCGGCTTCGGTTGCGCGCAAATGCAGCATCACAGGGCATCGCAGCGGGCCGGCCGTTGCGTCGAGGCTGTCGAACGGAGCCAGCAGAACCGCGTTCGGGTAGTTTCTGGCGGCGGCGGCGAGTGTGTGCCGGTGAACACGCCGCGGGTGAAATCGAGGGAGCTGCGAGTGCAGTTCCCGACTGGACGCCGAGTCGCCACATCGGTGTGTAGCCGAAGCCTTCGTGTGTGCAGCCAGGGTGTGAGGATGATCAGCGGTCGTCGAAAGTTCGCAAGAGTCGGCGGAGCGGTCGGGCATCTCGGTCGCCTGATCGACCCGTGGGCCCGCCCCGTCCTGCACCACGATGGTGATACCGCGCAGGTCGAGCCGTGCAAAGTGTGACCAGGGGCTTCAGGGTGAGCGACCGTGATGATCGAGCGGAGTGTACTAGGCGACGTCGACTGACCTTGTCGCTCTTGCCAAACCGTTGTGTCCGGCGCGATGACACGGTATCCGGCGGCCCGCGCCAGGGGCGTGATCGCGTCGCTGGGGTACATGTGTAACTCCACACCGGCTCGCATGCAGGAGTCTTGAAGTGACGGCTGCGCACGATCCTGCATCGCGATGCAATGCATCCGCAGTCCGTCGAGGTCCAGGTAGTGTGGCGCGAAGGGGAAGTCATCAACGTCGCGAAACTGACTCGTCGCAACGATGGGTCGGGTATGGCTGTTGGCCGAGCGTCCAGGCTCCATAGGTCAGGCTTGTCTCGTCTATCTGGGGTCCAAGTTCGACGGGTTGATCGAACGGGCTGATTGTACCGGAATACGCCGGAAGGCAGGATTCCGCGCCCTAGCGGAGCGCATTCCATGATCAGGAAGTGTGTGGTGCTTCGCAAGGACTCAGGACATCGGCACACGACCTCCCACGGAGTCCCCACAACGGCTAATCGGGAAATCTCACAGTCGAACGACGCGTCAGGGATTCGTTCGCAATCCGCGACGCTGGAGCCGAATGTAATGGGAGGGCATAATGGGCAGTCTGCTACAATCGGCGGGATCGCTTGTACGCCCCCAAGACTACGGGACGGGTTACGGATCGGGATGAACTGGGTAGCACGAATTCGGGGTTCGATGGCGCTAACGCTGCTGGTCGGCGTTCTGGCGCTTGCCGTCATTTCGTGCGCCCCGGCGTTCCGGTGAGGCGGATCGGCGGGGAGGGAAGTGGTCAGTGGCAACGTCTGGCTGTGTAGGACAAAGCCGCTCCGCCGTCGCATGACGCTGGCCGACGGTCCGTCGGTAGACATCAGAACGACTGATAGCAGAACGACGCACCGCCCGCCCACCTCTGTCTGGTTGTCGCGACCTGGGTTAGACCGGAGTGCCGCGCTGAGTTGCAGACGCTGGACCCCATCGCGACGGAATACAGCGAGATCGATTTCTACGTGGTGGCGTTCAACGAGCCCGCCGGAACGATTGAACAATACATCGAGGAGCAAGGTTATACGGACCTGATCGCGGCTCAGCCAGAAGGCACGATGCTGGAGGATCTGGAGATCACCCGGCAGATGGCCATGGTGGCCCTGAACTCGGAGGGAGTGATCTACCACCGTCAGCTGATGGGTTCCGCGGACCAGTGGGCGCCGCATTTTGCGCAATTGACCGAGGACCCGGACGCGGTACCTTCCAAAGAGCAAACCGAACAGCAAAAGGGACGGCGGTTGATGGACATGCAACTGCCGGCTTGATGACAATAGGCACCGGCGTCGTTGACGCCGCAACTGAGCAAGGTGAGAATGAAATACAAACTCCTGGTTGCAGGACTGGCGGCGCTGACCGTTACGTCGTTCGTGGCGTGCGGCTCCCCCGCGGCTTCGGAACCATCGATTCCCCAGCAGCCCACCGAAACCAGGTCCGAACCGAGCGGGGCCGCGGTGCAACCTGCCGCGACCGATCCGGCTCCTCCGCCGGCGCAAGCCGCGACCGCGACTGAAGGCCCCTCGGCGCCGACAAAGACGGCGACCGCAACTGCTGCCGTGGCGTCCACACCAACGGACGTTCCGGCAACCGACCCGCCTACGACAGCGGTGACCACCACAGCCACGCAACCGGCTGCCACCGAAATTCCCACGTCACCGGCAGCGACCAACACGACGGAGCCGGAACCAATGGCTGCCGAGGCGCCGGCGGTTGATGTCGGGACCCAGGTCGGGGAGACACCGCCGGCATTCGCGATGGACCGGTCTGACGGATCCCGGATCGAGTCGGGAGAAATCGTGGGTACCGGCCGACCGGTCTTCATGATGTACTTCGCGACCTGGTGACCAACGTGTCGCGCCGAGTTACGGACGCTGAGCCCAATAGTTGCGGAACACGCTGGACAGGTTGACTTTTACCTCGTTGCCTTCAACGAGAGCGCGAACACCCTGGAAGAGTACATCGCTGAAAACGGGATACACGGACATGATTGCCACGCAGCCGGTGGGATCGATGCTCGCCGACCTGCGGATTGTCAGCCAATCCTCGATGATCGCGGTCGGCAACGCAGGTGTCATCACCTTCCGCAAAGGGTACGGAGGTCGGGGAGCCGACTTCGGCGCGGAGTTTGACGGGCTGGTGCAATAGCCGCAGCACGGCAACTCCGTGCATCACCACAAGCAAAGCGGGCAACCTCACTGGTTGCCCGCACGCGTTTAATCTATTGGCCGCCGTCGGCGTGCGGCAGGCGTGCCGGCCAGCCCCGATTGCAACATGGAGGTTACCTCGGACAGCGGCATGGCGCCATGATTATCGCCATCGCGAGTGCGGACGGCAGCGGCGCCGGCGTCGGCCTCGCGGTCGCCGACGACCAGCATGTAGGGCGTCTTTTTGCAGCTGGGCCTGGCGGATCTTCTGGTTCATTCGCTCGCTGCGGTCGTCGACCTCAACCCGGAAGCCGGCGTCGCGCAGTTGGGCAGCGACTGATTCAGCGTACTTGTTGTGGCGGTCGGCGATGGGAATCACGACCGCCTGGACCGGAGACAGCCAGAGCGGGAATGCTCCGGCGTAGTGTTCGACGAGGACGCCGAAGAAGCGTTCCAAAGAACCCAGGATGGCGCGGTGGACCATGTAGGGCCGAGAACGGTTGCCCTGGTCGTCCTGAAAGACGAGATCGAAGCGTTCGGGCAGGTTGAAGTCGAACTGGACGGTGGTGCACTGCCAGTCCCGGCCCAGCGCGTCCTTGATCTTGATGTCGATCTTGGGGCCATAGAAGGCGCCGCCGCCATCGTCAATGGCGTAGGGGAGGTCACGCGAGACCAGAGCCTGGCGCAGCGATTCGGTGGCATGGTCCCACGTTTCGGTTCCCCCACGTATTTCTCGGGCCGGGTCGACAGCATGATGTCGTATTCCTCGAACCCGAAGGCGGACATGATTTCGAAGGTGAGGTCCAATACGTCGCCCACTTCCGCGGCCACCTGATCGGGCAGACAGAAGATGTGGGCATCATCCTGGGTGAAGCCGCGCACGCGCATCAGGCCGTGCAGCACGCCGCTGCGTTCGTAGCGATACACGGTTCCGAGCTCGGCGATGCGCAGGGGCAGCTCGCGGTAACTGCGGAGAGAGGAGCGGTAGACCTGAATGTGGAAGGGACAGTTCATCGGCTTCAGGAAGTATTCCTGATCGTCGATTTCCATTGGGGCATACATGCTGTCCCGATAGAAGTCCAGGTGGCCGCTGGTCTGCCAGAGGCGCGCCCGGCCGATGTGAGGGGAGTAGACGATGTTGTAGCCGCGGCGGTAGTGGATGTCGCGCCAGTAGTCCTCGATGAGGAACGCATAATGCCGCCCTTCGGGTGCCACACGATGAGCCCCGGGCCGATTTCCTCATGCACGGTGAAGAGGTTGAGTTGGCGGCCCAGGGTGCGGTGGTCGCGGCGCTCGGCTTCCGCCAGGCGTTCCAGATGCGCCTCGAGTTCCTGCTCCGACTCGAACGCGGTCCCGTAAATGCGCTGGAGCATCGGGCGGTTCTCGTCGCCGCGCCAGTATGCGCCGGCCACATTGAGCAGCTTGACGGCAGTCACGTCTCCAGCGCTGGCTACATGGGGCCCCTGGCAGAGGTCGGTGAACTCGCCGTGGCGATAGATGCTGAGGGTCGTTTCGTCCGGAAGGTCGTCGATTATCTCCTGTTTGTAGGGTTGCGAGGAAAACATCGACTTGGCCGAATCGCGGGACAACTCCTCGCGCACGAAAGGAGCGTTGGACCGTATCGTATCGAGCATCAGCGACTCGATTCGCTCCAGGTCTTCGGGAGTGAAGGGCTGGTCCACCTCGAAATCGTAGTAGAAACCGTCCGCAGTGGGCGGGCCGATGCCGACCTTGGCACCCGGGAACAGTTGCAACACGGCGTCGGCCATGATGTGGGCGGCCGAGTGGCGCATACGATGCCGCAGCGATTCGATGGGATCGTCGACGGCGTGTTCCGGGGTTCCGTGGTCCAGCATTGTCGTACCTGCCTGGTGGTGGTAAACGTGGGAAAACTCTCGGAATCATTATAACTGATGGACTTTTCGGCCAATTCAGGGGCACGCTGGCAACACTCCGGTAAACTCTCCGGGAGCGTGGGTTATAATTGCAATTCACGTAAAATTCCCCCTGACTGGAGGAACCCGAGATGGAAGAACTGCGCCAACAGCTTGAAGACATGTCCACCAAGTTGGACGCGGTCATGGAGCGTCTTTGACCTGTCAGGGCGTGAAACATCCATCGGGGAACTGGAAAAGGAGGCCTCCGCTCCCGGGTTCTGGGACGATGCCGGAACGGCCCAGCGCAAAATGCAGCAACTGGGCCAGCTACAGCACTCGGTGGAGTTGTGGCGCGGCCTGGGGAGCCAGGTGGCGGACCTGCTGGAACTCACGTCGCTGGCGATAGAAACCGGCGACGAGAGCGTGGCTGACGAGTTGTCCGTGGAAACGGCGGCGGCGGCGGCGAGCCTGGCGAAGGCGGAGATGGCCCTCACCCTGTCGGGCCCCTATGACGATCGTCCGGCGATCTTGACCATCCATTCGGGGGCCGGAGGCACGGACTCCCACGACTGGGTCGAAATGCTGACCGGTATGTACGCCGGTTGGGCCACCACGGGCAGCCGGCCGGTTCAAGTGCTGAACACGGCATACGGCGACGAAGCGGGTTTGCGGACCAGCACGCTGGAGATCGGGGGGCTACACGCTTTTGGCTACCTGAACGCCGAAGTCGGAGTACACCGCCTGGTGCGCATTTCCCCCTTTGATCCGGCGCGGCGGCGCCAGACATCATTCGCCCGCGTGGAGGTGCTGCCGTCGGCGGTGGACGATGACCCAGAGGTAGAGGTGCGGGCAGACGACCTGAAGATGGATTTCTTTCGTTCCAGCGGGCCCGGCGGGCAGAACGTGCAGAAAGTCGCGTCGGCGGTGCGCCTGACCCACATACCCACCGGGATAGTGGTCACATGCCAGACGGAGCGATCACAGCACCAGAACCGGGATTACGCGATGCGGATCCTGAGGGCCAAGCTCCTGGCGCTGCGCGAAGAGGAACGGGCCCAGGAATTGTCAGCCCTGCGCGGCGACCGGGTCTCGGCCGAATGGGGGAATCAGATCCGCAGCTACGTGCTGCACCCGTACAAATCGGTGAAAGACCATCGGACCGACCACCAGATGGGGAACGCGGACGCCGTGTTGGCCGGCGAGATAGACGGATTCATCGAAGCCTGGCTGGTGAGCCGGCTCGGAGCGGACTAGGCAGACACGTTGGGCGGGCTCGCCTGCAGGGACGATAGCAGGTGGCCCATGCTGTCGCGCTTGGTCCGCATGTACTCCTCGTTGGTCTCGTTTGGCGGTACCGCCAAGCTCACGCGATCCGTCACCTGGATGCCGAGACCGCTGATGCCGGCCATCTTGTGGGGGTTGTTCGTCACCAGCCGCGCGTGGGTGATATCGAGGTCGCGCATGATCTGGACGGCGAGGTCATACTTGCGCTCGTCGGGCTGAAAGCCCAGGGCCACGTTGGCTTCGATGGTGTCCAGGCCCTGATCCTGCAGCGAGTAGGCCTTGATCTTGTTGTGGAGGCCGATACCGCGACCTTCCTGGCGCAGGTAGACCAGGGCGCCGCGACCATGTTCGAAGATCATCCGTATCGCCAGGTCCAACTGGTCACCACAATCGCATTTCAGGCTACCGAACGCGTCGCCGGTGAGGCACTCGCTGTGCACCCGGACCAGCACCTCGTCTCCCGCCTTCCAGTCGCCTACGACCAGCGCGGCGTGCTCGCCGCTGTCGATGGAACTGCGGTAGCCAATTATCCGGGCGACGCCGTACTTTGTGGGGAGATTGGCCTCCGCCACACGGGAGATCAGGGATTCACTGATCCGACGGTGGGCGATCAACTGGGCGATGCTGAAGATCTTGAGGTCGTGCGTGGCGGCGAACTGCTCCAGCTCAGGAAGCCGGGACATGGTACCGTCGGCGTTCATGATTTCGCAGACCACGCCGGCAGGATACGCGCCGGCCAGCTGACACAAATCGACGACGGCCTCCGTGTGGCCGGGACGATTCAGAACACCGCCTGGATGACAACGCAAGGGGAACATGTGCCCGGGATGGATGAAATCGGTGGGCAGCGCATCGGGATCGATCAGGGCACGGATGGTGGCGCTGCGGTCGTACGCGGAAATGCCGGTTGACGTGCCTTGCTTGTAATCCACCGAGGTTGTGAAAGCGGTCGGCTGCGGCGATGGGGAGTTGCGGCTCCGCAGGTTCGGGATTTGAAGTTCGTCGAGCCGGTCACCCAGCATTGGAACGCATACCAGACCCCGGGCGTGGGTTACCATAAAGGCAACCGCCTCGGGCGTGGCGTACTCGGCAAACAGGAACAGGTCCCCCTCGTTCTCGCGCCCCTCGTCGTCGACCACGATGACAAATTTGCCTGAGGTCAGATCTTCGAGCGCCTCTTCAAGGCTGCATAGGGGCATTTTTCCTCCGAGGGATACGGAATGTTGAGACCCGGGCGAAGCAGCGAAACGGAGGGAACGGACAGTTAGACCGCGGGGCCGCTCCCTGGCCCATCAGCCAGCTTCGTTGTCTATTGGGTCGTGTATGCGGCGGTAATCAACCAGATCGGCGATGGACAGGATGTTCAACCGGTGCTCGGCGGCCATGGTAATCAAATCGGGTAGCCGGGCCATAGTGCCATCGTCTTTCATGATCTCACACACCACGCCGGCGGGGTACAGGCCAGCCAACCGGCACAGGTCCACGATGGCTTCGGTATGGCCGGGGCGCACCAGGACTCCCCCGGTTTGATAACGCAACGGGAAGAGGTGGCCGGGCTGGATGAAATCCTCGGGACGGGCGTCGGGGTCGATGAGCGCCTGAATGGTAGCCGCACGGTCCTGCGCCGAAATGCCAGTGGTGGTGTCGATGGCGTAGTCGACGGGCATCGTAAAGGCAGTGGGAAACGGGGAGTCCGAATGCCGGCTGGGCAGCATGGGGATGTCCAACTCGGCCAGCCGATCCGCGGTCATCGGCATGCACAGTTGTCCCCGGGCATGGGTGACCATGAAATTCACGGCTTCAGGGGTTATGAACTCGGCTGGCATGACCACGTCGCCTTCGTTTTCCCGGTCCTCGTCGTCCACGACGATGAGGAATTTGCCGGCTTTGAGGTCTTGCAGGCCCTGTTCGATGCTTGCCAATTGCATCTAAATTCTGGATCCAGCAGGTGAGGTAGCGGGCAATCAGGCGAACCTGGCGGCCAGCAGACTCTCCACGTATTTTGCCAAGATGTCCGCTTCCAGATTTACCTTGTCGCCCACTTCCCGCTCGCGCAGGTTCGTGTTCTGCAAGGTGAACGGGATGATAGAAATCGTGAAGCGGAGTTCCAAACTTTGTACCACCGTAAGGCTGATTCCGTCAACCGCGATGAACCCTTTCTCCACGATGTAGGGAGCGAGGGACTGCGGAGTTTCAACCTCCACTATGAAGCAGTCCTGTTCCGGGGTGATCCCGGTGATTTCGCCGGTATTGTCCACGTGGCCCTGGACAATATGCCCGCCCATGCGGTCATGCGCGGCGAGCGCGCGTTCAAGGTTCACCGCGCTGCCTGGCCCCACCTGCCCCAACGACGTCCGGCGCAGGGTTTCCGGGGCCAGATCAACCGCGAAGGAATCGGCGTCAAAGCTGACCACCGTCAGGCAAGCGCCATTGACCGAGATGCTGTCACCCACGTGAACGTCTTCCAGGACCTTTTCAGCGTGGACGACCAACTTGTAATCGGACCGGGAGGATACGCTCCCCACCTCTTCCACGATGCCAGTGAACATTCAGTCGCCTCCGCGAATGGGATAGCCGGTAATCAGCCAATCGGGTCCGATCGCTTCCATTGTAATGCGTTCAAGCCTGGACACTTCGGCCATCGTGGTAGCGCCGTCGCCCTCGACGGGCGAGCGGGCAGCCGCACCCCCGATCAACATCGGTCCGAGGAACACGGCTACCTTATCCATCAGGCTGGCATCAAGCAACGCGCCCAGCACGCGGCCGCCGCCCTCGACCAGTACGCTGACCACGCCCTGACGACCCAAGTGTTCCATCAATGCCGTCAGATTGACGCGCCCGTCGGCGCCGGGGAACGACAGCACGTCGGCTCCCGCGTCCTGCAAAGCCGCGGAACGAGCGGGATCGGCGCCGGCCGCCGTGGCGATCAGGGTTCGCCCGGGTTGGCTGAGCATACGAGCCCCGACCGGGGTGCGAGCGTCACTGTCGACGACGATGCGCAGGGGCTGCAAATTGGTCGGGAGAGGATCACCGTGGTCGTCGCGGGCTGTCAGTTGCGGATCGTCGGCCAGGGCAGTGCCGATGCCGACCATGATGCCATCCAGTTCTTTCCGCATCTGCTGGACGCGGGCGCGGGCGTCGGGTCCCGTGATCCACTGGGAGTCGCCGGTCCGGGTGGCGATCTTGCCGTCCAGGCTCATGGCGAACTTGGCCACCACGAAGGGCAATCCGGTGGTGACATGCCTGGCGAACGCCTCGTACAGCAACTCAGCCCTCGGGTCCGGGCGATGTTCGGCGTCGATTCCGGCAGAGCGGAGCGCCTCCGCGCCCCCGCCGGATACGCGCGGGTTGGGGTCGGTAACCGCGTATACGACCCGTCCAACTCCGGCAGCGATGATGGCGTCAGTGCACGGAGGGGTGCGACCGTGATGGCAGCAGGGCTCCAGGGTGCAGTACAGCGTCGCTCCGGCAGCGGTTTGACCGGCCTGGTTCAGGGCCCCGATCTCCGCGTGGGCCTGACCGGGAGGCAAGGTGAATCCCTCCCCGACCACGCCGGTCTCGCCAACGATCACCGCACCCACAGCAGGGTTGGGACTGGTGGATCCCAAAGCCGACCGCGCCAGGGCTATCGCCCGAGCCATGGGGTCAACCGGTGTGGCCGCAGCGGTCACGGGATGCCCGGCCCGGTAAAATCCTGGTGAAAACGGCTCGCAGTGGGGCCGGACTGCCCCTGGTAACGGCTGCGGAGTTCGGGCGAACCGTAGAGCCGCTCGGCCGGTTCGGACAATTGCAAGAACGAGATCTGGCCGATTTTCATGCCGCAGTACAGGGCTATCGGCAGGCGCGCGACGTTGCTCAATTCCAGCGTGAGGCGTCCACGCCAGCCGGGGTCCACAAAGCCGGCGGTACTGTGGATCAGCAAACCGAGGCGACCCAGGCTGCTTTTGCCTTCCAGCCTGGCAACAAGATCGTCCGGCAATTCGATGTGTTCCCGGGTACTGCCCAGCACGAATTCACCGGGATGCAGCATGAACGGTTCGTTGTCACCGATGGTGACTTCTTCCGTCAGGTTGTCCAAGGGTTCGCGCACATCAATGTACGGCTGGCGGGAATTGGAAAAGATCAGGAACCGACTGTCCAGGTGCAGATCGATGCTGGCGGGCTGGATGTCGTCGGCGTCGACGGGCTGGACCACGATGCGGCCTTCGGCGATCTGCCGGCGGATGCTGCGGTCGCTGAGAACCATGGGGATCACTTGAGCTCGTAGACGCCGGAGATGCTGACGGTGATTGCCCCTTCGCCAGTCGAGATTGGAGTGTCGAAATCGGCAGCTTCGGCGCGGAGCAGGAAAGCGCCGTCCGGCAGGTTCGTTTCGTTGAAAACCCCCTCGGAAACGACTTTCAGTTCGCCCAGGTCACGGCCGGAGAACTCCGCCAATTGGGCTGCCTTCTCCTGCATGTCTTTGACGGCGGCTTCCCGAGCTTCTTTTTCCAATTCCGACGGGTCCGAGAAGGAAAAGCCGATGTTGTTGAAAACGAGGTGATCGCCACCAGCAGCGACCGCCGCGTCGACCACGGCAGCAACTTTGTCAGTGTCCCGGACCCTGACGGTTAGCCCGTTGCGGACGGTGTAACCCACCTGTTCCCGGCCGTCGGGTCCGTATTCGTACTCGGGATGAATGCGGAAGTGGCTGGTGCCGATATCCGAGTTGAGCAACCGCTGGCGTTTGAGGGCGGCGCGCACGTCGGTCATCGCCTCGGCCGCGGTTTCGCGAGCTTCAGCAACCGAATCGTCGGTGACAGCAACGGCCAGCGACAACTGTGCAAAGTCGGGGGCGCCGCTGGCGACCCCCGAACCCGTGACCACCACCGCGTCAAAGGGATACACCGCGGTCTGGGTTAACGGATCGCCGAGATTGTTGACGGCCCCGCCGGTCAAAGACGCTGCGGGTGGCTGAAAGCTGCAGGCCGCTACCAGCAGCAGGATCGCCACTGCGGCCAGCAGGACGGAAATGCGGATGGACCAATTGCGCATTCTGTTGCTTCCTTATCGGTTATACCTGAAAGCTGGTTGTCTTTGGAAGTTGACTATCCCTGAAAGTTGACCCGGCCTCCGAGCAGCGCCCGGGCCATGACAAATTTGTGTATCTCGGAGGTGCCGCCGCCGATGCGGGCGTGCCGGAGCATGTGATACCAGTGAGCAATGGGCAGGTCCAGGGTTTCGCCCATGCCGCCGAAGACCTGCATTATCTTGTCGATGCTGCGCCAACCCCACTCCCCGGCGGCGTACTTGACCATGGACGCTTCGACACGCACGTCCTCGCCGGCGTCGGCGCGCGCCGCGGTTTCGCGGGCGACCGAGCGGAGGGCGACGATGTCCATGTATACGTCGGTGAGCATCCACTGGATGGCCTGCCGGTCGGCAATCGGACGCCCGTAGGTGATGCGCTGCTGGGACCATTCGATCGCCATTTCCAGGGCTCGGGTCAGGATGCCCAGGGCCATCGCCCCGCGCAGGAGGCGGTCGTGGTGAACCAGCCATTGTTGTCCGAGGGTGAATCCGCCGCCGACCTCGCCGAGAACCTGGGTCTGCGGGACGCGTACATTGTCCAGATGGATGTAATGCTGTTGCGCTTTCGTGGGGACGACCCAAACGCGGATCGGCTCGAAAGTGACACCGGGCGTTGGGTTGTCGATTATGAACATCGTGATGCCGCCGCGCTGCATCTTTTCGGGATCGGTCACTGCCTGCACGAGCAAAAAAGTCGGCGGAAGCGGCTCCCGAGATGAACATCTTGGTGCCATTGAGGACCCAGTCGTCGCCGTCGCGCACGGCCCGGGTCTGCATCATGCCTCCGGGGTCGGAGCCGGCCTGAGGGCTCGGTCTGGCCGAATGAGTAGTACAGGTCGCCATTGACGGCGGGATAGAGGTATTTCTCCTCCTGCTCCGGGGTGCACGCGCCGATCATGAACATGGGAACCGGGGAGGTGGGCAGGTGAACGATGCTGCGGTGCACCTCCTCCTCCAGGACCAGATGGCCCAGGGCTCCCATACCGCCACCGCCGTATTCCTCCGGCACGAAGGAAGTGTAGATGCCCGTCTGCTTGGAGACGTGGTGCAGGCGGTCCCACTGGTCCGCTGAAAGGGTGCCCAGGACCCCGGGCACGGTCTCGAGAACACCGCGCGGAGCCCCGTTGTCCGGTTCGCCTTCCAGGGGAGGATGGGCCAGATACTCCGGTTCCAGGGGGACGCATTCGTCGCGGATGATCTGGCGGACGGTGTTTTTCAGAGCGTCAAGCTCCGGAGGCAAACCGATGTCCGGGGTCATGTTTTCTCCTGGGCGGAAAGATCGGGAAACATATGCGTCGCCGGCAGTTCGCGGGCGATTGCCCCCGCTAGGGTACTGAGCGGGTCAGTCCGATTCAGCGGTCACCGGCTAATGGAACGGGCAGGCATATTTCAAGGCTTCGAGGGCCGGGTTTTCGTCTGCGGTCGGCGCGAGGCGCGCCACGTATTCGCCGTCGGATGTCGGGGGCGGATTGGACGCCGCGGCGACGACTTCCATCACCGAGCCGACGGTTCCGAACAGGATCGCCCCGGCCATTACGACGATGATCCCAATGCCTATTGCCCTGCGCCGCATGATATGCCGTTCCCACTGCCAATTTATGGCGCAATTTAAACAGCCTCTATGATAGCGCATCACGAGCGTTTCAGGAACGAGGCATAGCGCAGCGGCGGTTGAAACCAGCCGGCGATGATTGACCACCGGCAGTGACCGGGCGCCCGTATCGGGTATGAAATGCAGCAGGGCCGACTAACGTGGAGATGTTAGAATACCTGCCGAGATCGAACCTCCTCGCGTGATTGAGGTTCTTCGCGTGCGTGATCGAACCTCCCCGCGTGATTGAAGTTCCCCGCCGTGATTAAAGTTCCCCGCGTGCATGGTAGCCGAGCAGCCCGGACACTTGATGACAATCGGTTCTGAACTCCGCAACCTTCCCAGCGTCGAGCGCGTGCTGAACACGGATACGCTCGCCGCGGCCGTGGACGCCCACGGGCGCGAGATGGTAGTGGATCTGGCCAGGGAGGTGCTCGACGGGGTCCGGAAACGGGTGCTGGCGGGAAGCCCGGCGCCGGCCGGCCACCAAATCGCCGAGGCGGTCCTCGACCTGATGACCGACCTGGCCGAGCCCTCGCCCCGACCCGTCATCAACGCGACGGGGGTTGTCATCCACACCAACCTGGGTCGCGCACCGCTGAGCGATGCCGCACTGGCTGCCGCCGACGCGGTCGGGCGGGGATACTCAGACCTGGAAATTGACCTCGGGACCGGACGGCGAGGATCTCGGCAGGCACACCTGCAATCGTTGTTGCGGCGCATCACCGGGGCGGAAGCGGCGCTGGCCGTGAACAACAACGCGTCCGCCCTGCTGCTGGGGTTATCAGCTCTAGCCGCGGGCCGAGAGGTCATCGTATCCCGGGGCGAAGCCGTCGAAATCGGCGGCGGATTCCGGATACCGGACGTTCTGCGGCAAAGCGGCTGCACCCTGGTCGACGTGGGCACCACAAACCGGACGTACGTGCGGGATTATGCCGACGCCATGACCGAACAGACCGGAGCATTCCTGAAGGCGCACGCGAGCAACTTCAAGGTGGAAGGGTTCACCGCGTTTGTGGGCGAGCGCGAGTTGGTGGCGCTGGGAGAAAGCTCGGGCGTCCCAGTGCTGCACGACGTGGGCAGCGGAGCGTTGCTGCCAACAGACCGCTACGGGCTGGCGCACGAACCGACCCCCCAGGAGAGCATCGCGGCGGGAGTCGGCCTGGTGTTTTTCTCCGGCGACAAGCTGTTGGGGGGCCCTCAAGCCGGGATCGTAGTCGGCAAACGGGACCTGGTCACCCGGCTGGAAAGGCACCCGTTGGCGCGCGCGGTCCGGATCGACAAAATGAGCCTGGCGAGTTTGACGGCGACACTAGCGCACTACGCAATGGGCGAGGCGGAAAACAAGGTGCCGGTTTGGCGCATGATCTCGACATCGGCGGAGGACGTGCGGGCTCGGGCCGACAACTGGCGAGCGGCTTTGGCCACTCACCAGGTCCAGACGGGGGTTGAGCCGGCTCGGTCGGCCATCGGTGGCGGGAGCTTGCCCGGGGAAACATTGCCGTCGTGGACTTTGTCGGTGGACCCGTCGCCGGACCGTTCACCGGAAGCCGTACTGTCCGCGCTCCGCGATCACTCGACTCCAGTGATCGCCAGGATTGCGGACGACACGGTGCGGCTGGATCCCAGGACGGTGCTGCCGGAACAAGACGACGACGTGATACGAGCTATCGCCACGGTGATGGCAAGATAACGGCCAGACAGGACGCAAGGGTCGAAGGACGCAGGGGCACAGCGTGGCGGATTTTCTTTTGGTTCATGGAGCCGGGCAGGGAGCGAAGAGCTGGGGAAAGGTCTGGGGCCACATGACAGCCCCGGAGCAGCACCCGCCGCCGCTCTACCGGGCGCGGCAGTCGGTTCGGGTTCGGGCAGTTGACCTGCCCGGTCACGGTGCGGACGCTGCCCCGGATGCCGGGATGATCGACCTGGCGGAAGCGGTGAAATCGGTCACACGGGTGGCGGACCAGGAAAACTTTTCGGACTACACGCTCGTTGGCCACGAGCTGGGCGGCACGGTTGTGCTGCAAGCGCTGGGCGAGCTACCACGCGCGCCACGGCGGGTCGTGCTCGTGTGCGGGATCGTGCCGGCTTCGGGGCAACCAGCGGTGTCAACCTACCCGACGCCGGTTCGACAGCTGGTTAGATTGTGCAAGACGCTGGGGGCGCTGACGGGCAGGGACATTCCCGCGCCGCCGGAGGTGATCAACCGCTACCGGTGCGGTGGGTTGGAGCCGATGGACCGCATACAGACCATCGGTCATTTCGGACCGTTGCCCCTCAGGATGCTCACCGAACCGGTCACGCTCAGTCTGGACGCGCTGCCCTGTCCGGTAACCTACGTGGTGTTGTCCAACGACCGATTTATCAGCGCGAGCCGGCAGCATGCGATGGCGTCGCGCATACCCGGGGCCACGGTCGTGCAATTGGATGCCGGGCATCAGGTGACCGTGGAAAAGCCGCAGGAACTGGCCGAAACGCTGCTGGCGGCATGACATGGCGGCCGGTCCGGCGGGTTCCTTCGTCGCCGATCTGCACATCCATTCCCCTTACGCGTTCGCCTGCAGCAAGGCGCTGACGCTGGACAACCTGGCAGCGTGGGCTCGCCGCAAGGGCATTGACCTGCTGGCGACGGGGGATTTCACGCATCCGACTTGGGCAAGTGGGCTGCGGGCGCAGCTGACAGAGTCGAACGATGGCCTTTACGAGTACGGCGGCGTACGTTTCGTACCCGGCACCGAGATCAGCTGCGTGTACCGGCAGGGCGGGCGCACCCGGCGCATCCACCTGCTGGTGCTGATGCCAACGCTTGATTCGGCGGCCGCATTCACCAGCCGATTGGACGGGTATGGGAAACTGGCGAGCGACGGCCGGCCCACCGTCAGCCTGAGCGCCCGGGATTTGCTGGAGACGGCGTTGGACTGCAACCCAGAATCACTGGTGATCCCGGCTCACGCCTGGACCCCGTGGTACGGCGTGTACGGCTCCAAAGCCGGTTTCGACAGCCTGGAAGAATGTTTCGGCGATTTGGCTCCGATGGTCCTGGCCGTGGAAAGCGGGTTGTCGTCGGACCCGGCGATGAATCGCACGGTGCCGGAGTTGGAACAGCGCGCGGTGGTCTCGTTTTCCGACGCCCATTCGCTGGCGAACCTCGGGAGGGAAGTAACCGCGTTTTCGGGACCGCTTTCGTGGGACGGGCTGGCCGATTCGGTGGCCGCGAGAAGGGTTGCGTACACGGTGGAATTTCATCCCGAGGAAGGAAAGTACCATTACAGCGGACACCGCCGGTGCGGCGTCGCATACGGTACCGCCGACCTGGAGCGAAAGGGCTCGGACTGTCCGGTGTGCGGGCGGCAGTTGACCCTGGGGGTGCTGCACCGGGTCAATGAGGTTTCCGGGCGCGAGACGGTGGTTGAATGGGAGCCGGACGCCGACGGGTTCGTTCGGGTCGGAGAAGGCGCCCCACCGTATGCGCGGTTGATCCCGCTGCGGGAGATTATCGCGGCGGTGAGACGGGTTGGAGTGAACACTCGGACCGTAAACCGGGAATACTCGGCCATCACGGATGCGATCGGAAGCGAGTTGGCCGCGCTGCTGTGGGCTACCCCGAGCGACTTGGAGGCGGTTGCCGAAGATGCAGTGGCAAGGGGGATCATGCAGGCTCGCGCCGGGCAGGTACAGATCATCCCTGGGTTCGATGGACAATACGGTTCGGTGTCCTTGCCGGGCCAATAGCCCATTGGCGACGGTCGGGTCGTGTGGCAACTGCGGAATGCAGCGGGACAGGCGCAACCGTTTGTTAGAATGGCGCAAACAATCCGAGCAGCGGCGGTCATGGATATTGCATTGCGCCGGATGCGGGCCGACGATATCCCGCAGGTGATCGAGATCGAACAGGAAGCGTTCACCCCCGGCTGGGTGGGAACGCCGTTTCGGCGCGAGTTGAACAGCCGGTACACGCGTTTCCTGGTGGCATACTACAGCGAAGATGCTGAGCGCGACGGCCGCGCCCCGAACGAAGCCGGGCACACAATCCGGGCCGGCTGATGCATCGCTCTGGGGACGAATGCTGACTGGGGTCAAGTCGGCGTTGGGGTTTCGACGAGAGGATGACGTGGACGATCTGACCGGCTATGTCGGCATCTGGCTGCAGGGCGACCAGGCGCACATTACGGAAGTAGCCGTGCGGGAAGAACTCCGCGGGACGCGGGATCGGGGAACTCCTGATTATTGGAACGCTCCGGGTGGCCTACGAGCAGGGGTTGGCAGAGGTCACCCTTGAGGCGCGGGTGTCGAATTTCATAGCGCAAAGGTTGTACGACAAGTACGGCTTCAACGAAGTCGGGATCCGCAAAAACTACTACGCGGACAACCGGGAAGACGCGGTGATAATGACCACCGACCCAATCCGCACGGCGTCCTATCGGGAAAAGTTCGCCTCCCTGCAGGAGACATTTCTCGCCCGGTACGGGGACATTCGGATAGAAATCTGATCCCGTGACCTTGGCTGGCCGGCGGTTTTCGCCTGGCTACCGCGGGGTTATGCCCGCGGTCTTATACGGTGCTCGCAATGGTTGAGCGCCGGTAGTCCGACGACATAACAAGCTCGGACCGGGAAGGTTCTCAGCCGGCGGATCAGTGCATGAAACGCCGGGCATTTCCAGGGTGCGATTCGCATCGCCTGAGGGCAGGCAAACAGGAAATGCCAAGTCGTTGCCCGGCCGGGAATCGGGTGTTAGAATTCCTGCCGTTGCAGATATATGAGAGTTTGGTCAACATAACCAGCAAGGATAAAACGATGGCATCTTTTGACGACTACGTCCTGGTAAGCCAGTTTCCGGAGAAGCCCGTAGAGCGCATGATCGCAGCTTTTCGCGGGTGGCCCGACGCGGGGGACGCAGCCACCGCGACCCTGAATTACATGCTCACCGCACTGGGAGCCGAGAAGTTCGCCGAGATCGACCCGGAAGAGTTTTTCAACTTCGCCCAGGAGCGCCCACGCTCGACCCGGAGCAGAGACGGGATCAGACATTTGCAGTGGCCGGCCAACGAGTTTTACCTGTGGCCAGGGTCCGATGAGGCCCCACCGGCGGTGTTCTACCTGGGTACGGAACCGCATCTTAGGTGGCGTACTTTTGCTTCGCTGGTCGGTGACCTGGCCCGAACCTGCGGGGTCAAATCGGTGGTCCATATCGGGGCGTTGCTGGACGCGGTTCCGCACACCCGGGTGACCAAATTCAGCGGATCGTCGACCAACCAACAGATCCAGGCGGCGTTCGACCGCGGGAACGTTCGCACCACCAACTACCAAGGCCCCTCCGGGATCACGCTGCCGGTATCGGAGTCATTGGCTGCCCGGAGCATCAGTTATACGTCGTTGTGGGGGCATGTCTCACACTACCTGCACGCGACGCCGAATTTTCGGGTTGGCCTGGGTCTGGCGCAAAACCTGTCGGAGATGCTTGGGTTGCCCGTTGACCTGAACAAACTCACGGTGATGGCGGAGTCATTCGACCGCGAGGTGGCGAAGGTAATCGACGGCGACGATCAGCTTGGGAAATACATCCTCACCCTGGAAGAAAAGTACGACGCCGCAGTGGATGACGCGGAGATGCCTGACCCGGCGGATCTGGTCCGCGATCTGGAACGCTTCCTCAGAGCAGAACGCACGGGAGGCGGCGAGGACTGACTGCATCGCTGCGGTTCAGGCCAGGGTTTACTGGAAAGCGATCGGCACTCTGACAACGGTTTCAAACCGGTTTTTCGGCCGAGAATGCAGGTCGACGCGACGGGCGTGACCAGGATGGGCCACATTCAATGTGCCAGTCTCGATGTGCCAGTCGCGAATCTGCCGAAGACATTTCGCTACTCAGTCCCGAGCCATCTTACGAAGACGCCTTTGGCGCCATTGCCCAGGCGAGCCAGAGTTGCTAACCTACGGGATCAGCAGGAGTATCCCCACGTGACCACCGAACAGTATCGGCAGGCCAGCGAACATTTTCTTGTGCAGGCCAAAGAAGAACTCGCCGCCGGCGATCTGCCGCAGGCATCAGAGAAGGGCTGGGGCGCCACAGCGCAGATACTCGAGGCCATCGCCGCACAGCGCGGCTGGGAGCATAGCCGACACCGGCACTACCACCGAATAGCCAGCCGACTCCGGGCAGAAACCGGTGACGGCGACATCCGCCGCCTGTTCGGCGTAGCCAACCTGCTACACGAAAACTTCTACGAGAACGACATGGAGACTGACGATGTCGCCGACGGATTGAACGACGTCACGGCCCTGCTGGACAAACTCCTACCCATGCTGACCCGAACATAGTCCCTGTCTGGACCAAGTAGCGAAATTGCCCCGGGTCTACCGTAGTCGGGTTGCCCGCATCGGGCGCCGGGCGTATAGTCTGGCTGTCGCCGAACAAGGCGCCGCGAGGAGACGCCGATGATATTCGACTGGCCGGCCCGGATGCAGCAGATGGCCGATTTCGTGTTGTTCTCTGAGGAGGACCTCGAGTTGGTCCGGGCGAGCGGGCCGATCCTTCTGGACCGCGCAGAAGAGTTGACCTCGGCGGTTTACGACCACTTCCTGCGGTTTCCACAGACGGCGCGGTTCTTCCTCACCCCGGAGGGCGAGATTGACCAGACTCGCCTGGACCGGCGCAAGCACAGCCTGGCGCGTTGGTTGCGAAATAGCATCGACTTCCAGCTGGACGAACAGTTCCCGGTCTTCCTGCTGGCGATGGGCGTGGTCCACAGCAACCCTTCGCTGGAGCGCGGTTACCTCGGGTCCGTGCCGGCGAGGTTCATCATCGGCACGATGTCCTTCGCTCAGACGGCTATCGCCGGCGTGTTGTTGGAGGAAATGACCGACCCGGCGCAGGCGTTGCGCACATGCACCGCCTGGAACAAGCTGCTGCTGCTGCAGCTGGACGTGCTTCTCGCCGGCTATGTTACGGAATCGCCCACCCCGGCAACGGATCCGCCCCGACCCGCAGACGACGAATCCGACGTGGATCCACAGGGCATGCGACGGGTGCTGACCAACATCCTGGATGCCAATCGGACCAACGGGAACGCCCATGGCGCTTCCGAGCAACCTCAAGGAGAAGGACAATGACCAAGGTGCTGGTGATCCAGGGCGCGGGGATGAACATGCGCGGGAAGGTGCAAGTCGAGATCTTTGGCCCGAACACGCTGGACCAAATGAACGAGCAGATCCGCGGCTACGGCGAGAGCCTGGGTGTCGACGTCAAGATCGTCCACTCCAACGTGGAAGGCGAGGTGGTGAACGCGCTGTACGACGCCTGGGAAGAGGGCTACGACGCCTGCCTGATCAATCCAGCGGGATATACCACGGTGAACGGGCCGCTGAGGGGCGCCATACAGCAGGTGCCCATGCCCGTGATCGAAGTACACGCCAGTAACCCGACGGCTCGCGGCACCGTGTCAGCCGTGTTGCCGGTCAGCCAGGGATGCGTCTACGGGTTCGGCGTGTACGGTTACTACCTGGCCATGGAAGCGGTCAAACACACGGTTGACTAGCTCCCCGTCGCTGCCGGGTTACTCGCAGCGCAGACAGCGAACATCCTTGAACACGCGTTCGTGGATGTCCGGGTTCAAGAGCAGGTAGTCCATAACGATACGGACGACCTTGCCCTCGTCCGCGATGTTGTACTTCTCCTTGGAAGAGTTGATCAGGCCGATGTGCTCGGCGTTGACGTCCACGGTAAGTGCGGTTTTGGTGCCGGCCATAGTTTGGAGCTCCTGATGGGTGGGTATGGAATCCGCGCCCAGACGGGTCGCTGGCGCGCCGGCATAGAATAGCCGCACTCAACCGCATAGTTCAACTGTGGAAAGACGCTTGGCGCGGGTAGGTCTCCACGGCGCGCTTCCGGCCCGAGATGGCAGGCACCGGGATCAGTTTCCGGGTTGACGAGTTACGGCTGCTGATTCCGCCTGGATAGTGGCAGCAAACCGCGCTCGTGTCCCGGTATCTCGCCCCCCGGTACGGTTGGACGACGCGGGTTGAACAGATCAGTCCAAACTATGATCGCTTTCGTAGTGAACTAACCAGGCGGGAAGGTCTAGACTTAGCGGCTAACAAACCAGCTAATTACGGAGAGGGTCATGGCGATCACAACGGCGACCTATGTATGCTCGAAGTGCCAATGCACCAAGTGCGACATGGACGAATTTCGTGCCACCGGAGGCAATTTCGCGAAGATTTTCGACGTGCAGAACAAGAAGTTCACTACGTTGTCATGCAAACAGTGCGGGTACACCGAAATCTACAAAGGAAACACGTCTACCTTGGGCAACGTGTTCGACTTCTTCGCCGGGGGCTAGGGTGGACCCGCTCGACGGCACCAACGAGTAAGCCCTCCGCCTGAGGTGGAGGGCTTTTCATATTCTGGTACCCCGGATGGGCTTCGATCCCATGATCTCCACCTTGAAAGGGTGGCGTCCTTGCCAGGCTAGACGACCGGGGCGGATTACGTGGCAATAGCCACGTTGAATCAGTTTACCACAGGGGCCGGAATTACGGGTATACGGCCAACGCTTCGAGGGACATTTCCTCGGGGAAGCCGCACATCAGGTTCATGTTTTGGACGGCCTGGCCGGCTGCGCCTTTGACCAGGTTATCGAGGCAACTGATCACGATGAGCCGGTTGGTGCGCGAGTCCACCACCGGATGCACCAGGCAGTAGTTGTTGCCCAGGGTCTGCTTGGTTTGGGGAGGCGCGTCGGTTACCCGCACGAAGGCGTCATCCGCATAGAACTCCTGGTAGACCCGACGGACACGCTCGCTGGCGTCGGGATCCTGGGCGAGGTCGCTCCGGAGCGGGGCGTAACAAGAGCTGAGGATACCCCGCGTCATGGGGATGAGGTGAGTCAGGAAAGTCAGGTTGACCGGGTCGCCGGCGATGGAGTCCAGTTCCTGGCTGATTTCAGGCAGGTGACGATGGCCGTTGACGGAGTAGGCCATGACGTTTTCGTTCACCTCCGAGAAGTGGGTAGTCATGCTGAGGGTGCGGCCCGCGCCGGAAACGCCGGACTTGCTGTCGACGATGATGTCGCTTCCGATGAGACCGTTTTGGATCGCGGGGGCGAGCGCCAGGATGGCGCTGCTCGGGTAGCAGCCAGGGTTGGCGACCAGGCGCGCATCGGCTACCGCGTCACGGTTGAGCTCGGTGAGGCCGTACACCGCCTCCTCCAGGTAGGTGGGATCGGGGTGATCGACGCCGTACCATTCACGATAAACATCGGCCTGCTTGAGGCGGAAGTCTGCGGAGATGTCGACGACCTTGACGCCCTGCTCAAGCAACGGTATGCAAGCTTCGGCGCTGGCCTTGTGCGGAAGGGCGGAGAAGACGAGATCCAGGTCAGCGCACAGGTCGGCGGTGATGTCGAGGTCCATGTTGTCCAGGTGCGGAAAAACCTCACCCAGGGATTGACCGGCCGCGCTGCGTCCGGTGACAGAGGCGATTTCGACTTCGGGATGATGGCGCAGGATGCGGACGAGTTCGCAGCCGGCGTATCCGGTGACATTGATGATTCCGACTTTCACGGTTGGAGCTCCTTGACGACCTGGGTGTGCGGGACAGGGGTAGGCGATTCCTGGCGTCGTCGGCGCCGCCCGGGTGATTGGCTGTCCGGCCGGTCGGTATCTGCGGCATCGTGGGCAGCACCTTCGGGTTCCTGAACCCCGGCGTCGGCGGCAGCTTGCCGGATGGCTTCCTCGTCGCGAGATGGGCAACCGTAGTTCACGACGCACTCCCCGCAGCGGGGACGCTGCGCCTTGCAAACCTGGCGTCCCGTGGGTGATGAAGGCGGCGTGGAACGGATACACGTCCTCCGGGCGGCATGGCCGCCTCCAGAACCTCGTGGGCCTTGTCGGTGTTGACCTTGGGGCCGATGATGCCCAACCGCTGGCTCACACGGTAGATGTGGGTGTCGACGGCCATAGCGGGCATGCCGAGGGAAAAGCTCAGGATGATGCCGGCGGACTTGGGGCCCAATGCCGGGCAGTTGACGCAGCCACGCCCGCGCCTCACCCATGGGCATTTCGGCGAGGAAGTGGAGATCCAGGGAGCCGTCGTTCAGGTCCAGGATACGGCCCAAAACACCCTTGATACGAGGCGCCTTGACGCGGGCCAGGCCTCCGCCGGATATGGCTTCCTCGATATCTGCGACGTCGGCTTCGGCGACGGCCTCGAGCGTGCCAAAACGCTGCATCAAACTACGGAAAGCGCGTTCGGAGTTGCGGTCGGAGGTGTGCTGGGACAGGATGGTGAAGGTCAGCTCGTGGGCCGGATCCAGGCGCGGCTCGTTTTCGAACGGACCGTACTCCTCGGTGAGCAGCCGGATGGCGTCAGAAACGGTGACGCCGGGTTTCTTGGGCCGGCGAGAGCGGCGGGTTTTGGCGGCAGATTTGGGAGGCATGATCGATCACCGCGAGTGCAACACCGGGATTTTAGCACAGGGCACACGCGGTTAGTGGTGCGCGTATGATCGACTGACAACATTCCGACTGCCAGCTTTCCGACCGGCGGCATGCCGACCGGCGGCGAGGCTGCGCTCACCGGTGAAGGCGTCAGGCGGGCCCGGACTGGGGTTGGGTTACCGGCGGAGGCTGCGACGGGCGGGTGACCAACGGCGTGAGAAACAGGGCGGGAACTGAAATGGCGATGCAGACCAGCGCGTTGAGCGTCACGGACGTCTGGATTCCAATAACATCCCCCAGCCAACCCATGAGCAGCACGCCCGGAGGCGTCCCGATGCCGATGCACAGGCTCTGCAGGCCAACCATGCGGCCTCGCATCTCGGGGGGAGAGGAGCGCATGGTGATGGCCCCCTGCATGGTGCCGAAGCAGGACAGGCCGATCCCGCTGAGAACCAGGATTGCAAACGTTGCGGCATACCACGGCGACCAGACGAAAATTGTCGACGTTATCATCACGCTGAAGGCGCCGATGGCGAATATGCGCCCGTGATACCGAATTGACCCAACCGATGCCAGGATCACGGCAGTCACCAGCTGACCGATGGATTCTGCGGCCGCGAGGACGCCCACCAGCGTTTCGCCGACATTCAGGTGGTCGCGGCCAATGGCCGGCACGAACTGGCGGGCCGGAAAGGCCAGGCCATTAATCATAATGGTGATGAAGAGCATTCCCATGAGTTGCCGGTGGCTGAACGCCGCCCGCACCACGTCGCCCAGGCTATTCCAGATCGGTTCCACCCGCCATTCCCGCTCCACCCGGGGGATGATGACGCGAATTGCCATCAGCAACGCCGCAACATGCATGGTGACAACGGCGACATAGGCCCAGGTGTAACCAGGATAGTGCGGCCAGAAATAGCCGACATGCTCGATCAGAAAACCGCCCGCGAAGGGGCCCAACATGCGCCCCATGGTCCCGCTCATCGAGTCGATGGACAGGGCGTTGACGACCCGGCGTTCGCCCACGATGTCGAAGATCGCGGTGCGGCGGGCCGGGTCTTCCAGGGCGCGACTGATGCCCTGCGCGAGCATGGCGGCGAACACGTGCCAGGGAGCGATGTTGCCCGAAAACAGCAGCAGAAAGAGCGCGGCGCCGGCGCCCAGTTTGATAACCATCGAGCTGACCCAGATTTTCTTGCGGTCGAAGCGGTCGGCGATGATCCCGGTGAATGGCGAGAATATGGGCCGGGGGAGGTTCTCAAAGCCGAGCACGAGGCCCAGCATCAGCGCCGAGTCGGTCAACGAATAGACAAGAACGCTGGTAACCAGGAGCTCCATCCAGCGTGTCAGCTCGGCGACATTCACGACGTACCAGATCGCCCGAAAACGAGGATTGCCAAGAACCTCAAGCATCGGGGATGTGGGGCGGACGCCAGTGCGTGCCATGCAAAACACTCCGCGCGGGCGGTGTGCTCCGCGTGCGCCGGCCGGATTGTACACCGCCCATACCGGCAGCGCGTTTATCGTCACGCACAGTCGCGGGTCAAATTAGGGGAGCGCATCATGCGCAGCAGCCAGTCAATGCCGTCAACGAGGCAAGGATTCGGGGAGTGCTAAACTGGCCGACCATAACGGCGATACCGTTTCCGCCCGTGCCACCAGGGCGGACCAGATCAACCGACGCGCCATCTGCAGGTTGCGGCGCGGCGCACGGCCGCAGGTACCGGATCGGATGGCGCGAGAAGATCAAAGGCTGCATCGGCGACGGCAGCGATCCCAGGACAGCGCGCTGAGTGACCACGGGCAGCAGGAGTTATCAGGATGGCGGGCGAACGTTTGACGAATAACACGGAGCAAGCCGGCGCCCCGGCTCAAAGCACCCGGTCCGGGTACCTTCCCCGTGCCCAGGACACCCCCGCGACCTTCGTTTCGGGATTCAACAACTTCCTGTCGGCGGGACGGTTGTCGCTGGCAATCCGGTTGGGGCTGCGACACGGCGTTGACCGGGAATACCGGCGGCGGTACCTGGGTATCCTGGCGGCGGACGCGATGATTGCGCCGATGCGTTGTTGGCAAAGCATTTTGTACGGCGGTCGCATCAGCAGGACGGAGATACATCCGCGGCCGCTCTTCCTGCTGGGGTTCTGGCGGTCGGGGACGACGCTGCTGCACAACCTGCTGTCAATGGACCCGCAATGGGGGTTCGTGAGCACATATCAGGCCGCGATGCCCGATGCGTTCCTTGCCGGTCAGAAGCGGGTGCGCCGTATGATCGAGAGGACACTGCCGGCCAATCGCGGGGTGGACAACATACCGGTTGACCTGGCGATGCCCCAGGAAGAAGAGATCGCGCTGGACTGCATGTGCGGTTTCAGCCCGTATGTCTACCTGCATTTCCCGCGCACGGGCGAGGACACGTTGGACTACCTGTTCGCGGAGGATCGGTTGGACAACGCCCGGCGCGAGGGTTGGCGGCGAGAGTTCACGCGAATGCTACGGACGGCCAGCTACCACATGGAAGGCAAGCCTCTGCTGCTGAAGTCGCCGTCGAACACCAGCCGCATTTCGGCGCTGTTGCGGATTTTTCCCGACGCGCGTTTCGTCTACATTCAGCGGGACCCGTACGACACGCTGCGCTCATACGCCTACCTGCTGCGGATGATGAACGATTGGCACGCGCTGCAACGGGTTGACTTCGACGAGCTGCTGGCGAAACAAGCGGATGTGTACCGTCAAATGGCCGAAGCGTACCTGGAGCAGAAACGGTTGCTACCGGACGGCCGGCTGGTGGAGGTGCTTTACGAAGATCTGGAACAGGACAAGATTGGTCAGATAAAGCGCATCTACACGTCGCTGGGACTGGGGGGGTTCGCCGAGTTCCAACCGCGGCTGGCGGAATACGTGGACTCGATTGCGGGCTTCCAAAAGAACCCGTCGCACGTGAGCAACACGATAATCGACCTGGTGAACGAGGCCGTGCCGTTCCTGGTTTCCGAGTATGGATACGAGTTCAGGACCGCGTCCCGCGTCAGCCGCTGAGCCTGCCGTGATAACATTCGAATAGAGGTGGGCAGACAGTCCGGCTGCGGTTAACCGACCCTGCGGACTGCCACGATACGCCGTCCGTGTCGCGCTGTGACCCGCCGACAGCCGGGCAATGCTGACCGGCGCGACCAACCAATCGTTACCAGGAGGAGCCGGAAATGGACCACGCGGTCAAGGACTTTTGGGAAGGCACTCGGGCCATTTTGAACGAAACCCCGGTGGGCGCGGAGCTTGCACCATGCGAAGAGCTCAGCGGCCGGGAATATGAGACCTGGAACGTGACGCTGCGGAGCTACGGCGGGCAGCGGCTGCGAGGATTCTACACCGTGCCCCGGCACGATCCGCCAGTCGGAAAGTTCCCGGCGATGTTGGCCGTTCCCGGGTACGGCGGCGCCAAGGAGATCCCTTACCACGTGGTCATGCACGGCTTCGCGGTGCTGACGCTGTTCCCGCGGGCGCAGGGTGAAAGCATACCCGAATGGGATTTGCCGCACGGAACAAAGTTGACCTACAACGTCACCGACCGGGAGAGTTACTACTACCGGGCCGCGTACATGGACTGCGTGCGGGGCGTGGATTTCCTCTGCGAGCGCGCGGAAGTGGACGACAATCGCATTGGGATGTGGAGCCGGAGCCAGGGCGGTGGGTTCACGCTGACCACGACGGCGCTGGACCATAGGCTGGCGGCGGCGGTGGCGGAAGAGCCTTTCATGTGCAACTACCCGGTGGCTATCGACATCGAGACCCGCCCATACCACGAACTGTCCAACTACGTACAGGACCATCCGGAACAGCGGCAGGAGATGTTGGACACGCTGCAGTACTTCGACGCGCTGACGCTGGCGGACGCGATCGAATGCCCGACCCTGGTGAACATCGGGATGGCAGACACGACCTGCCCATACGAGACCATCATGCCGGTGTTTGACCGGATACGGGCGCACAAATCGCTGCTGGTCTATCCGGATTTGACGCACAGCCCGTGTACGGACTTCAACGTGCACGCGATGAACTGGCTCAAGAGGTACCTGGGCGCCTGACTCCTCAGCGCCCACACACGACATAACTGAACGCCGAGATGGGAAGTGGGAGGCAGATAACATGCCCGCGAGAACCGGGGCCGCATACCTGGCCGGATTGAAAGAGCAGCAGCGGGAGATATGGCTGGACGGCCGTCGCGTCGACGACGTGACGGAGTTTCCGGGCTTGGCCAACGGGGCGCGATCAATCGCGCAGCTTTACGACATGCAGCACGATGCGGCTGCGAGCTGCGCGATGACCTACGCCTCGCCGGCGACCGGCGACCCGGTGGGACTGTCGTTCATCATCCCGCGGACGAAGGATGACCTGGCACGGCGCAGGGAAATGATGTCGCGGTGGGCCCATGCGAGCTACGGAATGATGGGACGGACGCCGGACTTCCTGAACGTAACGATCATGTCGATGGCGGCGGCCGGAGACTTCTTCGGTGACAACCGACCCGAATTCAAGCAGAACGTCACCGACTACTACGAGCACGCCCGGGACAACGACCTCTGCATGACCCACACGCTGGTAAACCTCCAGCGCAACCGGGCCCCGTCGGCGACCTCGATGAACTACAGCACCGATGTCGCGCTACACGTGGTCAAGGAAACGGACGCCGGGTTGGTGGTACGGGGACCGCGTGTCTTGGCGACGCTGGGTCCGCTTTCGGACGAAATTATGGTCTACCCGACGCGCTCGTCGTTGCTGGCCAGAGACGAAGACGCGCACAAGTACGCGTTCGCGTTCGCCGTGCCGTGCGGCATCGACGGGTTGAAATTCATCTGCCGGGAAAGCTTCGACCTTGGAAAGTCCCACTTTGACCACCCACTGGGGTCGCGGTTCGAGGAGATGGACGCAATCGTCTATTTCGACGACGTGCTGGTGCCGTGGGAACGGGTCTTCATGTACGGAGACCGGCACAAATGCAACAACATGTCGGCGGAAACGGGGCAGTACGTGCATACGGGTCACCAGGTGGTGACCAAGAACGTAGCCAAGTGTGAATTCATCACCGGGATTGCCAGCCTCATGGTAAACACCCTGGGCAACGGCGACGTCCCGCAGGTACAAGGTCTGCTGGCGGAGTTGGTGGAAAACCTGGAGATCACCAAGGCGCTGCTGACCCAGTCGGAAGTGAACGCGAAGCTCGACAATTGGGGAGTGATGCTGCCGGACCGGGTGCCGCTGAACGTGGCACGAAACCTGTTCATCAAGATGTATCCACGGATGGCGGAGATCATCCAGTTGCTGGGATCGAGCAGCCTGATGGCGTTGCCGTCCGAGCAAGACTTCGGTGGACCGATGGGCGAGGTTCTGGATACATACCTCGACACGGATACTGCCACGGCGCGGGAGAGGGTTCGATTGTTCCGGCTGGCCTGGGACGCAGCGTGCAGCTCATTCGCCGGTCGGCAGGTACTGTATGAGCGTTACTTCCAGGGCGACTGGATGCGGAACGCGGCGTTGTTGCTGGGCATCTACGACCGGGAGCCAATGATGGAGCAGGTGCGAGAATTCCTGGAGCGTGACTGACGACCCCAAACCGGAACGATGCGGGCCCCGCGGTCGAAGCACCGGCGGGGCTTTTTCTACCCGCGGATAGGGGAAGACGTTGAGACGATACGGCCTGGCATCCCTGATGATCGATATTCATCGTCGTTCATTTCTTTGCGAAATCAGGGGCGGCTAACTAGCCGCCCCTGGTAGTATCCCGCCTAACGGGAAACGGAGTGATTCGAGATCTACTGTTGGAGTCCGTCAGTGACCGGTCCCTTGAAGGCGTCGTCGCCTCCGAACACCGTGCCTACCGTCCCAGCCTCTAACTTCGCCAACCCCAGGTCGTAAACCTGCTGCGGGAACGGAATGTATCCCACCGATGCTGCCAGCTCCTGGCCGTTCGCGCTCAGGTAATATTTCACGAACTCCGAAATATGCTCTTGCTCGGCCGCGTCCGAGCGCACGTAGATGAACAGCGGCCGGCTCAACGGCGCATATGAACCGTTGTTGATCGCGTCGTCCGTCGGGGCAACACAACCGTTGCCGCCGTCGACCGGCACCACCTTCACCTTGTCCTTGTTCTCCACATAGTACGCATACCCGAAGTAACCGATGCTGTACTTGTCCCCCGAGACGCCCTGCACCAGCACGTTGTCGTCCTCCGACGCCACGAAGTCACCCCTTGACACGCCGCCATCACCGTTGACCGCCTCGGTGAAATAGTCGAACGTGCCCGAGTCCACGCCAGGCGCGTACAGCTTGATCTCTTCCGCCGGCCAGTCCGGGTTCACCTGGTTCCACTGGCTCACCACGCCCTCAGATTCCGGGCTCCAGATGGTGTTCAGTTGCTCAACCGTCAAACAGTCCACGAAATCATTTGCCGGGTTCACCACCACAGACACGCCATCGATGGCCACCGGCAGCTCGATGTACTCGATGCCCGCGGCGGAACACAGGTCAACTTCCTTCTGCTTGATCGGCCGGGATGCGTCGGAGATCACGGTCTCGTCATCGCAAAACTTCTTGAAGCCGCCTCCGGTTCCCGAGATGCCCACGACCACCCGGACGTTGTCATCGGTCAGGCCGCCGAATGCCTCAGCCACCGCCTCGGTGATAGGGAACACCGTGGAAGAACCGTCAATCGAAATGTCGCCCGAGAGATTGCCGTAGTCCACGATGTGGGTCATTTTGTCTTCCGTCATGGCCCCGCCGCCAAGGCCATCAGCGATGGGTCCCTTGAAGGCGTCGTCGCCTCCGAACACCGTGCCTACCGTCCCAGCCTCTAACTTCGCCAACCCCAGGTCGTAAACCTGCTGCGGGAACGGAATGTATCCCACCGATGCCGCCAGCTCCTGGCCGTTCGCGCTCAGGTAATATTTCACGAACTCCGAAATATGCTCTTGCTCGGCCGCGTCCGAGCGCACGTAGATGAACAGCGGCCGGCTCAACGGCGCATATGAACCGTTGTTGATCGCGTCGTCCGTCGGGGCAACACAACCGTTGCCGCCGTCGACCGGCACCACCTTCACCTTGTCCTTGTTCTCCACATAGTACGCATACCCGAAGTAACCGATGCTGTACTTGTCCCCCGAGACGCCCTGCACCAGCACGTTGTCGTCCTCCGACGCCACGAAGTCACCCCTTGACACGCCGCCATCACCGTTGACCGCCTCGGTGAAATAGTCGAACGTGCCCGAGTCCACGCCAGGCGCGTACAGCTTGATCTCTTCCGCCGGCCAGTCCGGGTTCACCTGGTTCCACTGGCTCACCACGCCCTCAGATTCCGGGCTCCAGATGGTGTTCAGTTGCTCAACCGTCAAACAGTCCACGAAATCATTTGCCGGGTTCACCACCACAGACACGCCATCGATGGCCACCGGCAGCTCGATGTACTCGATGCCCGCGGCGGAACACAGGTCAACTTCCTTCTGCTTGATCGGCCGGGACGCGTCGGAGATCACGATCTCGTCATCGCAAAACTTCTTGAAGCCGCCTCCGGTTCCCGAGATGCCCACGACCACCCGGACGTTGTCATCGGTCAGGCCGCCGAATGCCTCAGCCACCGCCTCGGTGATGGGGAACACCGTGGAAGAACCGTCAATCGAAATGTCGCCCGAGAGCGTGGCATACGTGGCGGGGTCGGCTACCTTTCCCGGCTGGTCGCCGGGTGCGCCGGTCGAAGCCGAAGCAGAGCCGTTTGCGGACTGACCAGGGGGAGATTCGTCGGCAGCGCTGCAGGCAGCGGCCATGAGGACGGCGGCGCAACCCATCACCGCGATGACGAGCAGCAACCGAAATGGTAGTTTCCTCAGAGTAGCCATCGTGGCGGAACTCATTGATCCTCCTGAAAATCGAAGTCGAGGCGGATTTCCTATTGGTCAAGGCAATTTGGCCTCGCGAATTGCGGTTAAGCGGGGCCGATGGTCACGTTGCTAAATATGCATCCCTCCAGGTGTTCTATTCATTGATCCCGCGTACCAACCGGGTTGTCGGTTTGGTCGGGAAAGCAAAAAACGGCGAAATCAAATGACTTCGCCGAAAACAATTGGGAGCAAATTCCGCCGCACCCGCGAGGGCAGCGGGTGCAGGTGGCACGTCGCCCTCAAAGCTGGGTGGCAATAGCCAGGGAACCCGGCCTCCGTCGGGGCAAAAAATAACGGGGGACGAATCCCCCGTGGTGCGAAATGATGGCGTTTCGGTCGAGTCAGCAGCGACAGGCGGTACGATCACCGACGCCGCTCCCGCCATTACAATTGCGGCGGGCCACGGTTCTCCTTTTGGAAACTTAAACACGGGAGATTCCGAAAATGACGATTTTCTACTGAGATCGCTCAACACGGACATCTCTCAGCGGCCGTCCGACACGATAGCTTCCATTTCGTCAGGGTCTTTGGGTATGGCTTCCGAGAGCACCCGGAAACCGTCTTCCGTCACGAGAACGTCATCCTCAATTCGGATGCCAATGCCGCGGTAGATGTCAGGAGCCTGCTTCGCCTGCGGGCCAAAATAGAGCCCGGGCTCAACGGTCAGTACCATGCCTGGACGCAGGCGTATTTGACCGCGATCATCCCGGTACGGGCCGGAATCGTGTACGTCAAGGCCCAGCCAGTGGGACGTCCCGTGCATATAATAATCCCGGTAGGATTGCCGCTCCATGATGCCATCGACGCTACCGGACATAACGCCCAGATCGACGAGGCCTTGCACGAGGGTACGGGTCGCGGTGCGATGCACGTCGTCAAAGCCGGCGCCGGGCTTTACGTCCGCAATGGCTTTGCGCTGCGCCTCCAGGGTGAGCTCGTAGACGGCGCGCTGGGGCGCGGTGAACTTGCCCGAAACGGGCCAAGTCCTTGTCACGTCGGCAGTGTAGAAACCGTACTCAGCGCCGGCGTCAATCAGCAACAGGTCGTCCGGCCCCAGGGCATCACGGTTGCGGACGTAGTGGAGGACGCACGCGTTGGCTCCGCCGGCAACTATCGACGGATAGCCGTTGCGAGGGGAACCCAGCTGGCGGAACGGCCGCTCGAGGGCAGCCTGGACCTCGTATTCGTGAACGCCGGGGGCCGCGGTTCTCATGGCGGCGTCGAACCCGTGGGCGGTGATGTCGATCGCGCGTTGCAGGAGAGCGATTTCGTCGTTGGTCTTGATCTGCCTCATGGCGTCGACCTGAGTGGTGGGATCCTCGATGCGGCGAATCGGTTTTGCGCCCCGCTGCGCCATTCCGCGGCGCCGCTGCACCAGGGCCGAGATGATGCCGTCCACGCGGTCGTCGCTACCCAAGGCGTAGTAGATAGTGTCGTATTCGGCAAGCAGCTTGGGGAGCTGACTATCCAGCTGGTCGATTGAATACGCGGCGTTGGCTTCAAGAGCACCTACCGCGCCACCCACACCGGCACGGTAACCCACCCAGATCTCGAAGGTAGGATCGTAGGGACGTACAAAAAGGGTGTACGGGGTGTGGGAGCCGGGGCGCAGTACGGCGACGGCGTCGGGTTCATCAAACCCGGTCAAGTACCAGAAGGAAGACGGTTGCCGGTATTGGTGGTCAACGTCGTTGTTCCTGGCGGCGTCGTGGCCGGCGGTGAGAATAATCGCACCGGCTGAAAGGGATTGCATCAGCCGACGACGACGGCTGTTGAACTCATGGGGTTGAGTTGCGAGAACGTCTGCACTCATTGAGAAAGAAGCTCCATGCCTCAGGGCGTGATCGGTCTCAATCCCGTTTTAGCCGTCCAAAATTGTAGCAGTGGGCCACAGCGATCGCAACACCGGACGCCGCGTGCGTCGTAATCCGGCAACGTCATTACGAATTCGGTGCACCGACAGGTGGGCGGGATTAAGAACCCAGGCGACGGGCGCGAGCACCATAGGCACGAGCACGCCCACGCCCGCTGAGTAGAGATACTTCGGAAAGACGGAACCCTGGCGGTGAGCCAGGGTTCTTTTTTGTTTCCGCATGGGCGGGCCAAGCCATCAACTCCCGCCGAGGCTAGAAGGGGAGCAATCTCCGCCTGCTGCTCCGCTGGAGCGCTTCAAGGTGGCCGACATGACGGTCTTCGGTGCAACCGTCTATGGATTGTTCCACCTGCAAAGTGATGTGGGCGATCCCGAACTGGTCGCTGGCTCGGACAGTCAACCGCGTAAGACGACTACCGCGGGCGCGCCCCACGGATGCGGGGCTTGTCAGACTTCGACCCTTGATCTGGCCCAGAGATGCCCGACGTGGTGGTTTTCGGCACAATCGGCGGCCGAGCGCTCCACCTGAATCGTCACGTGGCGTAATCCGAACCGATCGTATGAGACCTCTCTGATTTTACTAATGACCGGGTAAGGGTCGCCAGCGTGTTCGGGGTCAATAAGGACGTGAAGAGTCAGCGCGTCGTAACCCTTGGTGATGGTCCACGCATGCACGTCGTGAACCAGCACGACACCTTCCTCATCCTCAATGGCGCTGCACAGTTCGTACATGTCGAGATGGGCGGGAGCGCTCTCGAGCAACACTCGTAAGACTTTGATGGCCAGTCGGATCGCGGTTGCCAGGATGAGCGTAGCGATGACCACGCCGAGGATCGGGTCAATCAGGTCCCAATCATAGCGCAATACCAAAACGCCGGATGCAACGACTGCAATCGAACCCATCAGGTCGGCCACGATGTGCCAAAAAGCCCCTTCAACGTTGATGCTGTGTCGAGAAGAACGGTAGAGGATCCACGCGGCCACCGAGTTGATAACGAGCCCGATACTGGAAACAATCAGCATCGTGGCGCCTTCAATGTCGTGGTGATGCCCCTCGGCGTGCTCGACCACGGTCGTGTACGCCTCGTAAAAGATCCAGCTGGACAGCACGAAAAGGGCCAGGGCATTGAACAACACTGCCAAAACCTCGGCGCGGTACAGCCCGAAAGTGCGGGTGACCGTAGGCCGGACGTTCGGTAATCCAGATGGCGACGAGCGCCAGCCCTATGGCCACGGCGTCGGTCACCATGTGGGCAGCGTGGGCGAGGAGACCCAGACTTCCGGAAAACAGGCCACCGAATACCTCGACGGTAATGTGGCAAACTACCAACGCCAGAACAATCAGCAGGGCGCGTTTGCTGGCGCCTCGATATTCGTCAGTGTGATCGTGGGCGCGGCCGGTAGCGCCATCCTGAGTGTGAGAGTGTATCCCCGCGTCCATGTTGGTATCACCGCGAATATCATGTATTGGCAGCGGAGTATATGGTTGACATGAGTCTTCGGTCAAGAGTCTGATGCGCTTGCCTCAGAAGACTTGGGACGCAGCCAGGACATTAGGAAGCCCCGACGCGGAGAAAGGACAGCTACCAACAGGAGCAATCCAACGGATGCCACCACTATGGTGGGCCCCGTTGGGAGGTCAAAGTAGTAGGAACAGTACAGACCGATTACGACTGCGAGCAGGGCGCATACAACGCTGGCTGCCATGATGGACGACAGGCGTTGCGCGAGCAGGGTACCCGTGACCGACGGCACGACCAGAAGGGACATGACCATGACGTTTCCGACCGTTTTGATGGCAGCCACCGTGGTCAGCGCCACGAGGAGCGGCAACATATATTCCAGGAATCGCACGGGTACACCGGCGGCTTCCGCCACGGTCGCGTCGTAGGTGGTGAACACCAACTCTTTATAGAATGCCCATACCACCACCAGGACACCGACCGCCAGAATCCCTACGCTCAGAACGTCGAGCCACGAAGCCCCCAGGACGTTGCCGAACAGGATTCCCAACAGGTCCCCAGCGTAACTAGCCAGGGAGTTGATGATGATTACCCCGACGGCAAAACCGCCGGCGAACACCACACCGATGATCGCGTCGATCCGGATGCCAGATCGGCGCGACAGCGCGGAGATCACCAGCGAGGCGGGCACCGCCCAACAGAGCGCCCCGAGAAACACGTTGGCGCCGAAAAGGAAGGCGGCAGCCATGCCGGTCAGCGCCGAGTGGGCGATGGCATCGCCCAGAAAAGCCATGCCGCGGAGAACGACGAAAGTGCCCACGATGCCACAGGCCGTGGCCGCCAGGGCGGACACCACCAGGGCGCGCTGCATAAATCCGAACTGCATTGGCTCGATGATCAGGTCGAGCACGGAGACCTCCGGTTGGCCAGCCGAACCGGCCGCGTCAGGCGACCCGCAGGACACTGGTCCTGAGCCGTCGCATTGGTCGCCTGGAATGTTTCAGTTATAGCTTGCCGGCGGCGCGCAACTGGCTCCGGACTTTGGAAGCGCCGCCGAACCGGAGCCGCAGGAGGCCTTTGACGTCCTCCCAGGCGGTGCGGAGGATGCGAACGCGGGTATCGGGATCGTCGGTCCAGCGAACCGGTATCTCTCTAATCGGGAAACCGCATTTCTGGGCGAGGATCAGCAATTCAGAATCGAAAAACCAACCATTGTCCAACACCAGGGGTGTCAGATCATCGCCGACTTTTCGGCTGATCGCTTTGAACCCGCACTGCGCATCACGAAACGGGGTGAAAAACATCGACCGAAACAGCAGGCTGTAGCCGCGTGAGGCAATTTCCCGCTTCAGGGTTCGCCCGATCACGCGTGACTGGGGCAAAAGCCGGGACCCGATTGCCAGGTGACAGCCACCGGCGGCGACCGCAGAGACCAATTCGGGCAGGTGTGCCAAGTCTGTCGAGAGATCAACATCCATGTACACCATGACGTCCGCGACGCTCTCGGTCCACGCCCGCCGCAATGCCCGGCCGCGACCACGCTGGTCAAGGCTGATGTATCGCACCTCCGCGAAACGGTCGGCAAGCCGGGCAGCCTCCTCGAGTGTACCGTCGGTTGAGCCGTTATCGGCGACGACTATGTTCCATGAGTATTCGCCCATGTTGCATGACATAAACTCGTGCAGGCGGCACACGCTCTCGGGCAACGCGCGTTCTTCGTTGAGGCAGGGGATGATAACGTCGAGGCTGACCAGCATAATTGAGACATTATAGCAATAACGCGGCGAACCGGTCCGTTCAGCGTGTCGTTCATTAGTCGTGGGTGCGCACAGGTTCACCGGCGCCCGGATTCTACGGCGCTCAAATCGCGAGGGGACTGGCAGTATGCGAGCAACCAATTCGGCGCGGCGTTTGCCGGCTGCAACGCCGGTCAGGCCAGCAACGAACAAATTGATGATGCGCACCGAGCGTGACCGATCAGGTGAAATTGACAAATATCGAAGCCTAATGCTATATTTCCGCCGATATACAGACGGCGTTATCGTGTTCGCGACTAACGATGTCTAACGCGGCACGACGAGTTTGTGGCCCAGATTTCGGTGACAGCCAATAGCGCCTCCCGCAGGTTCGTGGGTAGGTGCTTTTTTGACGATGCCCCGAGAGGCGCGAGAGCCCTTTGGGACAGCACCGGCCGTAGAACCGCGTATAACAGCCGTTTCGGAGGAACCTCTAGATGCAAATGAACGACTTCGTCGTCAGGTTCGCCGGTGAAGGTGGGCAGGGCGTCGTCACTTCGGCCGAAGGACTGGCCCAGGCGTCCACGCAGGTCGGGTATCACGCGCTGACCTACGCGACCTTTCCCTCCCAAATCCTCGGTGGTCCCACTTGGACCCAGGCCAGGATTTGTACCGAAACCCCCTTCAGTTCCGGAGACCAGGTAGACGTACTGGTCGCGTTTAACGAGGAAGCCTACGAGACCCACGCCGAAGAGGTACGGGAAGGCGGCGTGATCATTTACAACGCCGACGACTTCACCATGACCGACCCGCGCTCGTTTGGCCTGGCGGTTGATACCCTGGCGCGCTCGACGGGCAACAACCGCGCCGCCAACATGGTGGTTATCGGTGCGCTGGCTCAGCTGGTGCACATGCCCCAGGAATACCTCGACGACTTCGTCGAGGCGCGGTTCCGAAGGGGACGGGATAACGACGACGAAATCATCTCCTCGAACATCGAGGCGATGCGGCTGGGTCGTCAGAACGCGGCAGAAAGCGGCTTTGTGCTGGGTGACCTGGCGCCGCCAAACCCGCCGGACTACCAGCAACTCATGCTCAAGGGCAACGAAGCGATCGCTTTGGGCGCGACGCACGCGGGCGTCCAATTCTACGCCGGATACCCCATCTCGCCGGCCACTACCATCCTGCTCTGGATGGAGCGCAACCTGGTTGGGGACGGCAAGTTCGCCTATCAGGTCTCCTCGGAGATCGAGGCAATCACCGCAATCCTGGGCGCAGGGTACGCGGGCAAGAAGGCCATGACGGCGACGGCAGGTCCGGGAATATCGCTGATGAGCGAGGGATTGGGCCTAGCCTGGATGGCAGAAATTCCGCTGGTCGTGGTTGATGTCCAGCGTGGCGGCCCGGCGACGGGACTGCCCACAAAGACCGAGCAGTCGGACTTGATGGGATGCCTGTTCCCAGCCCACGGCGACGTGCGGATGCCCATCATCGCTCCCGGCTCGGTGGAGGAATGCTTCTTCGGGGCAGTGCACGCGATCAACTGGGCCGAACGATACCAGGGTCCCGTGATCCTCATGAGCGAAATGTCCATGGCCGAGCGGGTGCAGAACATCCCGCTGCCAGACCTCAGCAAGGTCCCAGTGGAAGACCGTCTGACCTACGAAGGCGGGAACGGTTACCACCGCTATTCGGGGCACGAGTTGTCCCCCATGCCGCTGCCCGGAGGGCCCGGGGCATACATCGCCAACGGCAGCGAGCACGACGAGATGGGCGATACCACGCACCTACCCAGCCGCCACATTCAGATGACCGAGCGCCGCTTCCGCAAGTTGAAGCTCCTGGAAGAAGACAACTACGAAAGCGACAACACGGGAGCCAAAATCGCGCTCATGCCTTGGGGAGGGTCCAAGGGCCCGGTACTCGAGGCGTACAACGCGTTGCGGGAAGAAGGAGTGGACATCGCCTGGTATTACACGATGTTCCTGCACCCGATCCCACCGAAACTACGTGACGAACTGCGCGCCAAGGAATTGGTGATCGTTCCTGAGCTCAATTACCAGGGGCAGTGGGCCAACATACTGCGGTTCCATCAGGTCACGTCGACGCCGATCACGCAGTACACCGGTCTGCCGTTCAAGGTGAGTGACCTGGTGACCAGGGTGAAAGAGATCATGGCAGCACAAATGGAGGAAGCACGGGCATGAGCAAGAAGAACCCGGAATACGACTTCAAATGGTGCCCCGGGTGCGGGGACTTCGGCGTGCGCCGCGCGCTGGAATTTGCCATGATCAACCGGTTGGAAGAAACCGGCCTGCCCATTGAAAACAACGTCGTGGTCGCTGGCATCGGGTGCAGCGGGAACCTCGTCCACCTGCTAGAAGGTGAGCAGCCTTATGGCATCCACGGGATCCATGGGCGAACACTACCCGTTGCGATGGGCGTCAAGATGGCCCGCCCCGAGCTCAACGTGGTCATTGTGGCGGGAGACGGCGACTTCCTGAGCATCGGCGGCGAACACATCGCCCCGCAAGCCGCTCGGAACGTGAACGTGACTGCGGTGATCATGGACAATGGCGTGTACGGTCTCACCAAGGGCCAGAGCTCACCCACCACCGAGATGGGCACCATCACCAGCAGCACGCCTTTCGGCAAAATCGAAGAGGATCTGGACCCGCTGGAACTGTACCTGACGCTGGGCGTGTCGTTCATTGCCTCGGGTTTCTCCGGACAACCGCGCGTGCTGGCCCAACTGATCAACGAGGGCATGAACCACGACGGTATGGCGATGATCCACGTGCAATCGCCCTGCGTTACCTACAACGATACGTTCCAGTTGATCAAGGGGAACGCCCGTGAGGGGATCGCGCCGGCGATGTGGGACATTCCCGACGAACATGATCCCAGCAGCAAGCAGGCAGCCTACGAGTTGGTGCAACAGGGCGGCCTGCCCGTAGGCGTCATTTTCAAGGACGAGTCGCGGCTATCGCTTGAGGGGAACATGGACACCATACGGGCCAAAGCGCGCGAGCGTTCCGTGGAGCAGTTGATGGCAGCCTACACGTTCTAGGCGTTCCGTCCACACAAACAACCAAATCGACCGGCGCCGTTTGACGCCGGTCGATTTGGTTTAACGGTTGCTTTCGCCGGCTCGGTTACCGGGATGGACATTCGCGGAGCCGCATCATATCAATAAGATGGCACCGGTCAATAGGATGGCGCCGGCGCCGCTGCCCCCGGCATGAGGTCGGGGTTTTCAGACTGCATGGACTGGTATTTGGAGGGGCACTTGACCAGGATGTTGTCGGTGGCAAAAACCTGTTCGTGGCCATCGTAATGGCCTTCCAGGATGATCTCCGAGTGAGGGTTGAAGAAGAGGTCGGGCAGGACACCGACGTAGCTGGCCTCCACCTGGGGACTGCCGGGAGCGATCCCCGGAACGTCTGCCTGCTTGTCGCCCAATCTGAAATGCGAAAGTGTGGACCCGTCCTCCCTTCGGAAAGTATCCGGGGCCAAGCCACCAGCAACTCGAAGAGTCTGGCCGTCATGGAGCGAGCGGTCGTCCATGAATTCGGTGACGGTGACGAAATACAGGGTGTTCCCGGGGAAGGCGGCGTAAACCATGTAGGCCACCGCGAGGCCAATCACACCCGCAAGGATCAGGAGACGCGTACGGTGGCTACGCCAGGCGGAACGCTCGGTTGCCGCCTCCACGGCGAGCCCCGTGTCGGGGACTGCTCCAGTGTATGGATCGGTTTGCATGAAGACTCATCGCGCAACGGTTTGAGATGTCCGTCCCATTATACCGGCTCGATGCGCTCAGTCTCCTCTCGATCCGGTCCCTCGTCAGATTCGACGGTGGCCTGGAGTTCCCGCAGGTCCCTTTGGACCGACTGGCGGCGCCAGGACATGTATGCGGCGTAGATGAAAAACACCGCCCACACAACGGCAAAGGCGGCGAACAGGAAAGGCAGGTTGTTGGGGGGCACAGTCATGCTAGTCGTAGGTTCCTTCTAGTCGTAGGTCCCTTGCCGGCGGATGTCGGAAACGGCGTCCTCGGTGCCCCGCAGCGCTACCCGTTCCAGCAGCAGGTACGCGAACAGCGCCAGCATCGCGACCAATGAAAAGATCAGGATACGCGCCATTATTGGCTCGAGAGCGTCATCCGCGGCCTCGGGTCCGATGACCTGCACCGGGTGGATCGATCGCCACCACTGGACGGAATAGTACACGATGGGCACGTCCACAAACCCGATAATGCCGACCACGGCCGACCAGGCCCGGGCCTGTTGTGGGGTGGGTGCGTAGTGGCGGATCATCAGGTAGGCGACGTATATCAGCCACAGGATCAGCGTCGTGGTTAGCCTCGGCTCCCAAGTCCACCAGACGCCCCATACGGGACGGGCCCAAATGACCCCGGTGACCAGGGCGAGGGTGACGAATACGACCCCGACCTCAGCGGCCGCATGGGCCACGCGGTCCCATATTTCCCCTCGTCTGACCAGATACCCGATGCCGGCCACGGCGCAAACCAGGAACCCCAGGAAGGAAAGGATTGAAATGGGTACGTGGACGTAGAAGATGCGCTGGATATGGCCCAGCACCAGATCGGTGGGCGCCATGACGAATATCAGGTACCCGTCAATGATAGTCAGCGCGGCCGTCAACAGGAGCAGCCACGAACGGAAATCGCGAACGGCGACGCCAAGGGGAGATCTCATTGGCCCGGGGCCTGCTATCGCCGCCAAATTACCTTATCCCTCGAAAACAAAACCAAATATCCACGGGCATATTACCAAAAAGAGCGCGTCGAACACCACCAACAGCGGCAGCCATCGAGACCAGATCGGCAGCATGGGCCCGCCCTCCAGGGCCAGGGCCGTGGCCTCCACGGCGGCGATCATTACCGGAACGATAACCGGGAAGAAGAGCACGGGCAGCAGGATTTCCCGAGAGCGCGTCTGGGCAGCGATGGCCGCAAAGAACGTTCCGACGGTGGCGAATCCGATGGTCGCCAACAGGATGATCAGCCCCAACGCCGGGGACAACGCGGGCAGGTCCAACATGACGGCAAACACTGGGAGCAGTACCGCCTCGATTAGCAGCATGAAGGCCAGAGTGCCCAGCATCTTGCCCAGAAAAACGGCGTCGCGGCTCACCGGGGCGGCCAGCAACCCGTCGAGAGCTCCCTGTTCCAACTCGCGAGCGAATGCCCGGTTCATCGCGAGCACCCCGACGAAAGCGTAAGCCACCCAGAGCAAGCCCGGCGCCACCGGCGCGAGGCTGCCGGGGGTTCGGTTGAGGCCGAAGTTGAACACCACAACCACGATCAGGCCGAAGACCAACGCGGAGATGATCGTGTCGCGGGAGCGAATCTCGAGACGGACGTCTTTCCACGCTATTGCCAGGGTCGCGCTCAATAGGCGCATGGGCGACGATCCAATTGGAGTGCCTCAGCGGGCAGACCGCTCGGCGTCGCTTTCGGCGCGAGCGTCGGCGACATCGTGGTCGGCGTGCATTGGCTCGGTCAACCGCCCGCGCTCCAGCGTGAGGACGCGGTCGGCCCAGGCCTGCCCGATTTCGGAGCTGTGGGTGGTCAATAGCGCCGTTTTACCCGACGCGGACCATGCGCTCAACAACGCACCCAGGGATGCGACCGAACCGGCATCGAGACCCGATTCGGGTTCATCCAGCAGCAGGACGGCGGGTTCATGCAGGATGGCGCGGGCCACCGACAGGCGTTTCTGCATGCCGTGGGAAAGGGTGCGGACGCGCCGGTCCGCCCGGTCGGCCAGATCCAATTGCCCGAGGACGCTGTCGATTCGGCGTTGGGGACTGGCAACGCCGTAAAGCTTGGCGTAGAAGGCCAGGTTTTCACGGCAGGTCAGGTCGTTGTACAGCAAGGTCTGGTGACCGACGAAACCGACCAGGGTACGGGCCCGGCCGCCCGAGCGTCGCATCGGCTGTCCGGCGATGCGCACGTTGCCTTCGTCGGGGCGAGACAGGCCGGCCAGGATCCTCAGCAGCGTCGTTTTGCCGGCGCCATTCGTTCCGAAGAGGACCGCGGTCTGGCCCCAGGGGACAAGAACGTCAAGGCGGCGCAGTACGCTCCGATCACCGTAATCCTTGCGGAGACCAACGGCCGCGATGGCGGGCGAACCGGGCAATGCTTGGTTCATTCAATCGGTTCAGCCGAACGGTTCAGCGATGATGTTCAAATCGCTCCCGGAGGACCTTCTTGTCGAATTTTCCGACGCTCGTCTTGGGAATCTCGTCGATGAAAACCACGTCGTCCGGGAGCCACCATCTGGCGAAATCCGGGCGTATGAAGTCCAGGATGATGTCTTTGCTCAGCGACGCTGAGGGATCGGAGCGTGTCACCACACATGCCAGCGGCCGCTCCTGCCACTGTGGGTCGGGTATGGCGATGACGGCCGCTTCCAGCACGTCGGGGTGAGCCATGATCGCGGACTCGAGGTCCACGGAAGATATCCACTCACCACCGCTTTTCACCATATCCTTCACCCGGTCAACGATCTGAATATAGCCGGCGGCGTCGATGGTGGCGATGTCGCCGCTATGGTACCACCCATCGACAAAGGTCTCCGCACTCCGTTCGTCATCAACGTACTCGTCCGCCACCCACGGGCCGCGGAACCAGAGCTCCCCGCGCTGTTCACCGTCCCACGACAGGTCATCGCCGTTTTCGTCGACCAGCTTCATCTCAACCCCGGGAGCGACGACGCCCTGGCTGGCGTTCAGTTCCAGGCGCTCCTGCTCCGCTAGGTCGTCCATCCAGCTCCGTCGCCGGTTGGCGGAGATCAGCGGGGCAGCCTCCGTCATACCGTAGGCGTGGAGAATATCGACACCCAATCGCTCCCGGTACGCCTGGAGCACGGACAACGGCACGGCTGAACCGCCGCTGATAACCTGGCGCAACGAGGACAGATCGTACTCGGTTCCTGAGCGCTGCAGGTAGTCAAGCACCCCAATCCAGATGGTCGGTACGCCGGCGCTGATCGTCACCCGTTCCCGTTCGACCATCTCGCAGATGATTCGAGGGTCGGGGCGCACGCCCGGGAAGATCTGCGACGCGCCAAACATGGTGCCCGCGTAAGGGAAGCCCCAGCAGTTGGCATGGAACATCGGGACGATGGCCATGATGCGGTCCCTCTCGGACACGCCGATCATGTCGGGGGTAGCCGAGGTCAGGGTATGCAGGTACACGGCCCGGTGGGAGTAGGCCACACCCTTGGGCAGGCCGGTGGTGGCAGAGGTGTAGCAGAGGCCCATGATCGAGTATTCGTCCACATCGGCCGGACGGTACTCCGACGAGGCTGCGGACAGTAGGGTCTCGTAGCAGGCGGCGTCGGGCAGCGTCGTGGACATCTCGTCCGGTTCGCCCAGGATGACGAAGTGCCGGACCGATGTCAGACGGTCGGCGATAGCCTCCACCACCGGGGCGAGATCCGGATCTATCAGCAGCACCTGATCGCCAGCATGGTTGATGATGTACACCATGTCGTCGGGAGCCAACCGGATGTTGATGGTGTGGATGACCGCCCCGATGGTGGCCGGAGCGAAATATGCCTCAAGGTGCCGATAGGTGTTCCAGGCGAACGTCCCGACCCGGTCGCCGGGTCCGACCCCCAATTCCCGCAACGCGTTCCCGAGGCGCGAGGTACGTTCGAACATTTCGGCGTAGGTATAACGATGCGTGCCCTCACCCACCCGCGTCACAATTTCCTTGTTCGGGAAGTGGATTGCCGCACGCTCCAGAATACGGCTGGCCAGCAATTCATAGCGCATCGTCATGACGGATCTCCTGCGGCCGCAACCGCCACTTTCATGATATCGAAGATGGAATGCCTGATATTGGGTCACACGGACGCCGGCTCGCTCTCTCCCGGCAGGATCGCGGTGCGCCGCGCTCGGTCGAGCCATCACGGATGCTTGATGCTCACACCGCCGTCAATGGCCCAGGTTTGGCCGGTTACATAAGTTGCCGCGGGCGACGCGAGATAGACTGCAAGGTATCCGACCTCAATGAGGCGGCCGACCCGGGCGAGAGGAATGGTCTCGCCGGCGGAGGAGTCACGGGCTGAAAACGCCTCGGCGGTCATCTGCTCCGGGTCGGGAAACGTTCCCGGCGCGATGGCATTGCATCGAATACCGAAGGGCGCCCACTCCTGGGCCACGCACTCGGTGAACCGCATGAGGCCGGCCTTGGAGGCGTCGTACGCCGCGGACATTGGGCGTCCCCGGAAAGAGGCCCACCCGCTGATGTTGATGACGTTCCCCTGGCCGCGCTCCAGCATGTGCGGCGCGACGGCGCGACACCCCTGAAACGCTTCGGTCAGATTGATGTCGATGATGCTGTGCCACTCGGTTTCGGTCATGCCGGGGATGTCGCTCCCCGGGAGTTGCGCAACGGGCTTGCGGATGGCGTCTCCCACGCAGTTGACCAGTGTGTCGATGTGACCGAACTCAGCGATGGTCCGGTCCACGATCGCATCGGTGTCGGCAGCGGTGGTGGCGTCACCGGTGAGGGGCAGACAGGCCCGGCCCATGGCGCGAACCTCTTCGGCAACCTTGTTGACGCCGGTTGAGGTGAGTCCAGTCACCGCCACGTCGGCGCCAGCCTGAGCGAACGCGAGGGCGATACCCTTTCCAATGCCACGACCGGCGCCGACCAGTAGCACTTTCTGGCCGCTGACATCGAAGATATCCAAACTCATCTGTCCACTCCTGGCGGTGTCGAACACATCGTAATAGTTATGGCGGTGATAATGGAGTTCATGGTGCCACACAGATCACGACAGGGCAACCGTGGCCCAACCGTCATTGACCCGGCGGCTGGGATTGTACGACTGCCGGAAATACCGCACCCGGTTCTCCGTATGCCTTTCGGAAGCCGGGTTCGAACCGGCCAAAGTAAAAGAGAGTGCGGAACCGTTCCGGCCGGGGCATTTGGCGTGGCGTATCGGAACGACGATGGGGTAAAATCGTAAGCGTTTTCTACCTGGTTTTCCGTTTTCTACCTGGTCTTCGAGGTGCGACACATGCCCAGGGACAGCAATCGGGTCGTGTACCCGCCGGAAGGGTGGTCGAATTGGCTGGCCGCGGAGTACGTGGGTCCCGACCAATTTGGCAACGGCGAAGTGTACGACGCCCAACTTGACGGAGCTCCGCTGATTCGCCTGATTTACGACCAGCGCGACGAGGAAATTACGGTTCGATGCTTGCTGTGCGAGCCACAATCGCAGGCGGCAGGCCGTTTCACGGCGCACCCCATGATCGGCATCGTCAGCATCAACGCGACCACCCTGCTGGTTCCGATGAACACGCCGCGCATCACGAGGCACCTGGAGGACCGGCACGAAATAAAGCTTGGCGATACGGACGCTATGGATCTCTTCAATTGCCTGCTGGACAGTTGCGGTCTGTGACGGGCGGTTTGGTCAACAAGGTTTCGATAATCGGGAGGTAACCCCTTGCAGTATGACTACATAATTGTCGGCGGAGGATCGGCCGGGTGCACGTTGGCGTCCCGCCTGACGGAAGACGCGGACGTGTCGGTCCTGCTCCTGGAAGCGGGCCCCGACTACCCCGATTTCGAACAACTGCCGATCGACCTGAAAAACGGCAACAACGTGTGGCGTTCCGCGTACGGTCCGCACAGTTGGGATTACCTCGCCACCGGAACCCCACAACAGGAAGAACCCATCATAATCCCGCGCGGCAAGGCCATGGGCGGCTCTTCCAGCATCAACGGCCAGGTGCTGTTCCGAGGTGTGCCCGAGGACTACGACAACTGGGCGATCTGGGGCAATGACGAATGGTCGTTCACCAAGGTGATGCCCTATTTCCGCCGGCTGGAAAACGACCTGGACTTCGGCGGGGACGACTTCCACGGCAACTCGGGGCCGATCCCCGTGCGCCGGTACAAGCGTCACGAATGGCTGCCGGTCGCGGAAGCGTTTTACGACTCCTGTAGGGAACTGGGGTTTCCGGAAGACCCTGACCAGAACCATCCCGATTCCAATGGCGTGGCGGCCCGCCCGCTGAATAATATCGACGGGGTACGGATGAGCACCTCGTTGACCTATCTGTCCCTGGCGCGCCATCGAATGAACCTTACGATTCGGGGCAGCGTGGTCACGAGGCGGATTCTCTTCGAGAACAAGACAGCCGTTGGCGTCGAGGCGGAGAGCGGCGGAGAAATTTTTGAGGTCTATGGCGACCGAATTATCCTGAGCGCCGGGGCAATCGGGTCTCCGCAGATCCTCCTCCTGTCCGGAGTGGGGCCGGCCGACCACCTCCGCGAAATGGGCATACCGTTGGTACACGAACTCACGGGAGTTGGAGAGAACCTACGGGACCACCCGGCAGTGTTCAGCCTCTTTCGCGGGATCGGCGACCCGCCAGACCTGGACGCGCCCAGCATTCAGGTCGCTCTGCGATATAGCCCCGAAGGCACCGGAACCCGCGGGGACATTCAGCTTTCGCCGATCCTGATGACCAGCGAGCATCGCCCGGCCAGCGTGAACATTGAGACTGACGATTTCCACTTCGGATTCAGCGCGGCGCTGCAGAATGCGTCCACGGCCGGACGTCTGCGCCTGGCATCCACCGACCCCCACGTGCAACCGGACCTGTTCTACGACTACCTGTCCGACCCAATCGACCGCCAACGCCTGCGCGCCGCAGTCCGGTTGGGCCTGCAGATTGCCGAGCAGCCTACCTTCCAAGCGTTCGTCTCGGAGCGCTTGTCACCCACGGACGAAGACCTGGCCTCAAACGCGGCGCTGGACCAATGGATGTTGCGCAATGCCTACACCCAGCACCATTCCTCGGGCACCTGCAAAATGGGTCCGGGCTCGGATCTGGACGCGGTGGTTGACCAATATTGCCGGGTGTACGGTATGGAGAACCTGCGGGTGGTCGACGCGTCGGTCATGCCAGATGTGATTCGCGCCAACACCAACGCGACGACGATAATGATCGCGGAGCGGGCGGCAGACTTCATCCGGGAAGGCAAGTAGCCTGGCGGGAAGGCAAGTAGCCTTGGCCCCTGGCCCGGCTACAGCCTGAACCGCGATTTTCAAGACAGCAACCCAAACAACAGAGGAAGGCACCAAGCGATGACTACTTCCGCAACTCGATTGAACGCGACTCCATGGGTGAGATGCAGGTCCCGGCCGACGCTCTGTACGGCGCATCCACCATGAGGGCGGTCTTGAACTTCCCGATCAGCGACCTGCGGTTTCCCCGGCAGTTCATACGGGCGTTGGGGCTCATCAAACTGGCCGCGGCGCAGACCAACATGGACCTGGGCGTCCTCGACAGTGCCATTGGGAATGCCATAGTAGAGGCCGCCCAGGAAGTCGCCGACGGGAAGCACGACGATCATTTCGTGCTGGACATCTTCCAGACTGGATCCGGAACCTCGACCAACACCAATGCCAACGAGGTGATCGCCAACCGGGCCTCGCAGATTTTGGGCGGTGACCTGGGGTCGCGATTGGTCCACCCCAACGATAACGTCAACCTCGGACAATCCTCCAACGACGTGATCCCGACGGCGATCCATCTGGCGGCGCTGCTGGGGTTGAAAGAGGATTTGGTACCGGCATTGGAAATCGCTACAGTCGGCGCTGCAAGCGAAAGCCGACGAGTTCTGGCCGATAGTCAAGACGGGGCGAACGCATCTGCAGGACGCGACGCCGGTTCGCCTGGGCCAGGAGTTCAGCGGCTACGCCGGACAGGCGGGATACAGCGTGGCGCGAGTGCGGCGCGCCCAGGACGCGCTGGCGGAGGTGGCCCTCGGTGGCACGGCGGTCGGCACCGGCGTGAACACGCATCCGGAGTTCTCGCAACGGACCTGCGCGCGGTTAGCGGAGAAGACCGGGGTTTCCATCCGCGAAACGGATAACCACTTCCAGGCGCAGTCGGCTCTGGACGGCGTCGTCGAGGCGAGCGGGCAGTTGAAAACCGTAGCCATCAGCCTCCACAAGATCGCCAACGACATCCGGTTCCTCGGGTGCGGGCCGCGCGCCGGATTGGGCGAGATCAACGTGCCGGAAGTGCAGCCGGGCAGCAGCATCATGCCCGGCAAGGTGAACCCGGTGATCTCGGAGTCGGTGATCCAGGTTGCGGCGCACGTCGTGGGCAACGACGCGGCGGTGGCGCTGGCCGGAGCCGGCGGGTATTTCGAGCTGAACACCATGATGCCTTTGGCTGCGTACAACCTGCTGCAATCGGTGTCGCTGTTGGCCGCTTCGGCGAGCAATTTCGCGGACCAGTGCGTGGTTGGAATCACCGCGACGGCTACCGGGCCGGCGATGGTCGAAAAAGGACTCATGCTCGGAACGGCGTTGGCGCCTTCGATCGGCTACGACGCTGCCGCCGGTATCGCCAAGAAAGCCGCCGAAACGGGACAAACAATCCGGGAAATAGCCAGGAGCGACACCTCGCTCAGCGAAACCGAACTGGACGCCCTGCTGAACCCAGAGGAGATGACCAAGCCGACCCTGGAAGTGCGGGGCGGCGGCGGGTGAAACGGCGAGTTGGCATCTGATCGGGACCCGGCCGGGTGCCCTGCCGGGACATTCCCGCGGGGCCCGGTAGTTCGGGTTTGGATCCCAATACTTCGCGCATGGCGCAGCGGGAAGGGATGCCGGCCAATTCGCAATGCTCTGTTGAGCAATTGGCGGCGACGTGCCATTTGACAAATCTGTTCCAAACCGTATACATTGCTAGCACTCTCAATATATGCGCAGAATACTATCTCACTGAATTTTTGAAGTTACGCCTGCTCCCTCAGTTCTAACTGGCCCATTGGTGCGGCTTGCCGGGATCGGTAGGCCGTGTCTTCGCGTCTGCTCGTGAACCACAGCGGAGCAGGCAGTGTTCGGTTAACCACCCCCCGCGCCCCCGTCAGGAGGACCGTTCTATGGTCTTGACCCGTAAACGCTCAGGCAGGAACGACCGCGGTCTGTCCGCTCGCGATGTGAAAACCTACTCGGATTCGAGCATCGCGAACGTGCTGGACGTGCCCAACCTCATTCGAAGCCAGATCGAATCATTCGACTGGTTCAAGACAAACGGACTGGCAGAGACTTTCCGAGACTGTTCTCCCATCGTCGCCGGTATAACCCGCCGTTTCGCCAATGGCGAGGCATCGCGCCGCGCCGAGCGTTTCGAACTGTATTTCCTGGACCATTGGTTCGACGACCCGCAGTTCAGTCCTGAAGAATGCCGTGAGCGCGAGATCACCTTTTCCCAGCCGCTGTACGTAAAAGCCCAGTTGCGGGATCAGGAAACGGGCGAGATCACCGAATCTGACATTTTCTTCGGCGATGTACCGATGATGACCGAAACGGGCACGTTCATCATCAATGGGGCCGAGCGGGTCCTGGTCAGCCAACTACAACGCGCGCCAGGCGTGTACTTCGAACGGGAGCCTTCGCAGGATCCGGCGTGTCCCGAGTGTGGAAAACTGGAAAACTGGTACTACAAGGCGCGAATATCCGCCAGCCGCGGCGCCCGCATCGAGCTGTCAACCTGGACCCACTATTACGCGCGCCGCCGGAACCTGCCGGAAACCATCACGGTTAGCGTGGACCGGCGCCGGCGCATGGGCGTGTCAACTTTCCTCTATGCCCTTGGCATTGTCAGCGCCGAGGAAATGAAGGCGCTCTTCCAGGAAGTCGACAATCATGACTGCCGTCGCTTCGTCGCCGGAGCCGAACCGGCGGAAGACCGGGATTACAACCCGCGGGACGAGGAACTCAGGTCACTGTGGGACCGGATACACCCCGACCGCGATTTCGACAGCAAACAGTCGTATCGCATCGGCCTGGCACAGCGGAATCTGTACAAGTGGCTGAGGCCTGGAGAACCGGCCGTGCAGGTGGATGCTGCGTGCACCTTCGTGCTGAACCACTTTTACGACGGCCGACGTTTCGACCTGGGAGAAGTCGGGCGCGTCAAGGTTGACCAACGCCTGGGCCGAGCCAGCTCGCAGATCCTTTCCGAGCATCACAAAAAGATACTAGACCTCGTCCGTAACCAAGCCGAAACGGACGACGGTGTGAGCCCGGCAGAAATCTTCGCCGCGTCGGGCCGGGAGCACCGGATCCTTTCGGACCGGGACGTGGATGCTCTGATCAATTACGGCTACCTAGCGCGACGTGCGGACCGACGGATCGTACCCGTTGACCCGTTTGAGGGCCAATCAGACGACGAACAGGCGGTCAGTGTAGAAACCTACGACGCCGCCAACGCCGGGACGCTCCTTTCTCACATTGGTATACGCGAGGACGGTTCCCGCACGGTTCGCGTCCAACAGCAGGTTACCGAAACACTGGGTGATCCCGTGGCCATCGCCACGCAGCCGATCTTCGGCGGTTCGACTTCCGACGACGCCATCACCAAAGGCGAAGTATCCATCCTGAAGAACCGCTTCCTCGCGAGCGACAGCATCGTTGAAGCGGGCCAGTTGATCTACGCCGAGCGCGCCAGCCAGGGACCGCTCCAGTCCTGGCGGCTAACGCCCGTCCGGGCGCGAGCTTCGCGAATAGTTGGCGTGGTCACCGAGGTGAACTGCGGTCCCAACGACAACATGCATCGGGTCAAGTTCAACCTGCCGGGCATCGAATTGGATGAGCGGCGAGTGCTCGATCTGATGGACATCATTGACACGCTGGAGGCGTTGATCACGCAGCACGTCTCCAACGTCGAACCCCGGGACAACATCGACCACCTGGGCAACCGCAGGGTGCGCGTGGCCGGCGAGCTCATGCGCGACCAGGTACGAATCGGCCTGCTGCGCATGCACCGGATGTTCCAGGACCGGGTGGGCCGTCTTGAGAAACCCGAGGACGCCGTGCCGGCGAAATTGGTAAACGTCCGACCGGTGACGGGGGCGATCAGGGAGTTCTTTGGCGGCGACAAGCTGTCCCAGTTCATGGATCAGACCAACCCGTTGGCGGAGTTGACCCACAAGCGCCGCCTCTCGGCCCTGGGTCGCGGCGGCCTCACCCGCGAGCGCGCGGGGTTCGACGTGAGAGACGTGCACGCGTCGCACTACGGACGGATCTGTCCCATCGAGACCCCGGAAGGAGCCAACATCGGGTTGTTGAGCAGCCTGGCTGCCTATGCCCGCATCGACCGGCTGGGATTTATCGAAACCCCGTACTGGCCCGTCATCAAGCAACTGTGGCTGGGCGACTGCCGCACTCCGGGATTGCCGGGTCATTTCGATCTGATCGGCCACACGGTTGCCTCGGACGTGAAAACCCGCAAAGGCGAGGTAATCATCAAGAGTGGGGACACGATCACCGAGGAGCACTGGCGTCGACTGCGTCGGTTGTCCGGTGACCTCTCCATTGACGTCGTACCCTTCGTGGACACCCGCCCGGAGAGTGTTCAATACCTGACCGCCGATCTTGAAGAACAATTCCGGATCGCGCAGGCCAACTCCGGATTTGACGATTTCTACCAATTCACCGACGAGTTGGTAGAAGTGCGAGAGGGAGACAACTATCGTCTGGCTCCGCCGGCCACGGTGGAATACGCCGATGTGTCGCCGCTCCAAATCATGAGCGTGTCGGCCGCGTTGATCCCATTCCTCGAGCACGACGACGCCAACCGCGCCCTGATGGGTTGCAACATGCAGAGGCAAGCAGTGCCGCTGCTCCAGCCTCAGGCGCCCATCGTCGGCACGGGCATCGAGAGCCGCGTGGCCAGGGATAGCGGCCAGGTGTTGCTTTCGCGCGTCCAGGGCTCGGTGGTGTCCGTAAATGGACGCGAAATCCTGGTGGTGGACGATGCGGGCCAAGAGCACGCGCACCGTCTGATCAAGTTCGCGAGGACCAACCAGGGCACCTGTCTGAACCAGCGTCCCGTCGTTCAGAAGGGAGACCGCGTCAACGCGGGAGAAACGCTGGCCGATAGCTCATCTACCGACGGCGGCGAGCTGGCGTTGGGTCAGAACGTGCTGGTGGCGTTCATGTCGTGGGAGGGATACAACTACGAGGACGCCATCATCATCAGCGAACGGCTGGTGAAAGACGACCAGTTCACTTCAGTGCACATCGAAAAGTACGAAGTCGAAAGCAGGTCCACCAAACTGGGCGACGAGGAAATCACCCGAGACATTCCCAACGTGGGTGAGGGCAACCTGAGGGACCTCGACGAACGCGGGATCATCCGGATCGGCGCGGACGTCGGCCCGGGCGACATCCTGGTGGGCAAGGTCACGCCGAAAGGCGAAACCGAAATGACGGCCGAGGAACGACTGCTGCGCGCCATCTTCGGCGAAAAGTCCAAGGATGTCAGGGACACCTCTCTGCGCGTACCGCACGGTCAACGCGGCAAGGTTATCGGCGTCAAGGCGCTGAGCCGCGAAAAGCGGGGCGCCGAGCAACCTGGGGACCAGCTGCCGCCGGACGTGAACGAGGCCATACGGGTCTGGGTTGCGCAAACGCGCAAGATCTCCGTTGGTGACAAGATGGCCGGACGACACGGTAACAAGGGAGTGGTGTCGCGCATCCTTCCGGAAGAGGACATGCCGTTCCTCTCCGACGGGACACCCGTAGACATCATCCTCAACCCCATCGGCGTGCCCTCACGCATGAACCTCGGCCAGGTGTTGGAAAGCCACCTCGGTTGGGCGGCGCGCAGCCTGAACTTCCAGGCCTTGACGCCCGTGTTCGAAGGGGCCGACGACAACAATATCGAGGACTCCCTGGCGCGCTGGTGGTTCGCCGAGCAATCCAAAGCCACAAACAACAGTGCCGACCCGGAAGGCGAAATCGACCTGAAAAAGGTCTACGCCTGGTTGCGTGAGCAAGGCTTTGATCCTGCGGAGATCTACGATGAGACCCAGCGTGGCAAGGCGCGCCACGCGTGCTTGTACCTCTGGCTGAGGGACGTGGCCGGCCGGAACCCGGACGGGCTGAGCTTGGCTGATCTTCATCAGATGGCGCTGGAAGTACACCGCGACAAGCTCATTTCGCCGCCCACCTTCGCAAAATTCCAACTCTTCGACGGGAGGTCCGGCGAAGCTTTCGACCAGCCGGTCGCCGTCGGAAGCATTTACATGCTCAAATTGATCCACCTGGTGGAAGACAAGATCCACGCCAGGTCCACCGGTCCCTACTCAATGATCACGCAGCAGCCGTTGGGCGGCAAGGCCCAGTTCGGCGGCCAGCGGTTCGGCGAGATGGAGGTTTGGGCCCTGGAAGCCTATTCGGCCGCGCACAACCTCCAGGAGGTGCTGACAATCAAATCCGACGACGTGACCGGTCGGGTAAATACTTACGAATCCATCGTCAAGGGCAATCCCATAACCCAGCCCGGCATCCCCGAATCCTTCAACGTCTTGCTCAAGGAGCTCCAAAGCCTGGGGCTGAACGTGAGACTGGAGGACGAAGAGGAGCAGGAAGACGGCAGTTTGGGTCTGCCTGGCGAAGACGACTATCTCTTCACCGCGGAGGTCAATTAGATTATGGTCAGGATGCTGGACAACCGCGAAGCCACTTCATCCGATTTCAACGCCATTCGCATTTCCATAGCTTCACCGGAACAGATCACTGGGTGGTCTTCAGGCGAGGTTCAAAAGGGCGAAACCATCAACTACCGAACGCAACGGCCCGAAAAAGACGGGTTGTTCTGTGAGCGCATTTTCGGCCCCACCAAGGACTGGGAATGCCAGTGCGGCAAGTACAAGCGCCAGAAGTACAAGGGCGTGGTGTGCGACCGCTGTGGCGTTGAGGTAACTCGGGCGAATGTTCGCCGCCAGAGGCTGGGGCACATTGCCCTGGCAGCCCCGGTGGCCAACATCTGGTTTGTCAAAAACACGCCCAGCGTGATGAGCCTGGCCCTTGACCTGAAACTATCCGACCTCACCCGCGTGCTCTATTACTCGGCCTACGTGATCAACCAGGTCGACATCGACCTGATGCGCGAGCAACTGGAGCGACACAGCACGGAAGTTGACGAATTGCGGGAAGGGCCCCTGTCTGTTGCTTACGGCGCTTGGCAGCGCATCGCCGACCGCGTGGGGGATTGGGCACTGGAAGGTAGCCTGCACGAATCCGTGTCGATTATCACCGGCCCGTCGCAAAACCTGCCGCCGGCGGTCCACGCCGCCAAGTCTGCCCTGGATCGGCTGGACGGCGCCCAGGACCCCCAGGATAGTGATTTCGCTGCCGATCTGGAATACCTGATCGCATTGGCGGCCGAAGGCACCAAGGCCGAGCGCGCCACCTACGAGGTCGGACGCCTGCTGCTGGCGGAAGGGGTCATCGACTCCCCCGACAAGCTTGCCATGGCGGCGATCGAGGGCGACCAGGTTGCAGTGGCGATCTCGGGCCTTCACCACGGCAGCGTGCCCATTACCGAAGCGCTGGAACGGCAATCCTCGTGCGCCCAGGCCGTGGTCGACGCCTTCAATGCTTGGCGCGATGATCAGACCGAAGAAATGCGGGACAATCTGGTCGACGCGATAGAGCGCCTGCGGGATGACATCACGATTGTTTACGACGAGGCACTGGCGCCCGCGGTCCGTGGAGTGGCCGGCGCGGTGACAGGCGTCGGCTCCGCGTCGTTCGGAGCGACCGCACAGCAACCCCTGTCGGACGATCTGGCCGAGATCGAACACGCCCTCACTACGGTCGAGCAGGCCGTTCGGAGCTGGAACTACCGCCGGTCGGATGACAATCCCGAGGGGCGCGGCTGGAATCTGCCGGCGTTCAACGCGCTGCTGGACCGATTGCAGCCCGACAGCAGCGACATGAAAGTGATCGGAGAGCTGGAAAACCGCATCGAGTTCATCCAGGTCGATATAACGCCCGAAAATCAGCAAAAGGAAATCTCGCTGTGGCGGCGGCAACTGCCCGTGCTCCGTGATCTGATCGGAGTGGTCGACGATTACCTTTTGCGGGCCGTGTCCGAACGGCGCAAGGAAGCAGTGGACCTGATCCAGGCCATGCGTTGGCTGCGTTGGGATCCTTCCCAACGTCCGCGCACCATGGATGTTGACTGGCTATGGGACGACCTGAAGCTGCCAGCCGCAGCGCGGAACGAAACCGAGCTCCCCGACGAGTTCTACATCGCCCGAAGCGGCTCGCCGGGTCTGCACCTGACCACCCTGTCCACCAGCCGCTATGACCGGTTGAAGCCCTTCTGGGGCGAGGCTTTCGACGCCGAGATGGGCGCGGAGCCGATGTTGGAATCTTTGAAACTGCTGGACACGGACCTGGACCAGGAACGGTATTACACCGAACTGGAAATGCGGGCGACTTCTTCGCAGATCCGCACCAAGGCCGGCAAGCGCATGCGCCTGCTGGAAACCTTCCGCCGCAGCGAAAACCGGATGCAGGACATGGTTATGACCGTCCTGCCAGTGCTCCCGCCCGAACTGCGACCGATGGTTCAGCTCGATGGCGGCCGGTTCGCCACCAGCGACCTCAATGACCTGTACCGGCGGGTGCTCTCACGCAACCACCGGCTCAAGCGCTTTGCCAGCATGCGCGCCCCAGGCCTGATGATCCGGAACGAAAAGCGGATGCTCCAGGAAGCGGTTGACTCGCTGATCGACAACGGTCGGCAAGGCAAGGCGGTCAAGGGCAAGCGCGACCATGCGCTGAAGTCCCTTAGCGATCTGCTCAAGGGCAAGCAGGGCCGGTTCCGGCAGAACCTGCTGGGCAAGCGGGTGGACTACTCGGGTCGTTCCGTGATCGTCGTAGGCCCCGAGTTGAAAATGGACGAGTGCGGCCTGCCCAAGCGGATGGCCCTGGAGTTGTTCAAGCCTTTCGTGATGCACCGGTTGGTGTTGAACTCCCTGGCTCCCAACATCAAGGCAGCCAAGCGAATGGTCGAGCGTTCCTCGCCCGAGGTTTGGCACATCCTCGAAGACGTCATCAAGGACCGCCCGGTAATGTTGAACCGGGCGCCCACCCTGCACCGGCTGGGCATCCAGGCTTTCAAGCCGGTACTGATCGAAGGCAGCGCCATCCAATTGCACCCGCTGGTGTGTTCAGCGTTCAACGCCGACTTCGACGGCGACCAGATGGCGGTACACGTGCCCTTGTCGGCCATGGCAGTGTACGAAACCGGGACGGTCATGCTCAGCATCAACAACATGCTGTCCCCGGCCTCCGGAGACCCGTTGGTCGCTCCCACGCTCGACATGGTGATGGGCTGCTATTACCTCACGGAATTGATCTCGGATGGCAAGGGCGCCGGCGGAGTGTTCTACGATATCGACGAAGTCCGCATCGCGTACTCCGATGAGCAAGTCGACCTTCGCGCCCCAATCACGGTGCTGAAGGTACCCGGGACGGATGGGAAGATCGAAACCACCATGGGCCGGCTGATCTTCAACGAGATCATTCCCAATGCCCTGGGATACAAGAACCAATTGATGGACCGGGGCGCCATCAAGGACCTCACGTCGGAACTCTACCGCAATCTGTCCAACGAAGAGACGGCGCGAGCCCTGGACAGCATCAAGGAAATGGGCTTTAACTACGCCACCAAGTCCGGCATCACCATCGCTATCAACGACATCCAGGTGTCGGAGCGCAAGCAGGGCATCCTCGAATCGGCGGGCCAAAAAGTGGCCGAGCACGAGGACAACTTCATGATGGGAATGATGACGGAGGAGGAGAAGTACGAGCGGATTATCGATACTTGGACCCGGGCGTCCGACGACATGCAGCAGGTGGTCGAGTCCGAGATGGCCAACTACGGCGGTGTTGCCGTGATGGCCAAATCGGGAGCCAAAGGCAACATTTCGCAGATCAAACAGATGGCCGGAATGCGCGGCCTGATGAGCGACCCGGAAGGGCGGATCATCGAACGGCCGGTCAAGTCCAGCTTCCGCGAAGGATTGACCGCCCTGGAGTACTTCATCTCCACCCACGGGGCCCGCAAGGGTCTAACCGACACCGCCCTGCGGACCGCGGACAGCGGCTACCTGACCCGGCGGTTGGTGGACGTTTCCCAGGAAGTAATCGTCCAGGAGTCGGACTGCGAGTTCGCGGAACCGTTCTACGTGGAGCCGCGACCCGACGACCCGACGCTGTCTAACCTTCCGGAGCGCATACTCGGTCGTATGGCCGGGGACGTGATCGCGGACCCGACCAGCGGCGAGATTATCGTCGACCGCAATGAGATGATCGACGAGGGGTTGGCTGCCGCCATCCGTGATGCCGGTATCGACCGGATACCCGTGCGGTCGCCGTTGACCTGCCAAACCCGCCGGGGCATCTGCCAGATGTGTTACGGCCGGCTGCCGGCTACCGGCAAGATCGTCGAGATCGGACAGGCTGTGGGTGTTATCGCAGCCCAAAGCATCGGCGAGCCCGGTACCCAGTTGACCATGCGCACGTTCCACACGGGTGGCATCGCCGGCTCCGACATCACCACGGGCCTGCCCCGGGTGCAGGAGCTGTTCGAGGTACGGCCTCCGAAGGGCGCGGGCGTTCTGACGCATATTGATGGCGCCATTGCCGTAGAGGAAGATCCCAACGGTTCGAGGCGAATCCGGGTCACCTACGACGAAGAGGAACGCCATGACTACACGCTGCCTCCCGGAGCCATCCGGCTGGTGGAGAAGGGCGAACCGGTCGAAGAAGGCAAACTGCTGGCTGTGATGTTGAACACCGGGCCCGCCCTGGCCTCTGGCGAGACCGAGTCCACCACCGCGTTGGCAAACGCCGACATCGTGAACGAAATTCGCTCCGACTTCCAGGGCGAGGCTGAAGTGACCGCCAACGGCGTCACGGTCGTGTGGCGCGAGGAAGAATCCCGCGTGTACGATGTCAGCTCACAAATGATCCTGAAAGTCGCTGACAATCAGCAGGTGATGGCCGGCGACGCGCTGGTGGACGGACCGCTGGATCTCCGTGAATTGCTGGACGTCCGCGGCCTGGAAGGGCTGCAGCATTACCTGGTTGACGAGGTTCAAGAGGTCTACCGGTCCCAGGGAGTGAGCATCCACGACAAGCACATCGAGGTCATCCTCCGGCAAATGCTGAGGCGGGTGCAGGTCGAGACCGCCGGTGACACCGAGTTCATCCCCGGGGACGTTGTGGACAAGTTCCGGTTCCAGGACCAGAACGCCCAGGTGCTGGCCGAGGGTGGCGAGCCGTCGACGGCGAAGACGTTGCTGCTCGGCGTGTCCAAAGCCGCGCTTACCACGGACAGCTTCCTCTCCAAGGCGTCCTTCCAGGAAACGACGAAGGTCCTCACCATGGCGGCGGTTGCCAGCGACCGGGACTGGTTGCGCGGTCTCAAGGAGAACGTGATCATCGGTCGCCTGATACCGGCGCGGCTGGAATCTCTGCTGCAGGCGGAGAACGACTTCGCGCTGCGCGAAGCCATGGACCAATTCAGCCATGAACTGGCCCCGGCCTGGCTCTCCGGAGACGGAGAGATACCGGACGAGTTCGCCGTAATCGACGGAGCGGAAGAGACGATCGACGAGGAATTGATCGCTGGTCAGGCTCTGCCCCAACTCGGCGGCACCGGGATCGGCGACGCCGGCTTCCAGATCCGGACCGCGGAGGAAGAGGACGAATTGGTGCGGCGCGCTCAGTCGCTGACGGACAACGATTCCGAAATCGACCGCGAAGTCGAATTGACCGCATCGAGGATCTTCTCGCCGTTCGAGGAGGAGGACAACGGGGACATCCCGCAACTGTAATCGAGGAAATTCCGGTAAGTACCAAGTAGGGGCGAATTATAATTCGCCCCTACATTCATGCCAGAGGAGGCTTGGGACACCATGGACTTGTCGGTGAATCTGGCGCCGGGCCGGCCTGAAGGACTGGCGTTAGGCAACCCAGTGATGATTGCGTCGGGCACCTTCGGATACGACGGATACGGGCGCGGGTTCGCCGCTGAAGCTCCACTCGCCTCTTTGGGGGCTGTGTTACCGAAGACTTTCACCCGGCATGCGCGAACGGGCAATCCGGAACCGCGCTGGTTTCCTCTCTCGTTCCGGGAAGCCCTGGAGGTGGGCGAAACTACCCTGCTGAACTCGGTCGGCCTGACAAATCCCGGGATAGAAACGGCGATGGCGGATTTGGCGCCCAGATGGGCGGACTCTGAAGTGAACTTCGTGATGAGCATGGCAGGCGACTCCGCCGAACAGTGGGAGGAGATGGCATCGTTCACGCGGGGAGTGATTGGGTTTTCGGCGATTGAACTGAATCTGAGTTGCCCTAATGTGGACGACGGAGCCATGTTCAGCCACCACCCGTTATTGACGGAAGCCGCTATCAGCGGAGTGCGGCGTCAGACGGATCTCCCGATCTGGGCCAAGCTATCACCCAACGTGCCGGACATCACCGAAATCGCCTGTGCCGCAGTGGAATCCGGCGCTGATGCACTGACCATCTCCAACACCGTACCGGCGATGCATGTTGACGTGGAGACCGGACGGGCCGTGTTGGGCACGGGGTACGGCGGACTATCGGGTCCCGCGCTCCGACCCATCGCCGTGGCATTGGTGCACAAGGCTGCCCAGGCCGTGGATGTCCCGATAATCGGAGTGGGCGGCATCATGACCGGCCGTCATGCGGCCGAGTTCCTGATGGCGGGAGCGACGGCGGTCCAGGTGGGCAGCGCCAACCTGGCAGACCTCAACGCTCCCTTCCGCATACTGACCGAACTTGAAGAACTGCTCACCCGTTGGGAAGTGAACACCGTAGACCAGATCATTGGAACCGCTCGGTGGGACGAACCCGGGGCGCTGCCCGGCTAGGTACCCCACTCGCATAGAGACCCTACCAGGCGGAGCGCAGCACCGCCTCCAACTCCTCGGCCCCGTTGACTGGCCTCACGTTGCGATGCAGGCCAAAATCGGTCAGGGCGTCCCCGGCGATCTCTGATATGCCCGCCTCCGGTACACCCACGTCCCGCAAACGTACGGGAAGGCCGATGGCTTCGAAAAACCCGGTCACCGCGGCCGCCGCCGAATCCGCCGCTTCCTGATCATCATCGCCGGGTTCGCGAACGCCCAATGCGTTTGCAACCCGCGCCTGCCCGTCCGTATTGAAGTCACGATTGAAACGCATCCCAGGTCCGGTGGTTATCGAATACGCCGCGCCGTGGCTGCAATCCGGGTAGCGGGTGTCCAGGCTGTGCGCCAGGGCGCTCACCACCCCCAGGGCCGATCCGCTGGCTCCCGTGTCCCAGGCGCGGTTGTACATGAACGAGGCCACGCATAGGTTGACGCGGGCAGTTCCGTCGTCGTCGGCTTCCGAACCAGCGGGAGATTCTCCACCAGCAAACCCAGCGACGACAACAGGTCAGCGGCAGCCATCGCGTTGACGCGCGGGGCCTGGAGAGCTCCCACCACTCCGCTGAACAAAGAACCTGAAGCGCTAATGCACAGATCCGCCGGAGCAGTCATCAGCGCCCCGGCATCCCAGATTACGGCCTCCGGACGGGTCTTGGGATCGAACATCTCCAGCCGGTGACCCGTGTCGGCGTCGATCACGGCGGTGCCGGCCCGGTTGGCGGCGGTCGTGGGGGTGGTCAGTACCAGGATGTTGGGAATCTTGGGCGCCATCAACCGTGGGCTCACCGGAGGCTGTCCCTCCGGGTACCTGGTGGCATGGTCTCGCGGATGTCCGTCCTCGGCCAGCATGATGATGATGGCCCGCGCAGTGACCACCGCGCTGCCGCCTCCCACGGCAATGATCAGGTCGGCGCCGGCGTCGCGGGCCATCGCGGCGCCCGCCATGACCGAAGGAACCGGCGACCCTGCCTGCACGCCGTCGAACACTCCGGCCGGCGGTTGTCCGAGAGCCTCAGTGACCCGCTCCAGCAGGTCGGTGCGCGTGGCGATCGATTGGCCACAAACCACGAACGGCCGGACCGCTCCGGTACGTTGTACGGCTCCCGAAAGGTTGGACAACGCGTCGTCCCCCGCAAAAACACGAACGGGGTAAGCGACGTGGCGGAACGAGTGCGCGGTTGTCATGAAATATCCTTTGGCGAAAATGGGACGTGTGGCGTGGACCGGAAGTGGCGAGCAGTGTACTACCTGCGTTCGAGCCTCGCCACGAAGGTCTGATAAAATCGATCCCGTAACATGCCTGATCCACGATCAACATCTTCCTCCTCCTCCGGTTCGCTGCCGGCCCGATTAACCAGATATCGGGCCCAGGCCCTGCGCCTGCAGGAATCGGCGCGCGTCGCAATGCAAAGAGGGCAGTGGAGCCAGGCGGAAGATTTGATCTGGGGGAGCCTGGTGGCGGCAACCCGCGGCGTCGCGTTGTGGTACGGCGAGGACACCGGCGACGACACCAAGCTACGCGAGTTTTTGAGGCGCGTCGGAGAAGCGGAACAAGACCGGTACATCCGAGACGCATTCGACCACCTGTCGGCCATGGCCGACACCGCGGAGCGCGTGCGCGAAAGACGAACCCGCGTCGATTATTTGATCCTGGCGATGGACGACCTTGACGAGGGAATTGACCGATTGGTAGCGCGGATACCCGGCGGCGATGAACCCCTCCCGTCCGCCGACCCCGATGACGACGTAGCGGACTTTGGTGGGTGAAACTTGGCGTCAGATGAGATTCTACAGGTGACGCGACGCACCATGACGAGTCGCGCCAGTCCAGCGGGCGCGCCCGTCGCCGGAGCGGGAACCGTCGTGATTGAGACCCACGGCTGCAAACTGAACCAGGCGGACAGCGCGATCCTCGCGCGAGAGTTCGCCAACGCCGGCTACAGGTTGGTGGACCGACGCCGCGACGCCGACATCATCGTAATAAATACCTGCACGGTGACCTCCACGGCGGACTCAAAGGCACGCCAGGCCCTGCGCGCGGCCCACCGGGCAAACCCGCAAGCGGTGGTCGTCGCGGCCGGGTGTTACCCGGAACGGGCTGCCGACGACCTGCGCCGTATCCCCGAAGTGTCGTTGGTGGTGGGCAACCGCACCAAACCGGACCTGGTGGCGATGGCTACCGCGGAGAGCGCAAAGCGACGGGGAACCCCAGCCCAGTCTCGGGCATACGGCGACGACAACGCCCAGGCGGGCATCCTGCGCCGTAGCCGGGCGATGGTCAAGATACAGGAGGGGTGCGACCAGATTTGCGCGTATTGCATCGTACCAAAGGTTCGGGGTCGGGAACGCAGCGTCCCGCCTGCCGAAATAGTCGCAGCAATCCGGTCGAATCTGGCCGCCGGTTTCAAGGAAATCACCCTGACGGGCACGCAACTGGGCACTTATGGGTTCGATCTGGACGGCGCAGACCTACCCGGCCTGCTCGACCGCATATTGGGCGAAACCGAACTTAGGCGGTTGCGGGTTTCATCGCTACAGGCCCATGAAATCAGTTCGGATTTGCTGAAGCGGTGGGACGATCCCCGTCTGTGCCCACACTTCCATGTGCCACTGCAAAGCGGCAGCGATTCCGTGCTCAAAGGAATGCGGCGCCGGTACGATACCGCCTCTTTTCGAAAAGCCGTAATGACGATCCGGGAGCGTGTGGCCGATGCGGCAATTACCACGGACCTGATCGCCGGATTCCCGGGGGAAACGGAAGAAGACCACGCGGCCGGCCTGGCGTTGGTCGGCGAGATCGAGTTCGCGGACGCGCACGTGTTCCCTTATTCGCAGCGTCCTGGAACGTCGGCTCACTATATGCAGGATCAGGTAACACCGACCGAGAAGCGCCGGCGTGCCCAAGAGCTATCTGCCATAGCCGAAGTCGGGTTCGAACGGTTCCGTGCTCAAATGAAGGGCAAAGTCCGGCCGGTATTGTGGGAAACCGCCAGGCCGCTTGGGAATGGCGCAATGCTCTGGAGCGGGCTCACCGACAACTATGTGCGCGCGTGTACAGAAAGCAACACGGAGTTGGAAAACAGCATATCCCAGGCTCGGCTCGGGGATTTGCACGGCAAAGCGCTGCGAGCCATAGTGCTGGAAGGTTGATCTGTCGCCGTGGCCCGGACGGCATTGCCCGGTTCCTGATAATCCACGACCGCCCGGAGATGCCCGAATGATACGGGCGCGCCGCGCGCAAACCCGTTCTCAGACGCGGTGGATTACTCTCCGCGTCAGCATCCACGGGGCGCAGTTTCCCCTGCCGGGAGGCAACCCGTTTCCTACCAGTCTCCGCGTGCGCAGCCTTACGGTATAATGTTCGTCGACGGGCAGGTCGCAGTCTCCAATATTCGGCGGGTGCCGCTATTTCGTGGGCCGGGCATCTCCATTATGACGCCGGCCTCCCCTATATTTATCGATGGCAGCCAGGCGTTGAGAGCACCCCCAGAGTGGCGCACGGGTCCATGTCCGTGAACCAATCTCAGCGATGAGACCGGGTTCCGCCTCAACCGCATGGCGCGCAATCAGTAGGTGAATGGATGGCAGACGAGGTAATTCTGCGGGTGCAGGATTTGCAGACCCACTTTTTCACGCGCACCGGCGTGGTGAAGGCGGTGGACGGCATCAGCTTTGAACTGAAGCGCGGTGAAACGCTGGGGATCGTAGGCGAATCGGGCTCCGGTAAAAGCATGACCGCGTGGTCGATCCTCGGAATGGTGCCGCACCCGGGCCGCATCGTGGGCGGGAGCATCAATTACCTGGGCGAAAACCTGCTGGAAAAGAGCCGGGGAGAGATGCGAGATATCCGCGGCTCGGGCATCTGCATGGTGATGCAGGATCCGCTGACGTCCCTGAATCCGGTGTTCACCGTGGGCGATCAGCTAACCGAAACGTTGCGCCTGGAGTATAACGAGCCCAGGCGTTCGCTCCGTGATCGGGCAATTCGGCTCCTGGAAAATGTTCGCATACCGGCAGCCGAGGAACGCTTGATTAACTTTCCGCACCAAATGAGCGGCGGTATGCGTCAGCGGGTAGTCGGGGCAATATCCATCGCGCGGTCCCCCAATCTGCTGATCGCCGACGAGCCGACCACCTCGTTGGATGCCACCATCCAATTGCAGTACCTCCGTCTCCTGAAGGACATCCAGGCTCAGACCGGCGCGGCAATCATATTCATCACCCACGACTTCGGCATCGTCGCGCGGATGTGCGACCGGGTCGCCGTCATGTACGCGGGGCGCATCGTGGAGCAGTCCGACGTCGAGGACATGTTCGACCATCCGGCCCATCCCTACACTGAAGCGCTGTTGGAATCCGTTCCCGACCTCGATACCGACGTTGACATGCTGCCTTCCATCGAGGGCCAGCCGCCGTCGCTGGACGCCCTTCCCGAGGGTTGCTCGTTCGCTCCACGCTGCCCCCACACCTGGGACCGCTGCAAGGATTACCCGCCGGAATTTACGGTCGCGCCCGGTCACGTGTCGCGATGTTGGAGGGCGGAATAATGGTTACGACTGCTGACATGGCGGGCTCAGCTACCGGCAGCCGCGAACATGCTCTGGTACGCCTGGAGGGCATACGTCGACATTTCCCCGTGTACCGCGGCAACGTGCTCCGGCGGCAGACTGGGACGGTCAAGGCCGTCGACGGGATCTCGATCAACATCATGCCCGGTGAGACGTACAGCCTAGTCGGAGAATCGGGCTGCGGGAAGACCACCACCAGCCGGATGCTGCTGATGGCCGATCAACCCACGGAAGGCGATATTTATTTCGATAATCGTCCCATGAAGCACTTTTCGGGAGCGGAACGGCGGAACTTCAAGGCCTCGGTGCAAGCCGTGTTTCAGGACCCCTGGAGCTCGTTAAACCCCAGGATGCGAGTCGACCAGATCATCGCCGAGCCTTTGATCACTCACCAGCGGCTGAGCCGGTCCGCGGTGCGCGCGCAGGTGCAGGAACTGCTGCAGGTGGTTGGACTGCACCCGTTCCACGCCGAGCGTTACCCTCACGAATTCAGCGGAGGACAGCGGCAGCGGATCGCGATTGCCCGAGCCCTATCGACCCGTCCCAAGCTGATCGTGCTGGACGAGCCGGTGTCCGCCCTGGACGTCTCCATACGGGCCCAGATATTGAACCTGCTGAAGGAGCTCCAGTCCACCTACGAGCTCAGCTATCTCCTGATCGCGCACAACCTGGCCACCGTGCGCTACATGAGCCACACGGTGGGCGTGATGTACCTGGGCAAGATTGTCGAGGAAGCCCCTCCAATCGAGCTGTTCACCAACGCGCAGCACCCGTACACGCGGGCGCTTATATCGGCCTCTTTGCCGGCCCACCCGAGGCGCCAGCGCGAGGAGATAGTCCTGGCCGGAGAGGTCCCATCGCCGATAAACCCACCTGCCGGATGCACCTTCCACCCTCGCTGCCCGTTCGTCATGGAACGCTGCTCGGCGGACGTGCCCGCGCTGGTGGAGTACACCCCGAGACACTTCACGGCGTGCCATCTGTACGCCGATGGGGGCAAGAATACCTGCTAACAGTTTGATCTATTCGACATCCCTGGAAGCTACCACAGCGCCGGCTCCAATTCCTACGAGAGCCGGCGCTGAATTGCTGTCATGCTCAATCGCCAATCTCGCATCTGTCCCTCGGCCTCTCCCTCTACAGTGCATCCTGCTCCCAAACGCTCCATGGGATTGCGATATGACAAGGTTTTACATATTTGAAACGCGGATACCAATGCTGGCAGGAGTATAATTATCGGGGTCTAATTCACCCAATCGGTGGATTGGTTTGCGAATATCGCAACCGAACGGGAGCAGGTAATTGATTCAGGCGAGGGAACTGGCCCATCCGATCCGGTTGGCGCGCGGGATGTTCTACGGGTGGTGGTTGGCCGTCATCGGCGCCGTGATAATGGTCATCGGGACGGTGCCGCTGTTTCAGGCGCTGTCGTTATGGTTGCCGGTGTTGTCGCAGAATTTCGGCTGGACGCCTTTACAGTTGTCGTGGGCGTTCACGCTGACCAGGGTGGAAGGCACCGTGATGGGCCCAATCGCCGGCTGGGGAGTGGACAAGCTGGGGCCGCGGAAGATGGTGGCAATAGGGTTGGTTATCTTTGGGCTGGGGTTTTTCTTGTTCAGTCGAACCGACAGCCTTTGGATGTTTTACCTGTCGTTCGTGGTGGTTAGCCTGGGAGCCGGCCTGGGATCCTGGCTGCCGGCCAACACAGCGTTGAACAACTGGTTTCAGCATCGCCGATCCACCGCAATGTCGATACCCATGCTGGGCTTTGGTTTTGGCGGCGTCGTAATAGTGCCGTTGATGGCATGGATGATGGGCTGGGACACGAAGACCGCCATGGAGATACCCGGCCGTCTGGGATGGCAGAATACGGCGCTGCTGGTGGGTGCGATCGGCCTGGTAGCGTCAGTTCCGCTGTCCATGTTCGTGCGGAACCGCCCCGAGGACTACGGCCAGCACCCGGACGGGGTTGATCCGGCGACGTTGGATGGTCGGAGCGCTCGTCGCTCCGCCGGCGGCTTGGCCCCCGACTACAGTTGGCAGGAGGCTGTCAGGACCCGGGCCTTCTGGCTCATTACTCTGGGCCACTCGAGCTCATCTATCATCATCATCAGCGTGATGTTTTATCTGGGCCTGTTGATGGTGGAGCGCGGTTTTTCCCTGGCGCAAATCGGGACGGTGATTTCGGTTCAAACTGCCGTGTCGACGGCCTTCATACTGGTGGGAGGCCTAATCGGAGACCGCGTACCCATCCGATTGGCCATCTTCGCCTTCTCCTTCCTGCAGTCTATCGCCATGGTCATTTTGCTGTTAGCCGAAACGCTGCCGATGTTTTACTTGTTCACCGTTTTGATGGGCATCGGGTTTGGAGGCAGAACGCCATTAACCACCGCCATTCGGGGGGTCTATTTCGGGCGCAGCAGCTTTGCGCGGATAACCGGAATTTCAATGATTCCGATGAACATCATGTTCGTCGTGGTCGTGCCCTATATTGCGTGGATGCAGGAGTACATCACGGGCAGCTACACCCTGCCCCTGGCATCCATCGCTGCGGTGAGCGCGGTGGGATCCGTAATGTTCCTGATGTTGGGCAATCCGCGCTTGTCTCCATCCCAACGACGCCGCGCCGACGTGCAGCGGTTGGTGACCCAGGGAGCTACCAGCGGGTCGAACGACTGACCCGGTTCGATATTACAAAGCCGTCCGCGCACCCGCGACGCGACTGATCAACCCGTCGCGCCCTCCCTTTGGGCTCTCGTCCGTTGTTGCTCTCCCACAAGTCCTCACCCGGGGCCCACTACGGCTGGTGGCTGGTAGGAATCGGCGTTGTGATTTTGACGCTCGCCGGCACGCAACTGGTCGGATCGTTCGTGTCGTTGCTCTACTCAGGGGATCACGTAGGCACGAGAGCGTGGCTGGTAAGGGAGATCGCATTCTCGGAGCGGGTAAGCCTTGCCCTACTGCCGCTGGCCGGCCTGGCAGTGGACCGGTTCGGCCCGCGCTCGATGCTGCTGGCTGGGCTGTCATTGTGCGCCGCGGCGGCGATTGCAGCTTCAATGATTCCGGTGGAAGGAGTTGCGCTGGCGCTGCTTCCGGTGTTGATTGCCGGCAGGGTGATGGGAACCAGCACGCCAGTGATGGCAGCCATCAACCATTGGTTCCACGACAGGAGAGCCCTGGCAATTGCTGTGGTCCTTTTCGCGGTGTCGGCGCTGAATCTGCTGCCATTGCCGGTGTTTTGGGGTGAGCGGGCGAACACCCTGGCCTTGGGCACGGTCATACTCGCGGTTGGCTTGCCACTGGCCGCGCAGGTCCATCTGCCAAACGATATGGCCGGAACGCACGGCAACGCGGACGAATCAGCCGTCGGCGGGGACAAGCTATGGGATGATGGTCACCCAACGGTCGAATATGGATGGGTGGAGGCGGTCAGGTCGCGCGAGTTCTGGCTGTTAACGGTAGCCGCAGCCTGCCTGGCGGCGGCCGATCAACTTACCCTAACGCTGATATTCTCGGTAGCGGATTATAGGTTTCAGCTGGAAGGCTCGTATCTGACCTTGGAAAACCAGCACCGGATCGCGTCCGTTTTGTTCATTCTCGTTGGCGGCTTGGTGGGTACCAGAGTGCGGCTCCGCACTGCCTTGTTGGCGTTCTCCTTACTCCACGTGATCGCGGTGGTCCTGATCACGTTCGCCCCGAGCGCGTGGTGGCTGTTTGCAGGGATGCTCGTCCTGGGCGCCGGCAGCGGCGGTGGCGTGGCCCTCGGCATCGCGGCGGTCGGCGAGTATTTCGGAAGACGACGCTTCGCCACGCTGCGGGCCACCCACTGGCTGATCGTTCGGATGATGGCAGCTCCCTCGGCGTTCGGCCTTCTCCTGTTCTCCGATCTGTGGGTAGATCCGACCTGGACGTTGGCGCTGGCGGTCTTTCCGGCACTGGCGGGTGTTTTAGCCTACCGAATGCTCGGCGACCCGAAACCGGCTCCATCGCAGACTCCGCAAATTGAAGGTGCGCAAGTTGGTTAGGAATCGAACCGGCTCATCACTTCCGCAGCGAACAGCTCCAGGGTCTCGGACGGCGCGGGGTCGGGAAAGACGACGAAGAAATAGCGGATGCCAAATTCGACGTACTCGTTGATACGGTCGCAGATCTGCTCGGGCGTGCCCGACAGGGTGTTGCGCAGGTTTTCGTCCCGAAAGGCGGTCGCGGTCTTGCCAGCCTGTTCGGCCAGGCGGGCGACGAGACGGTCGTGCTCATGCTGAGAAGGCGCGATCACGCAGTCAGCATTGTGAGTGAGCTCGATGCTGTCGGGATCGCGGCCGGCTGCTTCGGCAGCGCGGCCGATTATTCCGACGTACTCGCGGTGCTGGTCCACGGTGTCGTTGGACCCCACGTTGCAGATGTCGGCCGTTCGTCCGATGGTGGGCAGAACGTAGCGCGGGCCGTGCCCACCTACCAGGATAGGCGGCATGGGTCGCTGGGTCGGTTGGGGCTCGACAGACGCGCCGGATAGCTGGTAGTGGCGACCCTCGAAATCGACGGAATGCTCCGTCCACAGCCGACGGATGAGCGCAACCGATTCCTCCAGCATTTCGCAGCGTTGCCGGGTGGACGGAAAAGGCAGGCCGCTTTTCAGGGCATCGCTGCCGCTGCCGCCGGCTCCGATGCCCAGGGTGATGCGGCCGCCGCTGATGACGTCGAGGGTCGCCGTCATCTTCGCGGTGAGCACGGGATGGCGGTAAGGGTTGGCCAGAACCATGGGGACGGCGCGGATGCGGTGGGTCTGCGCCAGCAGCGCGGTGAGCGTGGTCAAGCATTCCAGGGCGTCGATGGTCAGGAGATCGAACAGGCTGGCGGAGTAGTAGCCGAGGCGGTCGGCCTCGACCCAGATGCGCCGGAGATCGTCGTAGGAGTAGCGGTACTGGTTGACCCGCACGTTGAATTTGACGGGAGATTGATTGACCATCAAGTAGTTACCATAAAAATAGGGGCGAACAACCATTCGCCCCTACGCGGGAAGCCCATGTGAGCCGGGTTACTTGGCGCCGTTGCCATTCCGGAAAGCGGGGATGACTTCCTTACCGAACTTCTCGATGGACTTCATCACCTTCTCGTGAGGGATGGTCTCGGTCTGCATGATGAGCATGACCTGGTCGACGCCGATGTCCTCGTACATCTGGCAGGTCTTGATGCAGGACTCGGGATTGCCGGCGATGATAACGCCCCGATCGGAAAGGGTCTTGCCGTCAAGCTGGGCGATGGCCGCGCGCGCGGCGCCGGGGCCGGCATCCAGGGAAAGGCCGACGTCGTTGGCCAGTTGCTGGTGCTCTTCGTCCGACTGGCGAAGCCAACGGCTGAAGTCGGCGGAAAGATGATCGGGCACGCCGCCCCAGGCTTCCAGCAGCTCCTCGTAGGCGCCGATGCGGCCGGCGATGTACGGCTTGTCGGGTCCGAAGAAGGTCTTCATCGAGTCGGCGGCCAGTTCCTTGGCGTAATCGTCATCGTCGTCGCAGAAGCCGTGGACATTGTTGCCCCAGAATTCGGTGATGAACTCGCCGACCGGTTCGCAATCCTTGAGCGCGTCGCGGTAGATCTGCACCTTCTCCTTGAGCACTTCAACGGCGTAGGAGGCGGAGGACAACACGCCGATGCCCTTCTGGGCGGCCAGACGGAAACTGTCTTCGGATGTGCAGGCCAGGTACATCCGCGGGTGCGGCTGCTGGAAGGGCTTGGGCAGCACCCGACGCTTGGGCACGCTCCAGTTCTCCCCCTCATACTCATACTCGTCCGAGGTCCAGATCTTGGGCAGCATGCTGATGGACTCGTTCCATAGATTGCGAGTTTCCCGTGGGTCGATACCCAGGCCGGTCTGCTCGTAGGCATTGGAGCGACCGGTTCCAAACTCAATGCGGCCGTCGGTCAACTGGTCCAGCAGGGCCACTCGCTCGGCGACGCGGACAGGATGGTGGTAGGGCAGGATGCAGACGCCGTAGCCGATGCGGATCTGCTTGGTGATGCGGCTCAGTGCGCCGAAGATGGCGTCCTGGGCCGGGGAGCCGGAGAATCCGGTCAGGAAGTGGTGTTCCACAAACCAGAGGTTGTCGAACCCGACCTGGTCGGCCAACTCGCACTGCTCCAGTGTTTCCTTGTAAAGGGCGTTCCAGTCAATCTCAGTTCCCTCGAAGGGGCGTTGGCATTCGTAAAGCAAGCCGAATTGCATGACAAATCTCCTGTGCGTCGGTTTCGCCGAGACGGGCGTTTCCGTTAAGCAAAAGCCCGCATCACTACGAAAGTGGGAACAGTGCTCCCGAAGCGATTATTGGCCGGAGTATAGCGTAATTGCATACTGTTGGCGAACGAACGCAAGGCAAATGAGCCTAGCTCACATCGCTTGACGAGAGGCGAGCCAGGCATCGTAATTTTCCTGCATCGATTGCAGATGCTCGGGGATGTGGACTTCGTAAACCGCCAGCCAATCATCGAGGGTCATGTTGCCGTTCTCGGGGTGATAGCAGGTGTTCGCCCAGACGTTTTCGGGGAGCCCTTCAACGAGAGAGTAAGTTTGACCGCGAAGCAGACGGAACAGTTCGAGCGCGTCTTCCACGCTCCGTTCGGCGTAGCCGAGATGCGTGGCCCAGCCGTTTTCATCGTAAGCCATCAGCGGTTCGCCCGGCTCGGCGATCAGGCGCCGGCACCGGATGTAACTGTTGGCCTCGCTGTCGGCAATGTGAATTAAATGCTCGCGAATGCTCCAGCATCCGTGCTCGTCGCGGAAGTCCCACATTTCTTTCGGAAACTTCCGCAAGCCTTGCATGAGGGTTTCGTAAGCAGCGCCGTATGACGCGATTTTGATGGAACGGGTTTCTGTCGTCATGCTTGCCTCGTCAACCCTATCTACCGCGAAGTTGATGTAACGCCGGCGCCACTCAACGGACGCGGCCAGGACCTGACACGAATGACTCGTACCCGCGCCAGGCGAGACGGGTCCCCAGTATATTATGCCTCGGATCACAGTAGCCGTAACTGTCCGCATTCGAGGTGGCCGCTCAACACCAAATCCGTCACATTGGCGAAAGCGGGTATCCAGCACATCCTTGCTGCTCTCACGTTTCACGGAGCGCAGTATCTCTGGGTTCCTGCTTTCGCAGCAACCACGTGCTCCCGACGAGGAAACCCCACAAATCTGAACACTTATCAGTAGCCGTCGCCACTTGCGAGAGACGGCGATAAGGGCGATAATCCGCCTCAAAGCTATGATCCGAGAGAGTTCATCAGGAGGCGTAGCGCAATGAAGTACGATGTAATCATCATCGGGGCGGGCTCTGCCGGCTGCACCATAGCGGCCAGGCTGACCGAAGATCCCAACCGCTCGGTGCTGCTGCTGGAGGCCGGGCCGGATTACCCTGATTTTGAGCTCTACCCGGACGACCTGAAATTCGGTTACGACCAGACGGCATCGGCCGTGGACGCGCCGCACAACTGGACCTTCTGGGCGCAGAATCCCGGACAGGCCAACCCGATGCCCGTGCCGCGCGGCAGAGTGGTCGGCGGGTCTTCGGCCATCAACGGGCAGGTGCTGCTCCGCGGCGTCCCGGAAGACTACGACGCCTGGGCCGCCCTGGGAAACGACGAGTGGAAGTTCACCGATTGCCTGCCCTATTTCCGCAAGATGGAAACGGACGTTGACATCAGCGACGACTTCCACGGCAACACCGGACCCATCCCGGTCCGGCGGCACCGGCAGGAGGACTGGCTTCCCGCCCAGGTCGCCTTTTGGAACGCCTGCCGCGACGCGGGTCATCCCCACGACCCGGACATGAACCACCCCGATTCCGGCGGCGTGGGTCCCGTGCCGATGAACAACCCCAACGGCGTGCGAATGAGCACGTCGATTACCTACCTCCGTGAGTCGAGGCACCGCCTCAACCTCACCATCCGCCCCAACGTCACCTGTCGCCGGATCCTGTTCGAGGGCAAACAAGCCGTCGGCGTGGAAGTGGAAAGCGGTGGCGACGTGTTCACAGTGGAAGCCGACGACATCATCCTCAGCTCCGGGGCAATCGCGTCGCCGCAGTTGCTCATGTTGTCCGGGGTTGGTCCCGCCGACCACCTGCGAGCGATGGGCATCCCGGTGGTGCATGAGCTCCCGGGGATCGGGCAGAACCTCCGGGACCATCCGAACATTCGCGTGCCGGTCAAGATCAAGGATGACTTCCCCCTGGACCCGGCCGCTCCGCGTACTCAGGTCTGCCTCCGTTATACCGCCTCCGGCAGCCATCTGCGCAACGACATCCAGATCATGCAATCGTCCTTCTCGTCGCCAATCGCCGGCGACCCGCTGGAGGCGGAGGGGATCCGGTTCACCTGTATCCTGGAATTGGCTGTGGGATCCGGTCACCTGCAACTTGCGAGCACCGACCCGCACGATCAGCCGCAGTTGAACTACAACTACTTCCAGGAGGAGTTCGATCTGGCGCGAATGCGCGAAGCCGTGCGCGTGTGTGTCAATCTGCTGGACAGCGATCACTACAAGGATGTCGCCGAAGAACTACTGGACCCGCTGCCGGCGGACCTGGAGAGCGACGAGGCATTGAATGATTGGCTGAAACGGGTGGTCAGCACCTCGCAGCACATCTCGGGCACGTGCAAGATCGGGTCGGCCGATGACCCCATGGCGGTGGTCGATCAGCATTGCCGTGTGCATGGCATGGAGAACCTCCACGTCGCCGATGCGTCGGTGATGCCGGACTGCATCCGCGCCAACACCAACTGCACCACGATCATGATTGCCGAACGGAAGTCGGACTGGTTCCGTTGCGGCGAATAAACTCGATCCACAGTAGGGAGAAATACTCATGACGACCACCACGCGAGAAGTGCACGTCTACACCAACCCTGGTTGATTCAGCTGCCGGACACTGGAGGAATTCCTGGCGTCCAACGGTGTTCAGTATGAGCACCACGATCTGTTGACCGATGAACCGGCGAGGGAAGACCTCAAGTCACGAGGCATCCTGTCCGCCCCGGTGACCATCATTGATGGCGACGAGGTCATCATCGGTTACTACCCGAAGAAGCTGATCCCCGCCCTGGGGCTGGCCGAGGCGCCCATCGACCTGTCCGGCCGCACCGCGTGGCTCGCCGACAAGTACCAGCGGATCCTCGGAGCGACCGCCCGTGCCACCTGTGAGCTGAGCGACGAGCAGCTCTCCCGGTCCGTGCAATGGCGGCCGGAGATGTTGCGGGATACGCTGGTGCACATCGTGTCCTTCCCCGAGCTGGCCTACACCAGCAGCACCCGGGGTTCCATGAGCACCGATGATATGCGGGCGTGCCGGGAGAGCCTGGTCGATCTGAATAAGCCGGACGACATCGCCGCGTACGCCGTCAAGGTTGCCGACGACATCGCCGATTTCCTCGCCAGCGGCGACACTGAAGGCTTCGACCGGGTTGTCCCGGCCCACTACGGCGGCGAGGTCACCGTCCTCGAGTTGCTCAACATAATCTTGAGCCACAGCACCCATCACCTGAAGCAGGTTTACTGGTTCATGGATGACCAGCTGGGCCAGCCTGCCAAGGCTCCCGCGTCCGCTGAGGACATGGATGGCATCTTCACACCGGCCCAGTTGATCTAGGGGTGTAGGAAGGAGGACGCCATGGCGGAGCCGCTGATCACCCTGGATGAAACCCCGCAAACGCGGGTACTCATTGCCGGCTGGCGGAGGCAGTGGTCTGACGGCGGCAACATATCCAGCGGCATGCCGCGCTGGCTGATCGACAAACTGTCGGCGCGGCGAATTGGCCGCATGACCGAAGAGATCTCCAGGATGTGCTTCCCCTTCCAGGTCGCGGGAACCCACGACCTCTACCGGCCCCGCGCCGCGTTCGAAGATGGACTGCCGAGCCGTCCCATGGAATGGGACAACGGTTTCTGGGACGCGGGCGACGGCGTGGTCGTTTTCCTGGGAGTCGAACCCTGGTACCGGCTCGACCTGTACGGCGACGCATTTTTCGAGGCCGCGGCGGCGTTGGGCAACCCGAAAATCGCTGCCGTGGAAGGCTACAACGGGCCGGCTCCGCCGGAGTTGGAACGCCGGGTGTCGTGCGTGTATAGCAAAGCGTCAATGGCGGAGGAACTGCGCCAGCACGGAATGCTGTTCTCCAGCTACGGATCGCAGCAGCGCCAGGGCCCCACGATTGGGATGGCCCTGGTCAGCGTCGCCCACTACCAGCATCCGGACGTGGAGATGGTGCGGGTCGGCGCGATGGCTCCGATGTTCCCGTTCAGCGGGAGCGGAGGGGGTCAGTTGGGCATCACCACCGACCACCGGGCCTTCTACGACATCATGCGCCGGCTGCGCGGACTGTATTCGCTGGATGTCGATTTGTCCGATCTCAGGCCGCGCTACGAGGAAGAGTCGACGCGCTTGTTGGAATCGCTGGACCGGGTAGCCCAGCGCAACGAAGAGGCGCGACGGTACATCGAGCGGGTGCGCAACGACTATCAGTTCCAGCCCTTTGAAGAACCCGTCGAACTGAACTCGAGCATCGAGGGAACGCTGGCCGACATCCTGGGACAGCTCGATCTTCCCGGCGGAGACGACGACCAGCCAGCGGGACGCTGACGGAACGGGTTGGTCCCCGGACAACGAAGAGGGGCGGGTGTGAACCCGCCCCTAACTGCTTGGTCGGTGGTCTCCAATGCTAGTCGAGGACTAGAACCGTGTTCTCGCGGCCTTCTCGCCGCATCTCCGCCAGACCTTCTTCGGGAGTCTCAAACTTGTCGTAGTAGAACTCGATGCCATTGCCGTCCGGGTCCTCGAAATAAACGCTCCCGGTCATGCCGTGGTCGGTGGTGCGATCAACCTTGACATCGTGCTCCAGCAGCGTGTGATACAGGTCACGCAGGGAGTCATGATCCTCGACCTGAACCGCGAAATGGTTCAAGCCAATGTTGCCCTTGCGCGTCTCCGGAGAGGCCTCGTCGGCCTGGAACAAGGCGAGGTCGTGATGGATTTCGCCGCAGGTCAGGAACGTGGCGGTGGGCCGCTGGACGGCGATATCGAAGCCGAGGATCTCGGTGTAGAACTTGGTGGAAGCCGCTACGTCCGAAACGTTGATGACGAGATGTCCGACTTGCTTGGGTTTGACCATGTTCGTGCTCCTTTCGCGGCGAATATTGGGCGATTGTTGGCGCGAACTATACGACAGTTGTTCGTGAGTGGCAAGTACACGACGTTTTCCCCACGCATCGCCGTCGCACCGTATCCATGCCAACAGGCGATCAGATTTCGTTCATCCGCCGCACCATCGGACGATACATCCAGCCGGCCAGCGATATGGCCAGCAGGACGAGGGCGCCACTGGTGATCGCCGCCGACCAACCGTAGATCTGCGCCAACCAGGTCAACGGCCACGCGCCCAGGAAGTGGAACACCGGCGCGAGCTGCATCATGGCCATCATGCGGCCTCGCATCTCAGGCGCGGTGGTCAACTGCATCATCGAGCTGGAAACCGGCCAGAACCCGCCGATGCTGGTCGAGCCTACCAAAGCCACCAGCACGCAGGCAGCCCAGAACCATTGGGACCATGCCAACGCGACCAGGCCGATACAGCATAGGGAGACTTCCAGGTACATGAGCAAGCCCTTGTTCTTGTTGTCGCCCCAGCTGGCGACCACCAGGGAGCCCAGGGAAAGCGCCGCCTCCCCGAAACACCATGAAGATGCCGGTCTGGAAAGGGCTCAGCCGGAGGAATTCGGTGGTGAAAGCCGGCACGACCTGCATGTAGGCCATGCCGAAGAAACCGAATGATGCCGACATGATGATCAGCACCGCCGCCATGGGCGTCCGAATGGCGTGGGCGAACCCTCCGACCAGGTCGCTGATGGGCGACGAGTTGCGGCGCGTCGCGGCGACCGGGCGTGTCACCATCATCAGGAAGCCGATCCCCACCAGATAGCTGACGCCGTTGATCATGATGCCGGCCCAGGTGTCGATGTACTGGATGGCCCAGCCACCGACCAGGGGGCCCATCATGTTGCCGATCTGGCCTACGGAGGTGTGCAGGGCCACCGCGTTCATCATGTCTTCGCGGGGTACGAGGTCGGCCGCGAGCGCGAACCGGGCGGGCATCTGCACCGCCATCAGCCCGCCCAGGATGAAGACAATGGTGTAAACGTGCCACATCTGCGCCAATCCGGTCAGCGCCAGGATCGCGAGGGCGAGGGTGATGACCGCGTTGCCGAGTACGCAAAAGATCAGGAACAGCTTGCGGTCAACGCGGTCAGCCAGCACTCCGCCCACGAAGGTGAAGAACAGGTTGGAAACGCCAAAGAGGCTGACCGCCAACCCCAGCGAAGTCTTGGCGCCGGTGAGGTCCAGGATCAGGTAGCCGATACCGAGGAACTGGATCCCCTGGCCGAAGGACTGGACCCCGATGTTCAGAAAGAACCACCGGAAATCCCGGTGGCGTAGAGCGGAAAACGCGCGCAGCCGACCCGCGGCAGCGACTGAAGCCATGGGCTACGAGGCGCCAGCCCCGGACTTGGACGATGAAATCAGCCGGTCCGTCAACTGGTGGAAGTTCGATACCTCAAAGTCCGGCAAATACACGGACTCCTCGTTCGGCAGGTTGTAACGATTTACGTAACCCGCCCGAAAACCTGATGCCCGCGCACCGGTCACGTCGAACGAGTGGGAGGAGACCATCATGATTTCGCCGGGCGCTTTTCCGAGGATACGGGTAGCGGTGCGATACACCGCCGGATGGGGTTTGAATACGCCGGCTTTTTCGACCGAAATGACCTGATCGAAGGGGATCCCGACATTGTCCCGGGCCATGCGCTCCAGGTACGACTGCTCGCCGTTGGACAGCACGACCAAGTTGAACCGCTTGCTATCAACCAGCTTTTGGAGGCCCTGCACGGCGTCTTCGAACGGGCGCAGATCGTCGTAAACGGCCATGAAGCGGTCCACGTCGCCGGGTTCAAAGGTCACGTTATGGAGACGCAAGCAATATACGAACGACCGTCGGCAGGTCTCCAGGTAACCGCTGTGGCCCAGCATGAAGAGATTATCCTGGTACTGCTCGATGCGCTGGCGTCCGCGCCAGTCCGCCCAGAATTCATCCTCGGTGACGGGTGAACCGTGCTCCGCCAGGAAACGGCCAGCCGGCGGAGACAGACTGCCGCCCAGATCAAGCACCGTCCCGAATATATCGAAAACCAGCGTGTTGACCTGGCCGAGGGGATTGTCGGTCATGGCGGGACTCCTCGATGTCCTCAGGCGGGCTTGATGTTATCGATATTGGTCTGGTCGATGTTTATCTGGCGTTTCACGCTGTCGAAGTAGACGATGAGCCACGTGGCGGGCCCGATGGTGCGCTTCTCGCGAACCTCGCCGGCGTCTCCGGTTGAAATGCTGCGTACCGATGAACCCACCGGGGAGGCCATCACCTCGCGAACTTCGAAATCTGCGGTGGCTTCGACTTTCATGCCCTTTTCGTACAGGTCAAAACTCATTTCGGTACCTCCTCGGGGAAATCCGGCGAACTCAAATCGAGGGGTTAACTGGCCCCGCAGTGTACGGCCCGCAGTTTGTGGAGTCAACGAAAGGCACCTTGTCGCAGCACGCGGCGCGACGGGGTCTGCCGCGCCGCTAGACGACATAAGCGGCGCAGGGTATCATTTTCAAGACATTCCATCTCGCAACCAATTCTGGAGGTAAACGTAGCCCATGAAAATCGTAAACATGTCGGCAGTGGAAAAGACCGAGGGGACTGCTCCTCTCTTCACCGGCCCGGTGGGACGGCAGGCCATCCTCGACCCCGACGACAGCAACAACTTCAACTTCGGCATCGTGCACTTCGGCGCCGGCGTCCGCAATAAGTTCCATACCCACAGCGGCGACCAGATCCTCATCGTCACCGAGGGCACCGGCATCGTCGCCACTCGCGACGAGGAAGTCGTGGTCAACGAAGGCGACGTGGCCGTCATCCCCGCTGGCGAAGACCACTGGCACGGCTCCCGCGAAACCGCCATGTCCCACATCACCATCACCGTGAAGGGTAGCCAGACCCAACAGAACGAGGACTAACCCCCGCCGCCTGGCACGGCTGGAACGCATAGGGGCGACCATTCGGTCGCCCCTGATTTTTTGCTATTGCGGACGGTCAGTGAGGCCGGTGGCCGTGGGCCTCATGGTCATGACCGTGTCCGTGATCGTCATGGTGTTCATGCCCGTGGTCGTCGTGGTTACCGTGATCCCCGTGCCCGTCGTGACCACCGTGATCGTCGTGACCACCGTGATCGTCGTGATGAAGCTCAACCGGCGCGGCCTGCGGCAACCGCACCAGGGCCAGGATTACCGCTGCCGCCAGGTACAGGGCCGCGGTGTAGTAGAACAGGTAGGTGTAGTCGATCCCGTACAGCCATCCGGCGAGCAGCGGCGAGGCTGCGCTCAGGATGAACCGGGAGGTGGACAACAGGCCCAGCGTGGTGGCCGCGGTGCCTTCCCGCACGATGTCCATTGCCGCCGCGGTAAGGATCGGCTGGTCGCTGTACAGGAACATGCCCAACGCGGCCAACAATACGGTCATCATGGCGAGGTTGGTGCTGAAAGGAACCATGATCAGGGTGACCACGGCGAGGTAAATCATGCCGGGGATCAGCACCATCTTCCGCCCCAATCGGTCGGAAATGTAGCCCATCACCGGGCTGGCGAAGATGCCCACCAACACCAGGAGCGCGATCAGCGATCCGCGGAGGAACACACCCTCGAAAACGCCGCCATCCGGGTCGACGGTCAGTCCCAAATGGTCGGCGAGATATAGAGGCAAGACGGTGACAAATCCGATGTACGCCATGCCGCGCAGGCCCGCCACGACGGTGATGCCCCAGATCCGGGGATTCCGTACCAGCAGCTTGGTTTCCTCCACCTGGGATCGCATGGTGAACGCCGATTGATTCTCGGCAGCGACCTGCGCCCGGTGGCCGATGTCCCGGAAAGCCCAGAAAACCAGGAACGCCAGGAAGATCGGCACCGCGGCATAGATGGTGATGATCGAATGCCACGTCATGCTGACGAGCAGCAAGCCGGTCAGGGCGGGCCCGAGCACGTCGCCGACGTTGCCGCCCACGCCGTGGAACGAGAGCACCGAGGCCCGACGGTGCGCGAAGTGCGACGACAACGCGGCCATGGCGGGCAGATGCCAAACCGACGCGGCGATGGCGACGATAGCCATGCCTATTAGCAGCAACGCGTAACCCGCCGGATTCAACGCGCCGCCGGCGGCGGCGGATTCCCCGGTCTGGCTGGAGACCAGCCACGCACTGCCCGGCACCTGCCAACCGGCCGAAGCCATCAGCAGCCAGCCGACGCCGAACAAGGCCATGCAGACTGCCATCACCCAGCCCCAGTAGCGGCGCAGCGCGTCGGTCAGCACCCCGCCGGGCAGTGCCACCACGCCCGATGCTATCTCACGGGTGGTCTGGATACTGGTAGCGGCGATGATGCTTCCGCCCAGGAGCAGGTCGCGGACCTCGGGGAGCACCACGATGAAGCTCTGGGCCACCCAGTGGAACACGCCGTGCCCGCTGGTCAGACCGCCGATGATGAACGCAGCCCCCCTACGGAAACCGGTCTGGCCTTCCGCTGCCGAAGGCATAGCGTGATGATGAGCATGCGCCATAGCGATCTCCTGTGGCCTTTGAGCTTGGAGGTTATTCGAGAGGCCCACCGGCTTCGCGCGGCAGGCTGGACAGCCCGCTCGAAGTGGCCGGGGAGCGGTTGATTCGATCGCGAATTTTGGACCAGGCCAGGACCGCCGCGAAAACCGCGGCGGACAAAAGCACCACACTGGCCCCGGACGACACGTCAACGAAATAGCTGATGTAGATGCCCAGCACGGAGCACATTATACCCATGCCGGTGGACAACAGCGTCATCTTGCGGAAGCTGTTGGTCAGCAATCGGGCTGCTATCGGCGGAATAACCACGGCAGCGGCGATCATGGTGACTCCCAAAACCTGCATCGAAACGACGATGGTGCCGGCCAGCAACAACGCGAACAGGGTGTCCACCCAGCCCGTGGGCACACCGTAGAACTGCGCAACGTCAGAGTCAAATATCGTGAACAGGAAAAGCTTGTAGCCGACAAAGAACACTCCGGCAACAATGGCGGACACCACCGCTATCGCGATCAGGTCATCGCGGTCCACGGCCAGGACACTGCCCCACAGCGAGGCCTCGAAGTCTCGGGTGAAACTGCCAAAACGGCTGATGATCGCAATACCCAGGGCGAAGCTAGCGGTCGTGATGATGCCGATGGCGGCGTCGGATCCAATCGGATTCCGGCGCGTGGTCCAAGTCACCAGTAGCGCCGAGAGAAATCCCCACACCGTTGCCCCAACGAAAAAGTTGATCGACATAATCCAGCTCACCACCGCCCCGCCGAAAATGGCGTGCGACAGGCCGTGGCCGATGTAAGACATGCCACGCAGGACAATGTAGACGCCCATCAGGCCGCACAGCCCGCCAATCAGGCACGCTGCGATGATCGCCCGCACGAAAAACCCGAATTCAAACGGCTCTAATAGCATCAATCTGGCAAACTGAGAACAGTCAGGTCACGATCAGGCGGGAGCATTCCAACGGGCGTCCGCTCGCGCGGCGGTGGACGGGAGCGATCCGCGTAACCTGAGGCGCTCAGTCATCGGCGTTCTCGTGGTGGTGGTGTATGGGAACGTTGCCGTCGGAAGGATGGGTATGCGCCAGAATCGCCTCCGTGTGGCTTTCATCCGGGACGGTGGCCAGGGGATCGCCGCCGTTACGGTCGATCCAGAAGTGGGCGCTCTCGGCCACCAGCGTCATGCCTTGATACTGGATCACCGGCATTTCGGCCCCGTAGACCTCGCGGAGAATGTGCGGCGTGATCACGCGGTGCGGCGGCCCGTCCGCCACGACGGTGCCGTTCAGGCAGACTATGCGGGGCAGATGCACGGCGACGGCGTTGATCTCGTGCGTGGTCATCACGATGGTCACGCCGGCATGGTTGAGATCATGGAGCAGGTGCATCACATCGTCTCGGGTCTTGAGGTCCACGCCCGAGGTGGGTTCGTCCAACAGCAGCAATTCCGGGTTGCTGACCAGCGCGCGGGCCAGGAAAACGCGCTGCTGTTGACCGCCGGAAAGCTGTCGGATGTGACGCTTGGCCAGGCTCTCGATACCGAGGCGCTGCATCATGTCGTGGGCCAGCTCGCGCTCCTGGCGGCGAAACCAGGGGAACAGGGAATTCGACATGGTACGCCCCATCAACACCGTTTCCTCGACGGTCACCGGGAAGTTCCAGTCGATGGTTTCCAGCTGCGGCACGTAGCCAGCCCGATGGCGGCGGCCCCGCACCAGCCTGTCGTTCACCCGCACCTCGCCGGATTGAACGGGGACGGCGCCGAGCACCGTGCGCAGCAGCGTGGTCTTCCCGGAGCCGCTGGGGCCCAGCAGCCCAACGAAATCGCCAGGCATTATCCGGAGGTTCACGTCCTCCAGGACGCGGGAGCCGCTGTAGCCGGCGTTGACGTTCGCGAATTCGATCACCGGACGGGCGTCCGGGTCGGGTCGATGAAGATGCTCTAGTTCGGGTGGATGCAGCATGTTGTCATTGCGGGATGGACTGGTGGGAGAACCGGCTATTGGACGTATACGGCGTCGGAAACACCGTCGAAAACGGGAGAGACGTCAACCTCGTCCAGTCCGGACGCGTCGCCTCCCAGGGCCGGGATCATCACGCGCAGGTTTGCCACCGCCAGCCCGAGGTAACTGTGCGAGGGATCGCCAGGAACCCCGGGCAGATCGTCGTCGCTGAGCTCGTCAACGTACGCTGCCCCGGATTCCGCGGCGATCATCTGCATGACCTCGCTGGCGAAAACTTCAGAGCCGAAGACTGCGGGGATGCTTTCCGATTCAATCTGGCGAATCAGGTCAGCGACCTCTTTGGCCGAAGGCTCGGAGAAGTCGGACGGCTGGAGTGCTCCGACCACCGTGAGGCCGTAACGCTGGGCAAAGTACGCCCAGGAGTCATGGTAGGTCAACAACTTGCGGTTTGCGGGCGGAATAGTGTCTATCGAAGTACGGATCACCCCATCCAGCGTGGCGATGCGAGCCGCGAAAGCGTCGAAATTCGCGGAATAGTACTCCGCGTTGTCGGCATCGCTGGCGGCCAGTTGATCGCGAACAATCTCGGCGTAGCGCAGGGCGAGAATGGGATCGGGCCACAGGTGTGGGTTCGGTTGGCCGTCCGCTTCCGGAAAGGAGAAGTCGAACTTCCACTCCTCTCGCGTGATGGTCTGCTCCCCGAGAATGACGACCACGCCTCCGGGCTTCAGGTTGGCGTGGGCCATCTCCAGGGTGGGCTCTTCAAGAAACAGCCCGTTGAGGAAGATCACGTCGGCCTCTGCGATCACCGCCGCCACCGATGGCGCCGGCTCAAAGGTGTGGGAGTTCACGCCTTCCGGAACCACGCCCTCCAAATCGATGCGGGTTCCACCGATATTCTCGACGATGCTCGTAATCGGCGACACCGTGGTGACCACCTTAACCTCACCGGTTTCGCTAGATCCGTTTCCGGTTGGTGCACCCACGGATTCCGGGGATTCCGCGGCGCAAGCCAGGAGCAGTAGGACGACACACAGCGCTGCGCCAAACGGGACCGGGCTACGCAATACCAACACCGGTAACCCCTCCTGGCACAATATTGCGTCGGACTGGGCTGCCGGCTATTCGGACGTGGCTGAATGACATTTGGAGCACTTGCCTCCGATGGTGAGATTTTCAAGATCCGGCAAGAATCCGAATTCCTGCTCCAGTCTTTGGCTGAATTCGGCCAAATAATACGGGCTCAGGGTCTGCACCGTGTCACACGCAGAGCAGACCATGTGGTTATGCCGGTTGTGCTGGTCCGCCAGTTCAAAATGGAGCTTGTTGCCAATCACCACTTCGGTAACCACTCCCAGCCGCTTCAGCAAATGGAGCGTTCGGTAAATGGTAGCCAGGTCGACGTACGGGTGCTGCTCCTTGGCGAGGGACCACACCTCGTCCGCGCCGATGTGACCCGTCCGACCGGCTACGATATCCAGTACGGACAAACGCTGGGGAGTGATCCGGTAGCCCTGCGAGCGCAAGCGGCCGATAGCCGATTCGTGTCCAGGCATGTGCCACCCACCGTTATTGCAGCGATTTGCGGTAACGAATTATAGCACTGGTCAAACGTGTGTCAACCGGTTCCTGGGATGTATCGGCCGACTTCTGCCGCACCAACTGTGGCGGGGATCATCGTGCTAGAATTCGAACCATGGCTGGAATTCAACCTGGTCAGCGCCTCGCCGAAGTCACCGCGTCACGCACGCAGCGGGTCGAGGCACAATGCTACAGTGCCCACTCCGCGCCGCCGCTGGGGTCGCTGGTCCGGATCGGATCACCGCCAATCTATGCCGTGGTGCTGGACATCCGACACGAACCTCTGGATCCCACCCGGCCGCTGGCGCCCCGGGGAGCGGACGCGGAAACGGAAGACGAGCTTTACGCGGCCAACCCTCAACTGAGCGCCATCCTGACCACGCGGTTTACCGCAGTTATCGTCGGCTATCGAGATGGGGCCGGCGTTCGCGCCGGATTGCCGAGCTTGCCGCCGGATCTGCACTCGTTTGTTTTCCTGTGCGAAGCCAGCGACCTGGCGGGGTTTGGCGACAACCTGGGCTGGCTCAGGCTCCTGCTGGAGGAACGGTCTGCGGCGTCGGACGCCGCCATCGCGAATTTGCTGCGCCAGGCCGCCGGCGGCAGGACCGACCCGCGGAAGTTCCTGCTCGAAGCCGGCAAGGCGCTGGCCACCGAATTGTCCGGAGAGCCCCACCGAATGCGGGCTTTGTTACGTGAGGTCGCCGCATGACCTTGGCGGATGGAGCGGGAAGCAACGGGTTCAGCGCTGCCGGGCCGCGTCGGCTGGGGCAAGTGGTCGGCGGCTCACTTTCCCGTGGCCTGGATGTCCGACTCGACGCGTCGGACGGACAGACCGAAGACGTCGCCGTGGGATCGTTCGTCACCATCCAGGGACGCCGTCAACGCTATTTCGCAGTGGTCACGGACCTGGAATTGTGCGCCGTGGACGACAGCGTGCGGCATTTCCCGCCAGCCTTTTCGCAAGGAGGCTCCACCGGCGACGGATTCGCCGCCGAGGTGATCGCGGGGACGGTCGCCTACGGGCAACTGTCGGTAATGCCAGGCATGGCAGTTTCCATGTCAGGGTTGCCGGGAGCGGTCGCCGAGCAGGCCAAGACGATACCCGAGCATTTCGCACCGGTGTACGCGGCGTCGCAAACGGACATTGACGCAGTGTTCCGCGCCCGGGAGGGAGACTTCGCCCTGGGTTCGCCACAGGGCATGGAGTCATCCCTGGTCCGGCTGGATTTGTCTGCCCTGGCCAACCGGTCGGTGGGGGTGTTCGGCGCGTCAGGGACGGGCAAGACTTTCCTGGCCCGTATGCTGTTGGCCGGCCTGGTGAAGCAATCCCATGCGGTGTCTCTTGTATTCGACATGGAGAGCGAGTACGGCTGGCAGGGACAGGACAACGACCGGTCACGTCAGGTGAAGGGTCTCAAGCAGCTGTTTCCTGCCAAGGTGGTCACCTTCACGCTGGACGAAGAAAGCAGCCGCCGCCGGGGAGCCACGCCGGATGGAGTAGTGAAGATAGGGTACGACGAGGTCGAGCCGGCGGACATCGAGGTGCTCCGGGACTCGCTCAACCTGTCGGAGGTGGCCGCCGCGACGGCGTGGAATGTCGCCAGGCACTACAAGGAACACTGGCTGCGCGAGTTCATGGGGCTGGGCGCCGCTGACGTCGGTGAGTTGGCCCAGGAAATCGGCGTTAATCTATCCGCCCTGCAGACGCTGCATCGACGCCTGCTCTCCTGGGAACGGTTCGGGTTCCTCGCCGAACAAGGTCAGGGCAACGCCACCGCCGGCGGCATCATCGAACAGTTGGAGCGCGGCAACCATGTGGTGCTGGAGTTTGGGCAGTACGGCCGCAACACTGCCGCCTACGTGTTGGTGAGCAATCTGCTCACCCGTCGGATCCACGAGACCTGGGTGCGGCGCAAGGAGTTGGCCGACGGCGGGCAGGGGCAAGAACCCCGGCCCCTGGTGATCTTCATTGAGGAAGCCCACAAGTTCTTGACGCCGGGCATCGCCTCGCAGACGATCTTTGGCACCATCGCGCGCGAGTTGCGGAAATACAACGTTACCCTGATGATCGTTGATCAGCGGCCCAGCGGCATCGACTCGGAAGTGATGAGCCAGCTGGGCACGCGGCTCTCGTGCGCTTTGAACGACGACCGGGATATGAACGCCGTGCTCATGGGAGCGCGCGACGTGGGGCAGCTGAGGAACGTGCTGGCGCGGCTGGATAGCAAGCAGCAGGCGCTGGTATTCGGCCATGCCGTGCCGATGCCGGTGGTCGTACGTCCTCGCGACTACGACGAAGCGTTCTACGCTGACATGGGAGCGCCTGCCGGTACCCCGGTCGGGGCATCCTTGGCCGAAGCCGACGCCGACCGTTTGCAGCGGGAGATCGACGAGCTGTTTCCGCCGGAATAGGTGGCGACACTCTCTGCCGTGCGAACGTCAGCTGGGATGGGCAATTGATATGAAGGTCGTCGAGACTTGTGGTGAAATGTTTGCGTTGTGCCGGACGGCTCAGCCTCCGCTGGGTTTGGTGCCTACCATGGGCGCGCTGCACGAAGGGCACATGTCGTTGGTCCGGCGGGCCCGGGCGGACAACTTGACCATGGCGGTATCGATCTTCGTCAACCCCACGCAGTTTGGGCCGAACGAAGACTTTGCCAGGTATCCGCGCAGCCTGGAACGGGACCTGGAACTCCTGGCAGCGGCCGGGACCGACCTGGTATTTTTGCCGGGACCGCCGGAAGTGTATCCGGACGGTTTTGACACCTGGATCGAACCGGGCGCGGTCGCCGAAGGGATGGAGGGCGCGGCAAGGCCGGGCCATTTTCGCGGCGTCGCGACGGTGGTCGCCAAGCTGTTCACGATCACTCGCCCCGATCGGGCCTATTTCGGCCAGAAGGACGGCCAGCAGGTGGCCGTCATCCGCAAGATGAACGACGACCTGAACCTGGGCGCCGAGGTCGTTACCATGCCGACGATCCGGGAACCCGATGGCCTGGCGTTGAGCAGCCGGAACGCGTACCTGACAGACGAGGAACGAAAAGCAGCACCGGTGGTCTACCGGGCGCTCCGTGCGGCAGAGGAGCTATGGCGCGCCGGCGAACGGGATGCTCGGGCGTTGCAATCGGCCGCTACCGCGCAACTTGAGTCCGAGCCCGCGTTGTCGTCGGTGGACTATGTAAGTGTCGTAGACGCGGGAAGCATGGCCGAGATCACCGGAACGGTTGAAGGACACGCAGCGATGGTGGCGACGGCCGTGCGTCTGGGAACGGTGCGTTTGATAGATAACCTTGTCTTGGAGTAAGCGACTAAACCATAGTCAGGGTGCCCGCCTCTCTGCTCCGGCAAGCGCATCGGCGATGAACAAATGACGCCGCCGGAACTGCGGTCCCGGCGGCCAAATCAAATGAGGTAACTGGTCGGCGTTTTACGACTGCGTCAACTCACGCACCGTCTCCGTCAGGGCGGGGATTACCTTCTCCCAGTCGCCGACCACTCCGTAGCGGGCTTCCTTGAAGATGTTGGCGTCGGCGTCCTTGTTGATGGCGACGATGGCCTTGGAGCCGCTGCAGCCCGCCATGTGCTGGCTCGCGCCGGAAATGGCGACGGTGATGTAGAGGTCCGGGGTAATGGTCTTCCCGGTAAGGCCCACCTGATAGTTGGCGGGAACCCACCCGGAGTCCACGGCAGCGCGGGAGGCTCCCACGGCTCCGCCCAGGAGCCCGGCAAGTTCTTCCAGTTGGGAGAACGGCTCGGGGCCGCCCAATCCGCGACCGCCCGATACGACGATGCGGGCGTCTTCGAGCTTGATGCCCGCGGCCTCTTCCTTGACCACGTTGATGACGCGGGTTTTCGCCGCCGAGGCGTCGATGTCTACGGGAAACGCGACCACCTGCCCACTGCGGCCGGCGTCAGCGTCCAACGGCTCGTAGGTCTTGGGCCGGAGTGCGGCAATCTGCGGGGTGTGGGTGCAGCTGACCACGGCGATGGCGCTGCCGCCGTACACCGGGCGGTTGGCCAGCAGTCGGCCGGTTGCGGCATCGGCGGACACTTCCAGGCAGTCCTGTGCCAGGCCCACGCCGAGCCGGAAGGCCAGCCGGGGGGCCAGTTCGCGGCCCTCGTTATTGCGGGAGATGAGGATGATGCTGGGATTGTCCTCGTCCGCCACGGTTTGCATCGCGGCCAGGTACAGGTCAGGGTGATAGTCGCCAAGCGACGGGTTGGTCACCGCGTAGGCCTTGTCCGCGCCGTGGGCTATCGCCTGCCGGGGCGCGTCGGCAACGTCCGCGCCGATGATCGCGATGGCCAGCTCCTGGTTCAGGGCGTCGGCCAGGGAACGACCGGCCGCCAGGAGTTCCTGCGCAGTGGAAGCCAGTTGTCCGTCGGGAGCGTCGCCGAAAACGAGTATGCCGTTAGCGTCTGCCATTTCTTTCTCCGTGGGTAGGAACCCTTTCCATGGGTGGCCGGAAAGCGCGCCGGTGTCTCGCGTGCGGGCTAGATGAGGCGGTCCTCTCGGAGGCGCAGGGCCAGTTTCCGAGCGGCGTCCACGTCGTCGTCGCCCTCGATGATTTCGCAGTCCTGGTCGCGCTCCGGCACAAAGAGGTCGTGCAGGGTGAGGCGCGGCTCCAGCTGGGCATCGTCAATGTCGAGATCGCCGGTGGTCCAGAGAGTCGGACGCTTGCGTGTCGCCGCCATGATGCCGCGGAGGGTGGGATAGCGAGGTTGGCCCAGCTCGTTGCTCACGGTGACCAGGGCCGGCAGGTCTGCCTCAACGACTTCGAAGCCGTCGGGGGCGAGTCGTTCGACCACCACCTTGCTGTCCTGCACGTCCACCTTCTTACCCAAGGTGATGCAGGCCATGCCGAGAGTCTCGGCGACTCCCAATGGTACCTGCGCGTTGTCCCAGTCGGAGGCCTGGCGCCCACAGATGATCAGGTCGAAACCGCCCAATTTTTTGATGGCGGCGGTAAGCAGTTGCACGGTGAAAAATGAGTCCACGGAGTTCGCGAAGGCGTCGTCCTGCAGCAGGACCAACTCGTCGGCGCCCATGGACAGGGGCTTTTTCATCACGTCCAGGGCAAAGGAGGTGCCGGAGGAGATGACGGTGATGTTGGCGCCCTGCCCGTCCTTGATCTGCAGGGCGGCCTCCACCGCGTTTTCGTCGAAACCGTTGACGACGGGAGGGATGTTCGCCGGCGGGACGACCTGCCGGGCGTCGGGATCAATGCGGAAGGCCGCGGCGGGCATTTCGGGGTCCACTACCTGCTTGGCCAGGACACAAATATTCACGGGCATCAGGAACGCACTCTCCTGTCGCAATACGAAAATGGGCTATGTGAAAGTTATCACTAGCCCATTCCAGTGTCAAATGTTTGCCGAAATCGTCGCCATCTGAACGCTTTCGCACCGGATGCGCGGATCGCGGCGGCGCATCCTGCCATCCCCGGGCGGCCCGGCGGCGACAGCGGCCGGCGAACGCATCCGGCGCCGGTACCGCGCGTTCGGGCTCAAACCTCGCGGAAGACGGGCTCCGGCTCTTCGATGTAGAAGTTGTTGGCCCAGAGATCATCGATGATGGCCTGGTCGCCTCTCGGTGATATCGGGTGTGTCCACCGCTTCCGTGTACTCCTTGAGCTCCTCCAGTGTGGTGAAGTTGGGCAGCACGCTGGTGATCGTGGGCTGGTGCAGCACGAACTGGATGGCGGCCTGGCTCATGGTGCGGCCGGCGTCTTCGCCGGCCAGGAACTTGACCTGCTCCACCTTGACCAGCGCCTCGCTGAGCCACTGATGCCGGCGGTAGGAACGGTGGTCATCCTCGTTGAATTCCGGCGGCGCGTCGTAGCGGCCGGTCAACGCCTCGGAGGCGTGGGGCACCCGGGAGAGCAAGCCCACCTGCTCCTTGTCGGCGATGGGGAAGAAGTCCTTGGCCGGGTCCTGTTCCAGGATGCTGTAGATGATCTGGCAACTGTTGACGTGGCGCTCTTTCATGCTGGCCTCGCCCTCTTCGAACCAGCCGATGTCGGGGCCCAGGGCGGAGCCGTAGTAGCGGATCTTGCCCTCGTGCTTCAGCTCCTCAAGAACCTCAAACACCTCGTCGTTCTCGATGGCCTCGATGCGCGGATTGTGCAGTTGGTACAGATCGATGTAGTCGGTCTTCAGTCGGCGCAGCGACTGCTCGCACGCGAAGCGGATGAACTCCGGCTCGAACTTCTGCGGGCGTTCCTGGTGGCCGACGCGGGGCGTGGTCTGGTCGTAGATGTCGTAGCCGAACTTGGTGGCGATGATCATCTCATGCCGGCGGTGACTCATGAACTTGGCGAGGACATCTTCGCCGTAGCCATCGCCGTAGGTGTCGGCGGTGTCAAAGAAGTTGATGCCCAATTCGAGCGCCTCTTCAAGCAGCTGTCGCCTGGTTTCCTCGGGGATCTGGCCCCACCAGTTGGTGGCCACGGTCCAGACGCCGAAGCCCACTTCGGACAGCATCAGGTCGGTGCGGGGGAGTTGGCGATATTTCATGGTGGTGAGTCCTCACTTACTGGAAAGGCGCATGTCCGTTTTGCGCACGCAGTCTGGCTGTGGGATCCCAAAGTTCCCCGCCAATCTCGATGCGCCTTCGACGCTCGCTTCGGCAAAACGTCAACGAGTACTTGTACGGTTGGGACTTTGTCTATGTTGGCGAGTCTTTGGAACGGTGAGCAATCACCGCGTTCATCACTTCCGTAGCTGTTTCTTCACGATCCCTAAGATTTGACGCCCATCTTCGACCGGGATGCAAAGTGTCCCACTGTGAGCGCCGCTGGTTCCGTCTCCCTCCACCTGGATCATGGTTACCAAATCCGTCGACGACGACATTCCACAACGGTCTGTATTGGGCGATCAACACTTGCTCGGTGAGGCCGATCCATACCGGATCAAGTTTGAGCCATCGACAACGAAAATCGTTCAGGTCCAGGTTGTCTACTGATTCAATAGACCTCGCGTGATCCGAAAACCGGCGGTATAGGGCTGTGTCGACAGACGTCGCCGAAACACTACCCTGCCGTCTCCCTTGTGGATCCGCTTTTCCGACATAGATGGGTACGTCCTCCCTTATGTTGATGTACGCCGGGAAAGTGCCAACGTAGTGCAGAGTGTATACTCCCACGCCCGCGAAAGGATTTTTCGGTGGCAATCCGTCAGCCGGGTATGCCATCAGGGCGCGTGCCGCATTGCGACCCAGTTCACTCACGTTGAGGGGGTCGTAGGTTCGCACGAACTACCGCTCGCACCTGGAACTGTTTCTGCAAATGATCCAAAAGCAGTGCCGTTTGCGGGCGTGATGCGCGGTGGACCACTTGGTTGACACCATCGGTCCCGTTCGAATCTTGACGATCAAATCGCAAACGGTAAATCCCGCATCGTCCGCCATGCGCATAAAGTCACAGTGGCTCCACTTTGCACGGTGGCTATTGACCATGTCGGTAATCTTGGCCAAAAGCAGGCCTTCCGGTTTCAAAACCCGCTTCGCCTGGGCCAAAAACGGCGGGTAAAGGTAGCTCAGGCTCCAGTCATGCTCTTTCCCGCAGGCGACCGTGGCGCCAAAATCCTCATCGAACTTCTTGCTGCTCTTGTCCCTGCCTTGTGGGCCGACGTGTGGCGGATCGTACACGACAGCTCCAAACGCAGCATCCGGCACCCCTTCCATCACCCGATTATCGCCCACGATCATCGGCTCGAATTTCGGGTTGATATCCATCGATACGACGTTTCGTGACGAGCCTTTCCAAAACCGCCCTCTGTTGTATGTCGCGTCCAGGATCGGCTCCGGGGGGATCGACGCATAGAATTGCAGCAGATTCTCTATCAATTCCCCGTCGTTGCCTTCCCAGACACTGCTGATGGGACGGTATTCGCCTACCGCGATCAGTTCTTTCTGTACCAAAACGGTCAACTCCGTTGGAGCAGCCTATTTCCCCAGTAAACGTGCTATGTACTTTCGTGGAATGGTTGCCAGGATTAGCCGATTATGGTTTAGCGAACCCGGTTGCAGCCCGTCAACGGCCGGGTGTCAGCAAATTTGCCAATTGCTACGCCGGCACCAGGCCCAGGCTGCCGCGCACGGCTTCCACCATCTCGTTGAAGCGGGCGTCGTCCAGCACCGGTTTGGCGTTGCCGAGGCGGACCGTGGGGATGATGTCGACCCAGGACTTGCAGCCTCCGTACTCCGGGATGTAGGCCACCGTGGTGGGCGCTTCCATCTCGTACACCCGCAGCAGCATGATGGTCAGCGGAACCATGGGCTTCCAGTGGAGGCGCGACTGCGCGTAGGTATCGGTCCAGATGTGGTGCGGAGCCAGGTCTTCCACCTTGCCCAGCTGCTCGATCTCGACCAGCTCGTGGACGCGGGCCCAGTGCGTGAACGTCACGGCATCCTTGTCGTCGGGGTCATCGGCCAGCAATTGCCGCAGCGCGGGTTGGTGGCTGTCCTTCAGCAGGTCTTCTTTCTGATGCAGGTAGGTTGGGTACAGCAGGAATTCGGGATGCACCACGCGGAAGTCCTTACTCTCCTCGTGGATGCCACCTTTGCGCAGCATCATGATCTGGTCGCCGTCGGCCAGGGCCTTCACGGTGATCGCCCACTCTTTCAGGGCCAGTTGGCAGTTCGCAGGTGTGGTCATGGCCTCAGCCTCCGCAGGATTCGCATGGATGGTCAGGATGTTCGGGACATTCGTGGAAGGCCGGCTAATGGCCGCGGCTACAGAACTCGTCCCAGCCGGGCACGTCTTCGCCCAGGACGTACAGCCAGTAATAGGTGCCGACGTCACCCATATACTTGAACTGTTTACGCACGTCCTTGATGAGCGATTCGAACTCGCCCTGAGAGCGCAGGTAGTTGCGGATATCCCCGCCGTGTTCTTCCTCAAGGTCGATGAGGCGCTGCGCGTTGTGGACCGTGGCGACGATCTTGCGGCGATTGCGAATGATTGCCGTGTCGGCGGCAAGGGTGTCGATGGCCGATTCGTCCATCGCGGCCACTGCGGCGACATCGAAGCCCTGGAAGCCAGCCTGGAATCCCGGCCACTTGGTGTTGACCACTTTCCAGGACATGCCACTCTGGAAAACGGCCTTGGTCATCACTTCCAGATAGTCGTTGAGGCTCGTCGGGACGATCTGCTCCGGGGCGTCCGGGTATTGCCGTTCTTGATGGGTTGCCATGATGCTCTCCTGGGAGCAAATCTGACCGCGATGCGAGTTGCCATGCACGGATGACTAATGATTCGCCGCTAAACCACCCGGCTGGATGACCCGGGCGCGGTCGGGGTCTCGATGCCCAGCAGCCGGCTCAGGTTGGCGGTCGTCACCTCCGCCACCTGCTCCACTGAAATGCCTTTGACCGTGGCCAGGCACTGGGCCACGTCGGCCAGGTGCCGGGGCTCGGTCCAGTTGTGGCGGTACTTCTTGAACGGCTGGGGGTAGGCGTCGGTTTCCAGAACGATGTTCTCCAGCGGGATGTCGCGGGCGACCTCGCGCAATTCCTGCAGCCGAGTCAAGGGGCGCGCCAAGGAGATGAAGAAGCCGCAGTCGATGGCCTCGCGCGCCGTTTCAGCGTCGCCCTGGAAGTAGTGCATGGCGCCGCCCACCTGGCCGGCGTTTTCCTCGCGCAGCACCTTGAACACGGCTGGGTGGGACTCCCTGGAATGAAAGATGATCGGCAGCCCCAGGCTCTTGGCGAGGTGGATATGCGCCCGAAACACCTGATCCTGAACCTCGTGGTCAGGGGAAGTGGGCAGGTAGTCCAGGCCAACCTCCGAAATGCACACGACGCGCGGGTTGTTGCGGGCCAGGGATTCCAGCCGGCCGTAAGCGTCGTCATCGACGGGATCGTCGGCCTGCATCGGGTGAATTCCCACCCCGGCGTAGAACATGGGGTGCTCATCTGCCAGCGCGATGCACCGCTCCGTCGACTCGATCGTGGTGCCGGCCAGCAGGATGTAACCAACCCCGACTTCGCCGGCCCGTTCCAGGATGCCGGGTATCTCTTCCGGCACGTACTGGTCCAGGTGGGTATGGGCGTCGCAATAGGTTGGAGTGGAGGGCATCAGGAGGACTTTTCAGGCGACAATTCTGCACGGCAGCAGTTGCACGGAGTATAGCACCTGACGGCTCAATCGGGGCTCCAGGGCATACAATTAAGGTCGAGACACGTGAAGTCGCGGCCGGCGCGATTCGCTCTCATTGCCAGCGTCGGTGACCACGCCAGGGAGTTCGGGATATGGGACGATTCGATTGGGGCCCTGACGGCCCACCGGAAGAAGCCTACTCGAGGGTCACGGAGCCGGAGCGGTTCCGGCCCCTGCACCAATGGTCGCTGAACCTGCTATCCGGGCTGGAGGCGACATACGAAGTTACCCGGGAAGAAGGCTACAGCCTGGACCTCGAACTGGAACAAACTCCGCCAGCCAGGCCGACCGTGCGGCTGACACCGGGACGGGAAGGGGCAGCGCCAATCGTGGTGGCGTTTACCGAGTACTCCCACCCCTCGATCTATGTCCGCTTTGGGCGCTTCCACACCGAGCCGTTCCCGGACTGCGGTTGTGACGCGTGCGACGAAGGCGCCGAGGACCAGTTCGAGAGTTTCCAGGAAGTGGTGGAAGCCGTGGTGGCAGGACAGTTCAGGGAATGGTTCCAAGTGCAACCGGATGGTAGCGGACAAGTGGGTCGTGAATTCTGGTCGGAAAATATGCGGAGGAGCGGGCGGTCGAGGGTTGAAGCCGGCAGCGTGAAGCGCTTCACCGCCCGGTTCCCCCCGGTAAGGATCGCGTTTTGGACTGGGAACCTTGGCCACTGCGATCAACGCAGCCATGACAACGGTTGCAACCGGCGGCAGCATTCGCCGGCCCTCAATCGCCGGACAGACCGACTGGCCCGCGACCAGCCAAGGCATCGCTCGGGGCCGCTGGGTAATCGGCCACCGAGGAGCGACACTGCCGGACGGGAAACGCGCCCAGGCGTTTGACATCGCGCGCCGTTCGCCCTGCCTCCGGCTCCAGAGTCGCAGCGGCGATAGCGGGCAGCCCGCGCCGTCAGATCGCCATCGCTGGCGACGGTGGGGATCAGGTGACGCTGAGTTCAGCCTCAGGCGCGAAGGTTTCTTCGTAGCCGGCCGCTTCCATCATCACGCCCGAGAGCAGCCCATAGGTATTGGCCCAGGCCGAGGCAACATCGGGGGTGAAATGCTCGCCGAGGCCCTGCTCCAGGGTCCACAGCAACGCCTGGCCCACCGTGTCGTAATGGGAAGGCTCGACGCCGTAAACCTTGTGCCGCGCGCCCAGCCTTTGAACGACGGGCACGAGAGTGTCCAGATCGGAGAGATGGTCCACGGCGGTGGCGACCATTTTCATGAGCAGCCGCCCCTGTTGCTGCAGGTCCGAGTGGAAGAGGGGCTTCAGGTCGCCGTCCAGTTGGAACAGCCGATCATAAAAGAGTTCGGCCGCAGTGTCGGCGATGGGCTCGACTTTGTTGAAAGTGTCCTGGACCAAACGGATTTCGGAATCTTTCATCGAGGTTATCCTCCTCAATTAGTCTACGTACGTTGATAAACGCTAGAAACAATATGTTTATATCGTAAAGGAGGATGGGTTCAGGACGCAAGTTTGTGTCGCGATGCAACCTACATCGCGTCCCTGGGCGCACGGTGCGCGGCGGTGAGAGCCTCCGCGATCTCCGGGGCGAAGTCGTCGCCCAAACCCCTGCTGAAAGGCGGGTCGAGTCTTTGCCGTGACAGGCGGAAACCCACCCACCGGGCCAACCTGGCCAAGGCGCCCGCCACCGAGTCGTGGGCGTTGTTGCTGGCGACGGTTATCTCATTTCCAAGTTCAGGCGACGCGGTTGTGGCGGTCATCAAACATCCTCCGGGCAACGCATGATTTCATCCTACGGCCGCCTTGTTTCCTGAGCATTACGGCGAGGTAACGCCCGTGGCACGCGCGGGACTCGCCTATCGTTGACAGAACCGTAACGCTGGTCTACGATGATTGTTGACCTTAATGGTCGGGAATTATTGAACTATCCGCCGGCATGCCGCTTTTCATCAGCCGGGGGGAGAGGATGTGGGAACAATGACCACCCCGGCTCAACGCGTGATTTCCCGGGAAACGACGCCCGAGGAGCTCGATTCGGACTACCAGTGGGGCTTCACCATTGACATCGAAGAAGAGGCATTTCCGAAAGGCCTCGGCGAAGATGTGGTGCGCCTGCTTTCGGCCAAGAAAAACGAGCCGGAATGGATGCTGGATTGGCGGCTCAAAGCCTTTCGCTTCTGGTCGCGGCAGACGTACGCCGAGCCGACCTGGGCCAACATCGAACATCCTCCCATCGATTTCCAGGACATGCACTACTACGCTGCCCCCAAGTCCGCCTCGGATGGGCCCCAAAGCATCGAAGACGTGGACCCGGAGGTCCTGGAAGCCTTCAACAAGCTGGGCATCCCCCTGGAAGAGCAGGCTCGCCTGGCCGGCGTGGCGGTCGACGCGGTGCTGGACAGCGTGTCCGTGGCAACCACCTACCAGGAGCAACTGGAAAAGGCCGGCGTCATCTTCTGCTCCATGAGTGAGGCCGTCCAGAAACACCCGGACTTGGTGCAGAAGTACCTCGGTTCGGTGGTCCCCTACGCCGACAACTTCTACGCGACCCTGAACTCGGCGGTGTTCTCCGACGGTTCCTTCGCGTACATCCCGCCGGGGGTCCGCTGCCCCATCGAGTTGATGACGTACTTCCGCATCAACCAGGCGGATAGCGGGCAGTTCGAGCGGACGCTCATCGTCGCCGACAAAGGCGCATACGTCAGTTACCTGGAAGGGTGCACGGCGCCGATGCGGAAGACCAGCCAGTTGCACGCGGCAGTGGTGGAACTGGTGGCGCTGGAAGGCGCGGAGATCAAGTACAGCACGCTGCAGAACTGGTACCCGGGCGACCGGAACGGCGAGGGCGGCGTCTACAACTTCGTCACCAAGCGCGGCAAGTGCGCCGGCGCCGACTCCAAGATCTCGTGGACGCAGGTGGAAACCGGCTCCGCGATCACTTGGAAGTACCCCAGCGTGATCTTGCAGGGCGACAACTCGGTTGGCGAGTTCTACTCGGTGGCCCTGGTGAACAACTGGCAGCAGGCCGACACCGGCACCAAGATGATCCACCTGGGCAAGAACACGCGCAGCACCATCGTCGCCAAGGGCATCTCCGCCGGCCAGGGTCAGCAGACCTATCGCGGGCTGGTCAAGATCAATCCCTCCGCCAAGGGCGCGCGAAACTTCACCCAGTGCGACTCGTTGCTCGTCGGCGACAAATGCGGCGCGCACACCGTGCCCTACATCGAGGTCAAGAACCCAACGGCCCAGATGGAACACGAGGCGACCACTTCCAAAGTGTCCGATGACCAGCTGTTCTACCTGCAGCAGCGCGGTATCGGCGTCGAGGACGCGCACTTCATGATCATCAACGGGTTCTGCCGGGGTATCTTCCAGGAGTTGCCGTTCGAGTTCGCCATGGAAGCCTCGCAGCTCCTCAAAGTCAGCTTGGAGGGGACCGTCGGCTAACCGGCCGACCGGTTTCACAGGTTGACATCGCCCACAGAACCAAAGGATTACCAAAGCTAAGATGACCACCGCGAACGAAACCGTTTCACCTATTCTCGAGGTCAAGGACCTCAAGGTTTCCATTAACGAGCAGGAAATACTACGCGGCGTGAACCTGACGGTGAAACCCGGCGAGGTGCACGCGATCATGGGACCCAACGGGTCCGGCAAGAGCACGCTGGCCAACACGCTGGCCGGACGGCCCGAATACACCGTCACCGGCGGCGGCGCCGTGTACAAGGGCAGGGATCTGCTGGGCATGGAACCGGAAGATCGCGCTCGCGAAGGGGTTTTCCTCGCCTTCCAATATCCAGTGGAGCTGCCGGGGGTGCGCGCGTGGCAATTCCTCAAAGCCGCGGTGGATGCCAAGCGGGTCCATCTGGGCGAAGAGGAAATGGGCGCCCGGGAGTTCGACCAACTCCTGCGCAGCAAGGTCGCCGAGGTCGAGATCGATCCGGAACTGGTCCGACGCTCCGTCAACGAGGGGTTCTCCGGCGGCGAGAAAAAGCGCAACGAAGTGCTGCAGATGGCCCTGCTGGAGCCCACCCTGTCGCTGCTGGACGAGACCGACTCCGGGCTGGACATCGATGCCCTGCGTATCGTGGCCGACGGCGTGAACCGTCTCCGACGACCTGACAACGCCACCGTGGTCGTGACCCACTACCAACGCATTCTGAGTTACATAACGCCCGACCAGGTACACGTGCTGGTGGACGGTCGCATCGCCCTGAGCGGCGGCCCGGAATTGGCCGAAGAGCTGGAAGCCCGGGGCTACGACTGGGTGCGCGAAGAAGTCCAGGCGGCGGCCAGTTAGGGTCGCACGGCCATCGGAACCCCGTCCCATCGCGCCCTCCGACCTGTAGACCGCCCGTTTGCCGCGTGTACGACGTTGTCCTCGCGACGGCAACCATCCTTACCGTTGAAACAAGAGCAGGCTGAATGACTACCACTGCCCCCATATCGGTCGCCGAAACCTACCCCCACTACGCCACGGCGTACGCCGGGCAGACGGCCAGCGACGTTCTCGCGATCAAGGAAATGCGTGAGCGTGGCTGGGAGGCGTTCAACACCCTGGGGCTGCCCACCGCTAGGCGCGGCAACGAGCCCTGGAAGTACACCAACGCCGGGCCCATCGCGAGGGAAAGTTTCTCGCATTCCGGCTTGTCCCGGGCCGGTGACCCAATATCGACGCTGGCGGACGTCCAGGCGGTCGCTCCGTGGCAACCCGACTGGCGCAACCTGGTGGTGGTGGACGGCGCGTTCGCTCCCGTTCTGTCAACCGGCAACACTACCGGAGCCGGCATCGCAACGGGGTTGGCCGATGCAGTCCATTCGGAACCGAAGCTGGCCGCGAATGTCCTGGGACAGCTCGCCCCGCCCGAGGAAGACGGGTTCGCCGCGCTCAACGCCGCGTTCGTGGGTGATGGCGTTGGTATATACGTGCCGGCGGGAGTCGACGCTGGGGTGGTCAACGTCATCTACCTGACCACCGGGCGCGACCAACCTCGGGCAACCCACCCGCGCACCGTGATCGCTGCCGAACCAAATTCTCGTGTCACCGTCATTGAAACCTTTGCCGGTCCCGACACGCGCTACCTGACCAACACCGTGATGGAAACCTCGGTGGGTGAGGGCGCCAGCGTCGAGCACTACCGGCTCCTGCTGGAAGGCAGCGAGGCCTACCATGTGGGCGTGAGCCGGGTGGTGCAGCAAAAAGACTCGTCGTTCTCCTCGGTGGCGCTCTCACAGGGAGCTGCCCTGGGGCGCAACGATTTCGGCGTCACCCTGGCCGGAACCGGTGCGCAAACCATGCTGAATGGCCTCTACCTGACCAAGGGCAACCAGCACATCGACAACTACATCAACATCGACCACGCTGAGCCCTACGGCACCAGCCGGCTGTTCTACAAGGGCATCCTGGGACGGACAGTCTCGCGCCGTGTTCGGTGGCAACGTTACCGTCCGCAAGAACGCGCAGAAGACCGACGCTCTGCAGACCGACAAAAATTTGCTCCTGTCAGAGGAAGCCGAGGTTGACAGCAAGCCCAGCCTGCTCATCTACGCCGACGACGTGAAATGCGGGCACGGCGCAACGGCGGGCCACATCGACGTGGACACGGTGTTCTACATGCGCAGTCGGGGCCTCGATCTCGCCACCGCCAGTCGCATCCTGATCCAGGCGTTCGCCCGCGAGATCATCGACACGGTGGCGTTGGAACCCCTGCGGGACTATCTCGACCAGCGGTTCCAGGATGCCATCCCTTCCGCAAACATCGCTTTGCCCATCGGAGGCCGCTCGTGACCGACGCCACCGGGAACGCTCACGGTTCCAACTCCGGCGCGCTGACCGCCGTCGACGTCGCACGCATCCGCGACGATTTTCCCATTCTGGACCAACTGATCAATGGGAAGCCCCTGGTCTATCTGGACAACGCGGCCACCACGCAAAAACCGCGCCCGGTGATCGACGCGATCAGCAACTACTACCTGCACAACAATTCCAACGTGCACCGTGGCGTGCATACCCTGAGCCAACGGGCCACTGATGATTACGAGGCGGGTCGTGAAGCGATTCGCCGATTCATCAACGCCCCAGACGCCTCGGAAATTATCTACGTGCGGGGCACCACCGAAGGGCTGAACCTGGTCGCCAGCAGCTATGGACGCAAATTCTTCAAGGCCGGAGATGAGGTCATCATCACCGGCATGGAGCATCACTCCAACATCGTCCCCTGGCAGATTTTGGGCAAGGAAATCGGCATCCGCCTGCGGGTCATTCCCTTCAACGACCAGGGCGAGTTGCTGATGGACGAGTACGAGGGCATGCTGAATGACCGTACCCGCCTCGTCTCCGTGGTGCACCAGTCAAATGCGCTGGGTACCATCAATCCGGTGTCGGCGATTGTCGAGCTGGCCCATGCCCGCGGTGTGCCGGTAATGCTGGACACCGCACAGTCGGTCCCGCACATGCCAATCGACGTGCAGGATTTGGGCGTCGACTTCGCGACCTTCTCCGGGCACAAGATGTACGGTCCCACGGGCATCGGCGTTCTGTGGGGTCGGGCCGACCTGCTGAACGAAATGCCGCCATACCAAACCGGCGGCGAAATGATCCGTTCCGTCACCTTCGAGGAAACCATTTACAACGTGCTGCCGCACAAATTCGAGGCCGGCACCCCGGACATCGCCGGCGCCATCGGGCTCGGCGCGGCGGTGGAGTACCTGGAAGCAATCGGAATGGGACGCATCGCCGCCTACGAACAGGCGCTGATGCGCTACGGCGCCGAGCGTCTCGCCGAGATTGAAGGCGTGCGGCTCATCGGCACCGCTGCAAACCGGGGCGGCGTCCTCTCGTTCTACATGGAAGCGGCCCACGCCCATGACATCGGCACCATCCTGGACGCGGAAGGCATCGCCGTGCGCACCGGCCACCACTGCGCGCAGCCGGTGATGGCACGCTACGAAATCCCGGCCACCGTGCGGGCTTCCCTGTCCTTCTACAACACCACCGAGGAAATTGACGCCCTGATCAAGGGCATAGATCGGGTGATTGAGGTTTTCGGCTGATGGCATCTGACCTGACGGATCTCTACCAGGAAATTCTCCTCGAACACAACCGGCGCCCCCGCAACTTCCGCAAGCTCGAGGACGCCACGCACCACGCGGACGGTTTCAATCCGCTGTGCGGCGACGAAATATCATTGCAACTGCGCCTGGAAGAGCAAACCGTAGGCGACGTCGGCTTCCAGGGCCACGGGTGCGCCATCAGTCGGGCTTCGGCGTCCCTTTTGACGCAGGCGGTGAAGGGAGCCTCAGCCTCCGATGCCATCGCCATGTTCGACGAATTTCACCGGATGATGACGGAGCCGAACGCCGAATTGAACTACGACCTGCTGGGTGATTTGGAGATTCTAGCCGGTGTGATCGCGTATCCCACGCGAATCAAATGCGCGATCCTCGCCTGGCACACCCTGAAAGCAGCAATGGACGGCGAGGACATCGCCACCACCGAGTAGAGGCCCCTCGACGGGCCCCGATGTCTTCCCTGCCCGACAACCCCGACGCGCTTTATGGCGACGTCATCATGGACCACTATCGCAGCCCGCGCCACCGCGCGCGCCTGTCTTGTGCCGACGTCGAAGCCGAGGAGTTCAATCCCTTCTGCGGAGATCGCGCTACGCTCCAGCTACGCCTCGGACATTCCGACGGGGACGGGGCGCCCATCCAGGCCGTGAGCGCCCTGGCCGAGGGGTGCAGCATCATCCAGGCTTCGGCATCGCTGCTGGCCGACAACGTGCACGGCCGCACCGTGGAGCAGGCCGCGGACCTGTCCCAACTGTTCCGGGACTTGATGCAGGGCAAACCACTGCCGTCGGTGGCGGTCGCCGAGTTGGGCGACCTGGAGGCGTTGGAGGTGGTGCGGCGGTATCCGGTGCGCATCAAGTGCGCCCTACTGCCGTGGGTTGCCCTGGAAGCGGGACTGCGCCGGCTGAGCCAACGCTAAGCGGCGGCTATCAATTCGACGGCGGCGGGTTTTTGGCCGGCGTCTCCGACAACACCTTCAGCACTCGGTAGCCGTATTTCGGCAACTCGGGTGGCGGGTTCGGCGCGTTCCGGTAGAGGTCGTATTTCTCCACTTGGAGACTGTAAACGTAGCCGTGCCTGCGAGCCAACCCTTCAATCGTGCCGTAAAACGGGTCGCCGTTCACTACGATGCAGGCTGCCGTGACCGGCGCGTCTTCGTAGCACTGCACGCGCCATGGGCCCACGGAGATTTCCTCGACCGTGCCCTTGGCCGGCTGTCGGTCCATGGTCTCCAGGAGGCGGTGTGACTGGTCCCCATAGCTCTCGATGCGCATCCGATACTCAAAGCCGGGCTCATATTGAAAGCCGCCAATCGCTCCCGGAAAAGGTCGGCCGTCCACCAACAAACACCGCTGGTCCGACCAGGGGCATTGCACCCGAGCCGGCGCGACGTGGGACTCGGTGACCGTCCCGGCAACCCGTGTTTTTGAAATCAACTCAAGCAGGCGGTATCCATATCTTCCCGCATCCTGGGGCGGCTCTTTCTCGCCGGGCCAGGCGTCATGTCGCGCGATCCGCAGCCGATACTCATAGCCGGGTTCATGCTCGAACCCTTCGATTTCGTCGTAGAAATGTCCCCCGTCAATCACAAGGCACATCCGGCGAAATGGCCCGTAGCACTCCACGCGAGCGGGACCCACGCGAACGTCCTCCACCCGGCCATTTTGTTGTTCCGGGCGGTTCGTGTTCTCAAGCTCCCGTTGGTGTCCTTCCTCGGCGGGAGCCGAACAGCCGACGACCAGATACGAACCAACCGCCACAACGGTCCATAAGAGGAAAATCAACGCGATTGGTTTGCGGCCAATCGCCGGGGTCACTTCCCCTGCAACCCCCGCAGGTAAGCAATCTGGCCCACGTGCTGGTACATCTCGCCGATAATCTGGCGGAACATCGCGCCCTGGGACATTTCGGGCCTACGTTCCCGCGGCACCCGTTCCATGTCCTCCGGCGCCAGCGTTTCCAGATAGGCCAGCGTAGCCTGACGCACCGCGCCGCGGTATCGCAAGAATTCAGACAGTCCGACGCCGGGGAAGTTGTTCACCTGTTCGGCGGTGTGCCCAAAACCATTGTCGCGGGTGGGCAGGCCGAACTTCTCGTGCCATCCCTCGGTCTCCCACAGCTCGGTCTGAAACTGGGCGAAAAACTGGATCCACATGTCTTCAACTCGGACCATGTGCCACAGGATCCAACCGATGGAATTGGCGTCGGGCACCGGTTGCCATCCGAGTTCCGCCGAACCCAACCCGTCCAGCGCATCCATAAGGAAGCCGTTTTCCTTGTCCAGGGCGTCAACGATGAATTCATTGAGCGTCATTGCGCGACCTCCCAGGTGGTCAGGCGGCGGCGGGAGTCGGTACGCGAGCCGCCATCTCTCGGTCCAGCAGTAGTAGTGCGTCGCTGCGTCCGGCCACTTTATCCAGCGCAGCGATCACATCTCGGGCCGTCTTCTCTTCCTCGACCTGCTCGTTCACAAACCATTGCAGCATCACCTGGCTCGCGAAATCGGCGGATTCGGCAGCCACGGCGTACAGCTCATTGATCAGCTGCGTAACGTGCTGCTCGTGGCCCAAGGTCTGCCGCATGACGTCTTCCACCGAGTCGAACTCGATGGCGGGCTGCTCGATGGGGAGGAGGGTTACGCGGCCGTCGCGGTCCTCAAGGTAGGTGAGGATGCGCATGGCATGGTCGTACTCTTCCTGGCTCTGAATGCGCATCCAGTGGGAAAAGCCGGGGAGGTCGATGGAATCGCAATAGGTGGACATGGAGAGATAGAGATACGACGAGTAGAACTCGGCGTTGATGTGGCGGTTGAACGCCACCTGCAAGGATGAACTGACGGCCATACTGTGCTCCGTGTGTTTCCGATAAGCCGGATATCGGCGTGGGTAAAGAGATATCGCAGGTCTAGTCGTGCAGGAATCCCAGCACCGTGTCGAAAAATGCGTCGGGTCGCTCGACCTGCGGGATGTGACCGCACTGGGGGATCACCGTGAGAGTGGCGTTGGGCAGCAGATCTCGAAAGGCCTCGCCGTATTCCGTGGGGATCACCTGGTCGGAGTCTCCCCAAACGATCAGGGTCGGCATCACGATGCGATGGGCCCGCTTGGTGAGACCCCGCTCCGGGATGGGCCAGGTGAACTTGGCGACCGATTGCAGCGTCTGGATGCGGTCCAGGGTGTGTTCCAACCGGGCTTCGGGTTCCGTGGGCTGGGCAACGGAAGCGTGCGCGAGTTCACTGTCGGAGTCGTGCCACAGCATCTCGCGTCGCTCATCCGGCGTCAGGATGAAAAAGTCCGCGACCGGCTTCTCCTCCAACCACAACCCCAAAGAGTTCACCAGGACCAGGCGGGAGATGCGGTCCGGACGATGCGCGGCCAATTCAGCAGCGCAGAACCCGCCGTATGAATGGCCGATCAGATAGCAGCGCGCAATCCCGAGGGAGTCCAAAAACTCTTCGAAGAACTGCACCAGGTCCCAGAGGTCGTCCAGATGGTTTAGACCGGTGGAATTGGCAACACCGGGATGCGCTGGCGCATAAACGTGATAATCCTGGGCCAGTCGATCCAGAAAATCCGGCCATCCAGCGTAGCCGCCCGCGCCGTGCAGGTAGACCAGCGGTTCGCCGCTACCTCCTTCGGCGACCTGGACGTTGAACATCCCGCCGCGAACCGAAACCATACGCTCAGTGTGCGCAACCATCGGTGAAACACCTCAAAACCAGGCAATATTGAGAAACATTCATCATGCGTGGACTGTTCGAACCACAGCCTTCAGTTCACAACAGCAACCCGCGCCCCGAATGCCACGCGGGTAATACCTTATCATAACCATCCGCCTCGTATGCCAACACCTCCAACCACCCCAACACCTCCAACCAACAATGATCACACCGATTCCATGCACCCGCCCGCGTTGACGCCTACCGAGACTTACGGCACAATGACTCGCGCTATGAAACTCCACGAGTATCAAGCCAAGGCAATTTTTGCCCGCTACGGTATTGCGGTTCCCGATGGAAGCTTGGCCTCCACCGCAGATGAAGCAGCCGGCGCCACCGCATCCTTGGGTGGCCGGGCTGCGGTCAAGGCCCAGGTCCACGCCGGCGGACGCGGGTTGGCCGGCGGTGTCAAGGTGGTGAGCAGCCCCGACGAAGCCAGCAGTTTTGCCGCTGGGCTGCTGGGCTCCCGACTGGTTACCAACCAGACAGATGCTAGCGGGGTTCCAGTAGAATCCGTCCTGGTCGAAGCGTTGGCTGACATCGGCCAAGAAATGTACGTGGCCATGACCATGGACCGCGACCATCGGGGGCCGGTGTTGATTGCCAGCGCCGGCGGCGGCACGTCCATTGAGCAGTTGGCGGCCGAAGACCCCGATGCCATCATCACCGAGCCGATCGAGCCCGTCCTGGGACTAATGCCATACCAGACCCGGCGGGTGGCCAGTCGGCTCGGAATGAGCGGCGCAACGTTGCGTGAGGCTGCGGGAGTGCTCTCCGCCCTCTACCGCATCTTCGTCGAAAACGATTGCTCGCTGGTGGAAGTCAACCCGCTGATTGTCACCGGAGACGGTTCGATCATGGCCCTCGACGCCAAGATGGACGTCGAAGACGACGCGCTGTTCCGGCATGCGGACCTGCAACAGTTGCGCGACCGCAGCCCAGGAAGACCCGTTGGAAGCTGAAGCGGCAGACGACGACATCGCATACGTGAGCCTCGATGGCTCCGTCGGTTGCCTCGTGAACGGGGCGGGCCTCGCTATGGCGACACTCGACGTGGCCAACGCGGCCGGCGCGGCTCCGGCGAACTTCCTGGACGTTGGGGGCGGGGCCACCGATGAGAAGGTGGCCACCGCGGTTGGCATCATTCTCTCCGATCCCAAGGTCGACCGGGTGTTGGTGAACGTGTTCGGCGGCATCCTTCGTTGCGACGTGGCGGCCAGGGGCATCACGATGGCTTACCAGCAACTCCAGGCCAAACAGCCGCTGGTGGTCCGAATGTTGGGTACCAACCTGGAAGAAGGAAAATCGATCCTCGCCGGGTCGGGCCTCAACGTGACATTTGCCGATACGTTGACCGAAGTCACTGCGGCTCTTTCCCACCCCGCGGCAGGCGAGTAGTTTCATGGGGATCCTTCTCAACGAACAATCCCGGGTGCTGGTGCAGGGCATCACCGGTCGGGAAGGCAGTTTCCACGCCCGGGCCTGCAAGGATTATGGGACGCAAACTCGTAGCCGGCGTGACACCCGGCCGCGGCGGTCAACTGTTCGACGACGCGGTTCCCGTCTTCGATTCGGTAGGCGAGGCGGTGGACGCCACTCAGGCCAACGTGTCGCTCATCTTCGTCCCGCCGCCTTTCGCAGCGGACGCCATCGCCGAATCCGTGGACGCGGGGATCCCGCTGGTCGCCTGTATCACCGAAGGAATTCCGGTGCACGACATGGTGGGCCTGTACCGCTACGTGAAGGCGAACCCCGTTCGTCTGATCGGGCCCAATTGCCCGGGGATGATAAACCCCGGAGCGCGTTGCAAAGTGGGCATCATGCCCGGCAATATCCACATGCCGGGCCGGGTCGGCGTCGTTTCGCGCAGCGGCACTTTGACCTACGAAGCGGTCGGACAGTTGACCGGACAGGACATCGGACAATCTTCGTGCGTCGGTATCGGCGGCGACCCGATCATCGGAAGCAGTTTCGTCGACATCCTGCGCCTCTATAACGACGATCCCGACACCGACCTCGTGACGTTCATCGGCGAGATCGGCGGGAATATGGAGCAGGAAGCCGCCGAGTTCATCGGTTCCTCCGAGTTCACGAAACCGGTCTGCTCTTTGATCGTTGGGGCCACCGCTCCGACCGGCAAACGAATGGGCCATGCCGGCGCTATCATCACCGGCGAATCCGCCACCGCCGAATCTAAAATTCGGGCACTGGAACGCGCCGGTTCCCGGATCATTCCTACACCGGCGGACATCGGCGATACGGTCGCACAAGCGCTCTCGGAGATTGGACTCCGCGTTTAGCGTCGCCGGCCTGGCCGCACCGATTTTCGTCGCATCGCGGGAACGGCGCGATCGCAATGCCCCGACACCATCGAACGCGCTCGATGGCGTGTCGATCTCGTGAACCCGCGACATTGGGCGCCGCAGCGCGCTTGACGCTTACCAACGCGACGATGGGGTGTAGCATAAGGTTGCCAAAGATGTCATTCCCTATCCATTTATACGTCCCGATGCGGACGAACCTTGGCGAGCCGGTAAACGTTTTGTGATAACGGCCGGCGTCGTTCCCATTCAGGCAAAACCGTTTTGATCCCGGCGAGGGAACCGCACTGTTGACAGGACCTGCACAGTGATCCTGAGTACCGTACCGCGTGGGATTGGCGTTAATCCGTATGCCCACTAAGTACATCTTCGTCACCGGGGGCGTAGTCAGCTCCATCGGTAGGGAATCTGCGTCGCCTCAATCGGGCGCATTTTGAAGAGCCAGGGTCTTACGGTAACCGTCATCAAACTCGATCCTTACCTGAACGTAGACCCGGGGACCATGTCCCCATACCAACATGGCGAAGTCTTCGTAACCAAGGACGGCGGCGAAACCGACCTGGACCTCGGACATTATGAGCGGTTCATCGACGTTGAGCTAACCCGCGACAGCAACGTAACCGCCGGACAGGCATACCTCGAATGAGTACGCGCGAAGCGGCGCGGCGATTTCTCGGCGGCACCATCAGACCGTGCCGCACTGACCAACGAAATCAAGGATCGACTTATCAGCCTGGCGGAAAAATCAACGCGGATGTCGTGGTTGTCGAGGTCGTACCGTGGAGACATCGAGGGCTGCCCTTCCTCGAAGCGATCCGACAGATGCGGAACACCGTGGGGCGCAACAACGTCTTCTACATGCATCTGACCCTGCTCCCCTACATCTCGGCGTCCGAAGAATTGAAAACCAAACCGACCCAGCACAGCGTCAAGGAACTGCGGAGCATCGGGATACAACCCGACGCCCTGGTTTGCCGCAGCGATGCCGAGGTCACCACCGGAATCCGCGAGAAGCTGTCCCTGTTTTGCGACGTCGCCACCGAGGCCGTTTTCCCCATGCCCACGGTGAACAATGTCTACGAAGTACCGCTGGTGATGGACCACTTTGGCGTAGGCCGTTGTCTGTCGGAGACTCTCGGCCTGAACGGGGCCAGCCAACTGGGTGAGTGGAGCGCTCTGGTAGATCAGATGAACAGTGCCGACGGCGAGGTGCAGATCGCGGTGGTCGGGAAATATGTCGAGTACCCCGACTCGTACATGTCGTGCGCGAGGCGCTGCGGCAACGCCGCGGCATCCTGCGGTTTGCGGGCGGACGTGCGCTTGGGTCCATTCCGAAGCAATCGAGCGGGACGGCCCGGGACGCCACCTGGGCGGACGCTTCCGGAATCGTGGTGCCCGGTGGATTCGGCCCCAGGGGCGTCGAAGGTATGATCGACACCAGCCGCTACGCCAGGAACAAGCACGTACCCTACCTGGGATTGTGTCTGGGCATGCAGGTGATGGTCATCGACTGGGCGCGCGACGTCACCGGCCTGAAGCACGCGAATTCTACTGAACTGGATCCTGACTGCGAGCACCCGGTAATCGACATCATGCACGGGCAGCGCACCATCACCGACCTGGGCGGCACCATGCGCCTCGGTCATTACCCGTGCCAACCCCAGAACAATACCCGAACCGCCGACGCCTACGCCCGTTCCGAAATCAGGGAGCGTCACCGGCACCGCTATGAGGTGAACAACACCTACCGGGAATGCCTGGAAGCCTCGGGCATGGTGATGAGCGGGTTATCTCCGACGGAGAATTGGTTGAAGCAACGGAAGTGCCGGACCATCCGTTCATGGTCGGCGTACAGTTCCATCCCGAATTCCAGTCGCGACCGAACCGCCCCCACCCCCTGTTCAGCGCGCTGATCGAGCAGGCACAACAGACAGTACGAGAAGGAAGACAATTACCCTTCCGGCGAGCCGGCGGGTGGTCGTTCTCGGCGCACTGATCCCGGCCACAGGCTATCCTGGCATACAGACTGGAAGCCACCCAATTTACATCTCTATCCACGTTCCGACGCAAGCCGGAACCCTGATCCCAAACTGGTGATTTCGGCGCGACGCCGTTCGTTTCGGCGCCGCTACCCTCCGGTAATCGAAAGCCGCCGCCGGCGGGTCAACGCCACGCCATCTGCGAAAGGACTTTCTCCCGGGCGCGAGGAGGATGCACCAATGAAACTGTTTTTGGACACCGCCAATATCGACGAGATCCGGTTGGGCGCCGAACTGGGCGTGATTTCCGGCGTCACCACCAACCCGTCCCTGGCTGCCAAAGAGGGCATCGGCGGTCCCGCCGGTTACCGGGCGGCGGTACAGCAGATCGCGGACATCGTTGACGGACCGATTTCCGTCGAGGTTGTCAGCACCGACGCGCCCGGCATGATCGCCGAGGGCCGGGACATTGCGGAATGGATCCCCAATCCCTGGGTCAAAATTCCCAGCACCGAGGAAGGCTTCAAAGCCATCAGCGTGCTGGCCCGGGACGGCATACAGATCAATCAGACGCTCGTTTTTACCGTCAATCAGGCGCTGCTGGGCGCCAACGCCGGGAGCACCGTGGTTAGCCCCTTTGTGGGACGGCTCGACGATATTGGCCAGGACGGCATGGCGCTGGTCCAGGACATCGTGGCCGTGTACCGCCAGCAATCCGTAGAAACGTTGGTGATGGCCGCGAGCATCCGGGGAGCGCGACACTGCGTAACTGCGGCTACTGCCGGCGCTGATATATCCACGATTCCCTACAACGTGCTAACGCAAATGATAAAACACCCCCCTCACCGACGCCGGTCTATCGCGATTCCTGCAGGACTGGCAGCAAGCATCCGGAGGCTGACAACATGGTCCGCGCCCGCACTGGCACCCCAACCGCACCCCGACGACGACGGCGACCGCCGGCAAATGATGAGGCCGACGTCGGGCCGGACGATTCCGTTCCGGCTGACGATGATCCCGAGGGAGACCCGTCGTACTCCAACGGATCCCACCCCGGACGCTATGTAGACGTTACCGAACTCAGCACAATGTCCCAAGAGGAACTCATCGAGCTGGCGCCCGACGTTGGCCTCAGGGATGACGCGGCCCTGGCCGACTTGACCAAGGACGTTCTGCTGAACCGCGTCCGCCAGTCGGCGGCGAACCGCAACCTTTTGACCGCCTCGGGTATCCTCGAAGTGATGGACGCGGGGCACGGGCTGCTGCGCTCGTTGCAGTACCCACCGGTGTCGGGCGACGTGTTCGTCGGGCAATCCCAGATCCGCAGGTTCAACCTCAAGACCGGCGATACGGTCACCGGGATGGTGCGCCCGCCCAAAGAAGGTGAGCGCCGCTACGGTTTGACCCGAGCCACCAGCATCAACCTGTTGGAACCAGACGAACAGAAGCCGGCCTCGCGCCGACTGTTCGAGTCGCTGACTCCCATTTTCCCGGACGACCACATCGTCCTCGAACATCCCCAGGGCGGGCTGTCCTCTCGCATGATCGACCTGTTCGCCCCGATCGGGCTGGGGCAACGCGGCCTGGTGGTGTCACCGCCCAAGGCTGGCAAGACCACCGTGTTGCGCCAGATAGCGGCGGCAATCACCGAGAACCGTCCCGAAGTGCTCCTGATGGTCGTCCTCATCGGCGAGCGGCCCGAAGAGGTCACCGAGATGCGCCGCGCGGTCAAGGGTGACGTGTTCGCGTCAACCTTCGACGAGTCGGTCGAGGAGCAGTGCCGGGTCGCCGAACTGGCCGTGGAACGCGCCAAGCGCATGACCGAAAGCGGACGCGACGTCGTCATCCTGCTTGACAGCATCACGCGACTCACCCGCGCGTACAACCTGGCCCTGCCCACATCGGGGCGCACGCTTTCCGGCGGTATCGACCCGGCCGCGCTCTATCCCGCCAAACGTTTCATCGGCGCGGCTCGCAACCTCGAAGAGGGCGGGTCGCTTACCATAATCGCCACCTGCCTGCTCGACACGGGCAGCCGGATGGACGAGGTGATCTACGAGGAGTTCAAGGGCACCGGCAACATGGAGTTGCACCTCGACCGCCGGCTCGCCGACCAGCGGTACTTCCCCGCCATTGACGTGGTCCGCAGCGGAACCCGCCGGGAAGAACTGCTCTACGACTCCGAAGCGATGCCACAGGTTTGGCTGCTGCGTCGCATGGTCACCCTCGCTTCGGGCGGTGACTCATCCAATATGGGCGATGCCACCAAGCGCGTCCTGGAACGCCTGGCACGCACCCGGACCAACTCGGAGTTCCTGTCCAATCTGACCAAAGACTCGTAACGTCGCAGTCAGTCAGATACCACAAATTATAGAGGCGGTTTGAACCCGCCTCTACTTTTGTTTATGCTCCGGCGTCCGGATCACCTCCCGCCGCCGCCATTTCCGCCACCTCCACCGGGACCGCCGCCGGTCCCGCGCCGCACTGATCACGAGAGCAAACAACGCGCTCCGGCAACCGCCAGCACAACACCACCGCTGCCACGATAAGCGCGATGGCCAGGCGCTCAAACCGCCGCCACCGGATCCTCTTCCGCCACCGGCCGGTCTCGCGTTTCCGTCTCACCGGTAGCCCACCGCCGCGACGATGGTGGACGTGAGCGCGCCTGGTCGATGGTCGGAGGAGGCGCACGGCGTGGCGTCGCGCAGCGGGGTCGAAGTCGGCATCCGGTGTCGGCGTCGGCGTGGGCTCCGGCGTCGCGTGGGTACCGGCGTCGGCGTGGGCTCCGGCCGTAGCAGTCGGCTCCGGCGTCGCCGTAGGTTCGGCGTCGCCGTGGGAGTGGGCGTGATGACGTAGGTATCGGGGTGGGTGGGGGACGTACCGCAGCGGGACAGGGGACCGTGGCTGCAACACGGGCAGGCGGTCGCGCGGCCTCATAGACATGGAACGTAGCCGGGTAGTCTCGTTCCTCCGCGTAATCCCGATGGTAATCTTCAGGGATACGGTCGTTCCCGAGAAGTCTACCTCTCGTGATCTGAACCTCGTCTCGCCGTCAAACAACAGGGTAGGACCGTTGCTGATCCGCACCGAGTAACCTTGCCGGAACCGTGTCCATCCGCTCACCGTCACCCGATGGGCTGACCGATCTGACATCCTCCGGATGATCTCACCTTGCCGGCCGCAACTTCGATGTCAAGGTCCAGCGTCAGGTCGTGCAACGGATAGTCGTCTATCTTGATCACCGACGGATGCGCTCGCCGCCCTCAGCACGGACGGGACGCGGTACTCGAAATCCCAAAGACCACGCGGGTATAGATGTTTGCTCGATCGCCCATGATTCCACGGTATCAATGGAGATCGTAATATCCGCGCTCCAACGGGAAATTCTCACCGCGAAAAACCAAGTAGTCGCCGGGAGCCACCTCGCCCTCGTCAGGAGTGACCGTGAGCTTCGGCGCGACAACTTCGATTTCGGCGACGCATCGACACCAGCGTCGCTCATGATTTTCAGCTCTTCATCCCCGTCCGATTCCAGAGCTGTCGATGAGGTCGCTGTTGATGCTGCCGTTTTCGTTCAACAAGGCCACTGGTGCGAGGAAACGCCCGCCCCTCTGGATCTCGGGACAATCGCCGGACGAACGGACGCGGTCATTGCCTTCATCCAAAAACGCCAGCCGGATCCCGTCTAGGGTTACCTGGCACACCTCCGTCCCCGGCAGGTTGTTGGACCGGACGAGGGAACTGAACACCAGGCCAGCGCCACGAGACGGAATGCCGCTGACGGTTCAGGTCGGCATCGCCGATGGTACCTTGGCCGAGACGGGTTGGTGTCCGATGTACACCGTGATCACCACCGTGCCACTGGCGTTGGTCGGGAGGGTGATCCGCAGGTTGGTCGCCTGAGTGGCTCCACATTTCGCGCTGCAACTGCCGTCCCGCGACACTTACGCTGTCTACTCGTCGCCGCTGCCACCGATAATTTCAGCGTAACCTGGTCACCAGAGACACTCAGAACTGCCGACGATCTCCAGGCCTGCGTTTATCAGGATGGAGATCGACGTGCCATTCGTGTTGCCCGCTCCGTCGACCGCACAATTTGGTGCTGACGGCGGAGCGAAATTGGGTCAGATGTAACCCTCAAATTCAGACGAGAATCGATAATCTGAACCCACCTGAGCAGATCCGACTCGGGTCCAGCCACTCCAATTCGAAGAGTTGGCGATGTCGCAGGCTTGCGACCCGCCATCTGCTAGGACAAGATTTCGACCGAGTGATTCCCTCGAATCCAGCCCCTAGGGTCACCGTTTCTCTCATACCCGATTTCGTTGTCGCCGTCGA